TGAGGTGGGTTCAAGGTGGGACAGAACTGCAATCAATCAACAAGACTACAACTATATTTGCTTAGTTAATATTGATCCAGTGAGAACTCATAAGATGGCTATGAACCAAGGTTACACCAGTATGGTCACTTGGGTAACAATGATTAAAGGGGGATCAAACTGGGAAGCCCGTCACCCAGCAAGTACATGGGGACAACCTCAAAGAGGTTGGTCAGGGAGGTTTGGTCCCCCACTCCAAGGTGACTGATGCCTATTTAGAATATCAGCCACTGCTGTTCAGACCTAGGGGAAGTGTATGAGTGGACAGTTCCTTTATTCGTGAAGTCTGGGATTTGGTGACTATTCCTCCAGCCACAGCTGTCTTCCAAAGTAACCTCTCGAGGGCCCAGTCCTGTTTGCTGCCTGTAATATTTCTATCCAACTTAGCTATCTATGACAGTATGAACATTTAAAAATCTATTTCCTTAGTAACTTTTAAACATACGTTGTATTATTTTTAACTGTCATCACCAGGCAGTGAGTGGATGCTAAAATTTTATTCTTCCTAAGTGAAAGGCTGCATTTTTTGAAAATGCATTTGTAAAGTTAACCAACTCTTTTGCCTTTTGCATCATCCTGATGTCTTTTATTCTATTCTGTTGCTGTTTTGATGCTGCTTATGATCTACTAATGTGGTTCCCTGTTAATCTCCATGGCAACAGCCTCTAATGCTTTAGCCTGGGCCAAACTTACTAAGGGGAAGTTTCCCAGTCCCAGCACAAATGGCAATGTATTGGGGTCTGGACAATTCTTTTCTACAGGGACAGAGAACTGTCCATATAAACTAGTAAAATGTTGAGCCTCAGCCTAGGACCTCTGCCCACTAGATGACAGTAGTATACCTGGTCATGATCACAAAGGAAGATCTTCAGACACAGTCAGATGTAGCTGCTCCCAGTACCCAGCACAGAGGTCGGCGCTGTTTATCTGTTGCATAAATGAGGCTGAAACAGTCTGCCATGGTAAGGACTACTGGCCTTGTTCCTCAAAGAAATAGCAAGCCCCGAGCCTGAGGGGATGCTATCCCAACTGCCCTGGCCAAAGCAAACCAAAAGTTCTCCAGCTGCCATCCTCAGCATAAAAGCAGGAAAAATACCTTCTCCCAGGTTATGGAAAGGAAAATTCTATGAGGACCCAAGAGTCCCAGGGTTCTGCCACCTCCAGGATAGCCATCAAACCTAATTGTACTTGTGCTACTTTATAAACAAGATAGAGATCTCAGTTCTCTGGCTAGGAGAGCCTGAAATCTGCCTTCTTGCAATGGAGAACCAAGATAGCCATAACTGGGTGGAAGGTTGGGTAGGGTCATATAAAGTGTGTTAGTTGCTGGTGACATTCAGTAGTGAATGACAAGAAATCCAAGACAGGCCTAGATTCAGGTATATGAGACTGTGTTCTACTGCTATAATAACGTAGCTAAGGCTGAAAATGTTTCCTTTTTATCAGTACCAGGGATTAAACTCATGACTGCCTGCTTGCAAGGCAGGCGCTTATGCCACTGAGCTAAATCCCCAGCCCCGGCAGTGCACTCTTAATGCCTACCTGCCAGCCTCTAAAATCGAGGCACATGAGCGCCACCCAGTGGACTAAACTTAAGGAACATATCCAAACTGCCTTCAAATCCCGGCTCCTGATTTTGCCCTTCGGCCCGTATATTCCCTTGGAAATCTACTTTGCCACTGTGGCAAAGAGAAAACAAATTTATGAAATTCCCAGCACAACCTTTTGTCCTACTTAAAACTACTGAGAAACAGTGCCTAAAAGAAAACCTTGTTTCTCCGTTCACACTTCTGACACTAAAGGCAGGGATTTTGTACAGCAAACAATTTGCAGCCTCTGCAGACACTGGTTTCAGTTCTCACACTCAGCAGCACCTTGTGTCAGCTCTGGCCCCACAGGGGAGGGCCTCAGCCCATAGACTGTCCCAATGTCTGATGTCCACTGCAAGTCCCACTGCACTTCTGATCAGGCTCCTGTGACAGATGAGTTTCAGGAATATCTCACAGAACTCAGGGAAACAATTTTCTTTCTACTATGAGAGGACACAAGTGAGGAACAGACAAATGGGAGAGGTGTATGGGCAAGATAAATGAGAAGGGGTGTGGAGTTTCCACACTCTCTCTGGTATGGGACGGCTTCTGTACCTACATTTGTTCACAAGCCAGAGGCTTTCCAATTGCCACTGTTCAAAATTTTTATAGAGGCTCCCTAATGGGCATAATTGATTAAACCAATGGCCACAGATAAGTGACTCAGTGTCCAGCCACTCTCTCCATCTTAGATCATTTTAGGAGGCACAATTTGTGTTCCCTAACCTCCAAACAGGTACCTAACTTGAAACCGCCCAGAGTTCCTGAGCAACCAGTCATCTCACTGGTGAACCAGTTAAGCTCTTACCACTGGAATCCCAAAGGTCTTAGAACCACTTTGTGCCATCAGTCACTGAGAAGTAAGGCCCAACACAGCAGAACCAAAAGTCACTGCTGTGTTCTGGTCATTGACAAAATTATACAGGACTGTGGAACTCTGTGGCAGGAATGGGGGATAAGAGGAAAGACTTATTTTTAAAATAAGTCTTATTTAACGAGGCGTGGTAGCCCACGCCTATAATCCCAGCACTTTGGGAGGCTGAGGCAGGCTGAAGCAGGAGGATTGTTGCAAGTTCGAGACCAGCCTGGGCTACAAAGGGAGCTCAAGGCCAGCCGGAACTGCATAAAGAGACCTTGTATCAAAAAGAAAACAAAAAAGTCTTACTTTTAAAATATAATCACTGGCCAGGGATTTGGCTCAGTTGTATAAGCACCTGCCAGGTACGCACGAGGTCACGAGTTCAATCCCAGTACCAAAGAAAATATAATCACTGAACCAAAAGTAGCAGAGTAGTGATGTGCTCAGTGGTAGATCTCTTCCTTGCGTGTACAAGGCCCAGGATTCCATACTAAACTAAACCACACACATACAGACAGAGAGAGATACACAGAGACAGAGACAGAGATAGAGACACAGAGACAGACAGAGACACAGAGATAGACAGAGACACAGAGAGAGACAGAGTCAGAGAGGGAGAGACAGTGACAGAGATGGAGAGAGAGAAAGAGATAGAGAGAGAAAGACAGAGAGAGAAAACAATACTAAGAAACCATAGCAAACAACAAAGCCAGGAGCATGAGAGGATTTACAAGTCTAACACAGAGCAATTTCATGCTCCTGTTGCTGAATTCCCAGTCAAGCACTCCACAAAAGAAAGTTGGGGAGTCATCTTAGAGAATCTACAAGGACAGAGTTCAATCAGCACTATAGGTAAACACCTGCAAGACCTTCCAATATCAAGGGAGATGAAGGGACACACATTACACTAACGCGTACAGGAAAACAATTCAGTCCATGGGCACAAAATCATCAGTGAGTCACAGAGTTGACTATATACAAAAAATGGAAAAGAGTGACACAGAAAGATAATTGGGAAATTTGCAATGCTTGCAGGGAATACAACTGCACAAACCTACAAAACCTCTCCAGGACACAGCACCACAAATGCTACCACGACAAACAGGACTCCAGAACACACCTATGGGCCAGGCCCCACAGCCTCCCCTCTCACCACTGCAACAGAGTGGCTCTCAAGATTTAAAACCACAGGCTTCAGTCCCGCCAATATCTCAAACCCCAGGACCATGCCCACAACTACACAGAGTCCGCTCCCGGGACCCACAACCACCCATGGGGTCACAGTTTCCACATCCCAGGACTTGATTCACGCCACGGAGCTGGCCCCGTCTAACAGAGATCTCCACAGGGCCAACACTTCCCACAGTACCCTCATCAGAGTGACCCCAAGCGCCACCAGGCAGAACACTCTGTCCACACTGGCAGGCACAGTGGGCTCCATGGGTGCAAGCAACGAAGCACACACTGCTACTACCCAGGCCACCAAACAAACGGGATTTAGCAAAAGCACAGAAACGACCACTTTCCCACAGATGACCAAAAACAGCTCTGCAGAACCCAGCAGAGGGTTCACAGGAATCTGGAACACAACGAACTTATCCTCCCAGATGCAGTCAAAGTACTCGACAACTCTGGCAAGTGCACGGACACAATTGCCTGCTACAAACACTCTTGGGCTCTCCTCAACCAATGCCCAAGGGCTCCCCGCCTCAAACACAGGCACACCATTCCGGACAGCGAGCACCACCAATGGGAGGAAGGAGCCTCAGCTCAGCTCCCCGAAAAACAGCCCTATGGATGGTACCACCACAGCACTGGCAACGGCCAGGAACTGGCCTTCCAAGGATGACGTTGCAGGATCAACGCATACGTCTCAGACACTTCCCACAAGAATCACTTCTGGCAATGTGCAGACAACATTAGGTCACTTTCCACGGGAAAGCAGTCCTGGGCGCACACCACTTACCACCAATGCCACCAGCACTAGTGCTGCTGGGCCATCCACTCCCCGAGGACACAGCACCCCCGAGACGGGTCCGCCAGCCTCCCTCCTCACCGTCACACCACAGCAGGGCTCAGCCTGGCCAACCACGGGTTCCCACCCCGCTGACAACTCAAACCCCACGTCCATGCCCAGCACACCTTCCAGCGCACCCCCGGGGCCCGCCACCACCCTCACGCCAACCCTTCCCACGTCCCAGGACACGACCCGGGCCTCTCTGGAGGCCACCTCCACGTTTGGCCGCACCGGGCCGTCCCTGTCCCCCACGGCCCCCGCCACGGTAACCCCGTCGGCCTCCTGGCAGGACAGCCGGTCCACACCGGCACTCATGGCGTCCTCACCGGGTGCAGGCTCGCCAGCCCACACCCTTGCCAAGGAGGCCACCGCCCACACGGTATCCGGCCGAGCCACAGAGAACGGCACTGTCCTAGGGACGCCGACCAGGCCCTCTACCCCACCGGGCACAGCGTCCCCCGGGCTCTCCAGCACGGCCAGCTCCTCGTCCGGCACCATGGCCCCTGCCCTGCCCAGTGGGTCCAGCACCGGGCCACCGGTGTCCACGGGAGCCGCCACCAGCTGGCCAGCTTCCTCCGGGCCACAGCCCCACTCTGCCGGACTGGCCGGGGAGCGCACCACCGCGCCTACTCACTTCTCTTCTGCCCCGGCCTGGACCTCGGCGTCCTCCGCCTCCTCCTCCTCCTCCTCCTCCTCCTCCTCGGCCTTGCCCGGGGCCAGCGTGGACACCACCAGCCCTGACCTGGGATCCGGCTCCACTGTCTCGCACCGCTCCGCCATGACTGTGACCACCCCAGGAAGCGCAAGCCCGCCCATCTCGTCCACCTCCACAGCCAGATCTGCCACCACCCCTCAGGAGGACACGCGGACCAGTGCCCCCGGGACGCCGGCTACTGTACAGACCAGCCCCTTGCAGAAAACTGGCGCGCACACCGCCACGGCCTCCCTCACCGCCACAGTCATGGCCACGGCCACCCCCGTGGCCACGGCCACGGAAAGCTCCTACCCCGAGGTAACCTCCCGGGGGACAGGGGCCACTCAGATCCCCACCTCGGCACGGGCGTCCACTCTGGGACTCACCTCCACAGACGCACCGGGGCTCGCCACCTCCAGCGCGGGCACACCGCTCGGTCCAGCCGGCACCTCCAGCCCTGGGACCGCGCCTCAGCCGAGCTCCCCAGCCAGCAGCCCCCCGGACAGTCCCACCACCGCCCTGGCACCGGCCGACAGCTGGCACTTCACGGATGGCCTTGCGGAATCAACGCACACGCCGGAGTCGCTTCCCTCGGGCACAGCTTCTGGCAGCGTGACGGCCACACTAACGCCCCCTCTGCGGGAAGGCAGCCCTGGCCCCACCCAGGTGCCCACCAGCACCACCAGCTCCAGTGCTGCTGGGCCATCCACTCCCCGAGGACACAGCACCCCCGAGACGGGTCCGCCAGCCTCCCTCCTCACCGTCACACCACAGCAGGGCTCAGCCTGGCCAACCACGGGTTCCCACCCCGCTGACACCTCAAACCCCACGTCCATGCCCAGCACACCTTCCAGCGCACCCCCGGGGCCCGCCACCACCCTCACGCCAACCCTTCCCACGTCCCAGGACACGACCCGGGCCTCTCTGGAGGCCACCTCCGCGTTTGGCCTCACCGGGCCGTCCCTGTCCCCCACGGCCCCCGCCACGGTGACCCCGTCGGCCTCCTGGCAGGACAGCCGGTCCACACCGGCACTCATGGCGTCCTCACCGGGTTCAGGCTCGCCAGCCCACCCCCTTGCCACGGAGGCCACCGCCCACACGGTATCCGGCCGAGCCACAGAGAACGGCACTGTCCTAGGGACGCCGACCAGGCCCTCTACCCCACCGGGCACAGCGTCCCCCGGGCTCTCCAGCACGGCCAGCTCCTCGTCCGGCACCATGGCCCCTGCCCTGCCCAGTGGGTCCAGCACCGGGCCACCGGTGTCCACGGGAGCCGCCACCAGCTGGCCAGCTTCCTCCGGGCCACAGCCCCACTCTGCCGGACTGGCCGGGGAGCGCACCACCGCGCCTACTCACTTCTCTTCTGCCCCGGCCTGGACCTCGGCGTCCTCCGCCTCCTCCTCCTCCTCCTCCTCCTCCTCCTCGGCCTTGCCCGGGGCCAGCGTGGACACCACCAGCCCTGACCTGGGATCCGGCTCCACTGTCTCGCACCGCTCCGCCATGACTGTGACCACCCCAGGAAGCGCAAGCCCGCCCACCTCGTCCACCTCCACAGCCAGATCTGCCACCACCCCTCAGGAGGACACGCGGACCAGTGCCCCCGGGACGCCGGCTACTGTACAGACCAGCCCCTTGCAGAAAACTGGCGCGCACACCGCCACGGCCTCCCTCACCGCCACAGTCATGGCCACGGCCACCCCCGTGGCCACAGCCACGGAAAGCTCCTACCCCGAGGTAACCTCCCGGGGGACAGGGGCCACTCAGATCCCCACCTCGGCACGGGCGTCCACTCTGGGACTCACCTCCACAGACGCACCGGGGCTCGCCACCTCCAGCGCGGGCACACCGCTCGGTCCAGCCGGCACCTCCAGCCCTGGGACCGCGCCTCAGCCGAGCTCCCCAGCCAGCAGCCCCCCGGACAGTCCCACCACCGCCCTGGCACCGGCCGACAGCTGGCACTTCACGGATGGCCTTGCGGAATCAACGCACACGCCGGAGTCGCTTCCCTCGGGCACAGCTTCTGGCAGCGTGACGGCCACACTAACGCCCCCTCTGCGGGAAGGCAGCCCTGGCCCCACCCAGGTGCCCACCAGCACCACCAGCTCCAGTGCTGCTGGGCCATCCACTCCCCGAGGACACAGCACCCCCGAGACGGGTCCGCCAGCCTCCCTCCTCACCGTCACACCACAGCAGGGCTCAGCCTGGCCAACCACGGGTTCCCACCCCGCTGACACCTCAAACCCCACGTCCATGCCCAGCACACCTTCCAGCGCACCCCCGGGGCCCGCCACCACCCTCACGCCAACCCTTCCCACGTCCCAGGACACGACCCGGGCCTCTCTGGAGGCCACCTCCGCGTTTGACCTCACCGGGCCGTCCCTGTCCCCCACGGCCCCCGCCACGGTGACCCCGTCGGCCTCCTGGCAGGACAGCCGGTCCACACCGGCACTCATGGCGTCCTCACCGGGTGCAGGCTCGCCAGCCCACCCCCTTGCCACGGAGGCCACCGCCCACACGGTATCCGGCCGAGCCACAGAGACCGGCACTGTCCTAGGGACGCCGACCAGGCCCTCTACCCCACCGGGCACAGCGTCCCCCGGGCTCTCCAGCACGGCCAGCTCCTCGTCCGGCACCATGGCCCCTGCCCTGCCCAGTGGGTCCAGCACCGGGCCACCGGTGTCCACGGGAGCCGCCACCAGCTGGCCAGCTTCCTCCGGGCCACAGCCCCACTCTGCCGGACTGGCCGGGGAGCGCACCACCGCGCCTACTCACTTCTCTTCTGCCCCGGCCTGGACCTCGGCGTCCTCCGCCTCCTCCTCCTCCTCCTCCTCCTCCTCCTCCTCGGCCTTGCCCGGGGCCAGCGTGGACACCACCAGCCCTGACCTGGGATCCGGCTCCACTGTCTCGCACCGCTCCGCCATGACTGTGACCACCCCAGGAAGCGCAAGCCCGCCCATCTCGTCCACCTCCACAGCCAGATCTGCCACCACCCCTCAGGAGGACACGCGGACCAGTGCCCCCGGGACGCCGGCTACTGTACAGACCAGCCCCTTGCAGAAAACTGGCGCGCACACCGCCACGGCCTCCCTCACCGCCACAGTCATGGCCACGGCCACCCCCGTGGCCACGGCCACGGAAAGCTCCTACCCCGAGGTAACCTCCCGGGGGACAGGGGCCACTCAGATCCCCACCTCGGCACGGGCGTCCACTCTGGGACTCACCTCCACAGACGCACCGGGGCTCGCCACCTCCAGCGCGGGCACACCGCTCGGTCCAGCCGGCACCTCCAGCCCTGGGACCGCGCCTCAGCCGAGCTCCCCAGCCAGCAGCCCCCCGGACAGTCCCACCACCGCCCTGGCACCGGCCGACAGCTGGCACTTCACGGATGGCCTTGCGGAATCAACGCACACGCCGGAGTCGCTTCCCTCGGGCACAGCTTCTGGCAGCGTGACGGCCACACTAACGCCCCCTCTGCGGGAAGGCAGCCCTGGCCCCACCCAGGTGCCCACCAGCACCACCAGCTCCAGTGCTGCTGGGCCATCCACTCCCCGAGGACACAGCACCCCCGAGACGGGTCCGCCAGCCTCCCTCCTCACCGTCACACCACAGCAGGGCTCAGCCTGGCCAACCACGGGTTCCCACCCCGCTGACACCTCAAACCCCACGTCCATGCCCAGCACACCTTCCAGCGCACCCCCGGGGCCCGCCACCACCCTCACGCCAACCCTTCCCACGTCCCAGGACACGACCCGGGCCTCTCTGGAGGCCACCTCCGCGTTTGGCCTCACCGGGCCGTCCCTGTCCCCCACGGCCCCCGCCACGGTGACCCCGTCGGCCTCCTGGCAGGACAGCCGGTCCACACCGGCACTCATGGCGTCCTCACCGGGTGCAGGCTCGCCAGCCCACCCCCTTGGCACGGAGGCCACCGCCCACACGGTATCCGGCCGAGCCACAGAGACCGGCACTGTCCTAGGGACGCCGACCAGGCCCTCTACCCCACCGGGCACAGCGTCCCCCGGGCTCTCCAGCACGGCCAGCTCCTCGTCCGGCACCATGGCCCCTGCCCTGCCCAGTGGGTCCAGCACCGGGCCACCGGTGTCCACGGGAGCCGCCACCAGCTGGCCAGCTTCCTCCGGGCCACAGCCCCACTCTGCCGGACTGGCCGGGGAGCGCACCACCGCGCCTACTCACTTCTCTTCTGCCCCGGCCTGGACCTCGGCGTCCTCCTCCTCCTCCTCCTCCTCCTCGGCCTTGCCCGGGGCCAGCGTGGACACCACCAGCCCTGACCTGGGATCTGGCTCCACTGTCTCGCACCGCTCCGCCATGACTGTGACCACCCCAGGAAGCGCAAGCCCGCCCACCTCGTCCACCTCCACAGCCAGATCTGCCACCACCCCTCAGGAGGACACGCGGACCGGTGCCCCCGGGACGCCGGCTACTGTACAGACCAGCCCCTTGCAGAAAACTGGCGCGCACACCGCCACGGCCTCCCTCACCGCCACAGTCATGGCCACGGCCACCCCCGTGGCCACAGCCACGGAAAGCTCCTACCCCGAGGTAACCTCCCGGGGGACAGGGGCCACTCAGATCCCCACCTCGGCACGGGCGTCCACTCTGGGACTCACCTCCACAGACGCACCGGGGCTCGCCACCTCCAGCGCGGGCACACCGCTCGGTCCAGCCGGCACCTCCAGCCCTGGGACCGCGCCTCAGCCGAGCTCCCCAGCCAGCAGCCCCCCGGACAGTCCCACCACCGCCCTGGCACCGGCCGACAGCTGGCACTTCACGGATGGCCTTGCGGAATCAACGCACACGCCGGAGTCGCTTCCCTCGGGCACAGCTTCTGGCAGCGTGACGGCCACACTAACGCCCCCTCTGCGGGAAGGCAGCCCTGGCCCCACCCAGGTGCCCACCAGCACCACCAGCTCCAGTGCTGCTGGGCCATCCACTCCCCGAGGACACAGCACCCCCGAGACGGGTCCGCCAGCCTCCCTCCTCACCGTCACACCACAGCAGGGCTCAGCCTGGCCAACCACGGGTTCCCACCCCGCTGACACCTCAAACCCCACGTCCATGCCCAGCACACCTTCCAGCGCACCCCCGGGGCCCGCCACCACCCTCACGCCAACCCTTCCCACGTCCCAGGACACGACCCGGGCCTCTCTGGAGGCCACCTCCGCGTTTGGCCTCACCGGGCCGTCCCTGTCCCCCACGGCCCCCGCCACGGTGACCCCGTCGGCCTCCTGGCAGGACAGCCGGTCCACACCGGCACTCATGGCGTCCTCACCGGGTGCAGGCTCGCCAGCCCACCCCCTTGGCACGGAGGCCACCGCCCACACGGTATCCGGCCGAGCCACAGAGACCGGCACTGTCCTAGGGACGCCGACCAGGCCCTCTACCCCACCGGGCACAGCGTCCCCCGGGCTCTCCAGCACGGCCAGCTCCTCGTCCGGCACCATGGCCCCTGCCCTGCCCAGTGGGTCCAGCACCGGGCCACCGGTGTCCACGGGAGCCGCCACCAGCTGGCCAGCTTCCTCCGAGCCACAGCCCCACTCTGCCGGACTGGCCGGGGAGCGCACCACCGCGCCTACTCACTTCTCTTCTGCCCCGGCCTGGACCTCGGCGTCCTCCGCCTCCTCCTCCTCCTCCTCCTCCTCCTCCTCGGCCTTGCCCGGGGCCAGCGTGGACACCACCAGCCCTGACCTGGGATCCGGCTCCACTGTCTCGCACCGCTCCGCCATGACTGTGACCACCCCAGGAAGCGCAAGCCCGCCCACCTCGTCCACCTCCACAGCCAGATCTGCCACCACCCCTCAGGAGGACACGCGGACCAGTGCCCCCGGGACGCCGGCTACTGTACAGACCAGCCCCTTGCAGAAAACTGGCGCGCACACCGCCACGGCCTCCCTCACCGCCACAGTCATGGCCACGGCCACCCCCGTGGCCACGGCCACGGAAAGCTCCTACCCCGAGGTAACCTCCCGGGGGACAGGGGCCACTCAGATCCCCACCTCGGCACGGGCGTCCACTCTGGGACTCACCTCCACAGACGCACCGGGGCTCGCCACCTCCAGCGCGGGCACACCGCTCGGTCCAGCCGGCACCTCCAGCCCTGGGACCGCGCCTCAGCCGAGCTCCCCAGCCAGCAGCCCCCCGGACAGTCCCACCACCGCCCTGGCACCGGCCGACAGCTGGCACTTCACGGATGGCCTTGCGGAATCAACGCACACGCCGGAGTCGCTTCCCTCGGGCACAGCTTCTGGCAGCGTGACGGCCACACTAACGCCCCCTCTGCGGGAAGGCAGCCCTGGCCCCACCCAGGTGCCCACCAGCACCACCAGCTCCAGTGCTGCTGGGCCATCCACTCCCCGAGGACACAGCACCCCCGAGACGGGTCCGCCAGCCTCCCTCCTCACCGTCACACCACAGCAGGGCTCAGCCTGGCCAACCACGGGTTCCCACCCCGCTGACACCTCAAACCCCACGTCCATGCCCAGCACACCTTCCAGCGCACCCCCGGGGCCCGCCACCACCCTCACGCCAACCCTTCCCACGTCCCAGGACACGACCCGGGCCTCTCTGGAGGCCACCTCCGCGTTTGGCCTCACCGGGCCGTCCCTGTCCCCCACGGCCCCCGCCACGGTGACCCCGTCGGCCTCCTGGCAGGACAGCCGGTCCACACCGGCACTCATGGCGTCCTCACCGGGTGCAGGCTCGCCAGCCCACCCCCTTGGCACGGAGGCCACCGCCCACACGGTATCCGGCCGAGCCACAGAGACCGGCACTGTCCTAGGGACGCCGACCAGGCCCTCTACCCCACCGGGCACAGCGTCCCCCGGGCTCTCCAGCACGGCCAGCTCCTCGTCCGGCACCATGGCCCCTGCCCTGCCCAGTGGGTCCAGCACCGGGCCACCGGTGTCCACGGGAGCCGCCACCAGCTGGCCAGCTTCCTCCGGGCCACAGCCCCACTCTGCCGGACTGGCCGGGGAGCGCACCACCGCGCCTACTCACTTCTCTTCTGCCCCGGCCTGGACCTCGGCGTCCTCCTCCTCCTCCTCCTCCTCCTCGGCCTTGCCCGGGGCCAGCGTGGACACCACCAGCCCTGACCTGGGATCTGGCTCCACTGTCTCGCACCGCTCCGCCATGACTGTGACCACCCCAGGAAGCGCAAGCCCGCCCACCTCGTCCACCTCCACAGCCAGATCTGCCACCACCCCTCAGGAGGACACGCGGACCGGTGCCCCCGGGACGCCGGCTACTGTACAGACCAGCCCCTTGCAGAAAACTGGCGCGCACACCGCCACGGCCTCCCTCACCGCCACAGTCATGGCCACGGCCACCCCCGTGGCCACAGCCACGGAAAGCTCCTACCCCGAGGTAACCTCCCGGGGGACAGGGGCCACTCAGATCCCCACCTCGGCACGGGCGTCCACTCTGGGACTCACCTCCACAGACGCACCGGGGCTCGCCACCTCCAGCGCGGGCACACCGCTCGGTCCAGCCGGCACCTCCAGCCCTGGGACCGCGCCTCAGCCGAGCTCCCCAGCCAGCAGCCCCCCGGACAGTCCCACCACCGCCCTGGCACCGGCCGACAGCTGGCACTTCACGGATGGCCTTGCGGAATCAACGCACACGCCGGAGTCGCTTCCCTCGGGCACAGCTTCTGGCAGCGTGACGGCCACACTAACGCCCCCTCTGCGGGAAGGCAGCCCTGGCCCCACCCAGGTGCCCACCAGCACCACCAGCTCCAGTGCTGCTGGGCCATCCACTCCCCGAGGACACAGCACCCCCGAGACGGGTCCGCCAGCCTCCCTCCTCACCGTCACACCACAGCAGGGCTCAGCCTGGCCAACCACGGGTTCCCACCCCGCTGACACCTCAAACCCCACGTCCATGCCCAGCACACCTTCCAGCGCACCCCCGGGGCCCGCCACCACCCTCACGCCAACCCTTCCCACGTCCCAGGACACGACCCGGGCCTCTCTGGAGGCCACCTCCGCGTTTGGCCTCACCGGGCCGTCCCTGTCCCCCACGGCCCCCGCCACAGTGACGCCGTCGGCCTCCTGGCAGGACAGCCGGTCCACACCGGCACTCATGGCGTCCTCACCGGGTGCAGGCTCGCCAGCCCACCCCCTTGCCACGGAGGCCACCGCCCACACGGTATCCGGCCGAGCCACAGAGACCGGCACTGTCCTAGGGACGCCGACCAGGCCCTCTACCCCACCGGGCACAGCGTCCCCCGGGCTCTCCAGCACGGCCAGCTCCTCGTCCGGCACCATGGCCCCTGCCCTGCCCAGTGGGTCCAGCACCGGGCCACCGGTGTCCACGGGAGCCGCCACCAGCTGGCCAGCTTCCTCCGGGCCACAGCCCCACTCTGCCGGACTGGCCGGGGAGCGCACCACCGCGCCTACTCACTTCTCTTCTGCCCCGGCCTGGACCTCGGCGTCCTCCGCCTCCTCCTCCTCCTCCTCCTCCTCCTCCTCGGCCTTGCCCGGGGCCAGCGTGGACACCACCAGCCCTGACCTGGGATCCGGCTCCACTGTCTCGCACCGCTCCGCCATGACTGTGACCACCCCAGGAAGCGCAAGCCCGCCCACCTCGTCCACCTCCACAGCCAGATCTGCCACCACCCCTCAGGAGGACACGCGGACCAGTGCCCCCGGGACGCCGGCTACTGTACAGACCAGCCCCTTGCAGAAAACTGGCGCGCACACCGCCACGGCCTCCCTCACCGCCACAGTCATGGCCACGGCCACCCCCGTGGCCACAGCCACGGAAAGCTCCTACCCCGAGGTAACCTCCCGGGGGACAGGGGCCACTCAGATCCCCACCTCGGCACGGGCGTCCACTCTGGGACTCACCTCCACAGACGCACCGGGGCTCGCCACCTCCAGCGCGGGCACACCGCTCGGTCCAGCCGGCACCTCCAGCCCTGGGACCGCGCCTCAGCCGAGCTCCCCAGCCAGCAGCCCCCCGGACAGTCCCACCACCGCCCTGGCACCGGCCGACAGCTGGCACTTCACGGATGGCCTTGCGGAATCAACGCACACGCCGGAGTCGCTTCCCTCGGGCACAGCTTCTGGCAGCGTGACGGCCACACTAACGCCCCCTCTGCGGGAAGGCAGCCCTGGCCCCACCCAGGTGCCCACCAGCACCACCAGCTCCAGTGCTGCTGGGCCATCCACTCCCCGAGGACACAGCACCCCCGAGACGGGTCCGCCAGCCTCCCTCCTCACCGTCACACCACAGCAGGGCTCAGCCTGGCCAACCACGGGTTCCCACCCCGCTGACACCTCAAACCCCACGTCCATGCCCAGCACACCTTCCAGCGCACCCCCGGGGCCCGCCACCACCCTCACGCCAACCCTTCCCACGTCCCAGGACACGACCCGGGCCTCTCTGGAGGCCACCTCCGCGTTTGACCTCACCGGGCCGTCCCTGTCCCCCACGGCCCCCGCCACGGTGACCCCGTCGGCCTCCTGGCAGGACAGCCGGTCCACACCGCCACTCATGGCGTCCTCACCGGGTGCAGGCTCGCCAGCCCACCCCCTTGCCACGGAGGCCACCGCCCACACGGTATCCGGCCGAGCCACAGAGACCGGCACTGTCCTAGGGACGCCGACCAGGCCCTCTACCCCACCGGGAACAGCGTCCCCCGGGCTCTCCAGCACGGCCAGCTCCTCGTCCGGCACCATGGCCCCTGCCCTGCCCAGTGGGTCCAGCACCGGGCCACCGGTGTCCACGGGAGCCGCCACCAGCTGGCCAGCTTCCTCCGGGCCACAGCCCCACTCTGCCGGACTGGCCGGGGAGCGCACCACCGCGCCTACTCACTTCTCTTCTGCCCCGGCCTGGACCTCGGCGTCCTCCGCCTCCTCCTCCTCCTCCTCCTCCTCCTCCTCCTCGGCCTTGCCCGGGGCCAGCGTGGACACCACCAGCCCTGACCTGGGATCCGGCTCCACTGTCTCGCACCGCTCCGCCATGACTGTGACCACCCCAGGAAGCGCAAGCCCGCCCACCTCGTCCACCTCCACAGCCAGATCTGCCACCACCCCTCAGGAGGACACGCGGACCAGTGCCCCCGGGACGCCGGCTACTGTACAGACCAGCCCCTTGCAGAAAACTGGCGCGCACACCGCCACGGCCTCCCTCACCGCCACAGTCATGGCCACGGCCACCCCCGTGGCCACAGCCACGGAAAGCTCCTACCCCGAGGTAACCTCCCGGGGGACAGGGGCCACTCAGATCCCCACCTCGGCACGGGCGTCCACTCTGGGACTCACCTCCACAGACGCACCGGGGCTCGCCACCTCCAGCGCGGGCACACCGCTCGGTCCAGCCGGCACCTCCAGCCCTGGGACCGCGCCTCAGCCGAGCTCCCCAGCCAGCAGCCCCCCGGACAGTCCCACCACCGCCCTGGCACCGGCCGACAGCTGGCACTTCACGGATGGCCTTGCGGAATCAACGCACACGCCGGAGTCGCTTCCCTCGGGCACAGCTTCTGGCAGCGTGACGGCCACACTAACGCCCCCTCTGCGGGAAGGCAGCCCTGGCCCCACCCAGGTGCCCACCAGCACCACCAGCTCCAGTGCTGCTGGGCCATCCACTCCCCGAGGACACAGCACCCCCGAGACGGGTCCGCCAGCCTCCCTCCTCACCGTCACACCACAGCAGGGCTCAGCCTGGCCAACCACGGGTTCCCACCCCGCTGACACCTCAAACCCCACGTCCATGCCCAGCACACCTTCCAGCGCACCCCCGGGGCCCGCCACCACCCTCACGCCAACCCTTCCCACGTCCCAGGACACGACCCGGGCCTCTCTGGAGGCCACCTCCGCGTTTGGCCTCACCGGGCCGTCCCTGTCCCCCACGGCCCCCGCCACGGTGACCCCGTCGGCCTCCTGGCAGGACAGCCGGTCCACACCGGCACTCATGGCGTCCTCACCGGGTGCAGGCTCGCCAGCCCACCCCCTTGCCACGGAGGCCACCGCCCACACGGTATCCGGCCGAGCCACAGAGACCGGCACTGTCCTAGGGACGCCGACCAGGCCCTCTACCCCACCGGGCACAGCGTCCCCCGGGCTCTCCAGCACGGCCAGCTCCTCGTCCGGCACCATGGCCCCTGCCCTGCCCAGTGGGTCCAGCACCGGGCCACCGGTGTCCACGGGAGCCGCCACCAGCTGGCCAGCTTCCTCCGGGCCACAGCCCCACTCTGCCGGACTGGCCGGGGAGCGCACCACCGCGCCTACTCACTTCTCTTCTGCCCCGGCCTGGACCTCGGCGTCCTCCGCCTCCTCCTCCTCCTCCTCCTCCTCCTCCTCGGCCTTGCCCGGGGCCAGCGTGGACACCACCAGCCCTGACCTGGGATCCGGCTCCACTGTCTCGCACCGCTCCGCCATGACTGTGACCACCCCAGGAAGCGCAAGCCCGCCCACCTCGTCCACCTCCACAGCCAGATCTGCCACCACCCCTCAGGAGGACACGCGGACCAGTGCCCCCGGGACGCCGGCTACTGTACAGACCAGCCCCTTGCAGAAAACTGGCGCGCACACCGCCACGGCCTCCCTCACCGCCACAGTCATGGCCACGGCCACCCCCGTGGCCACGGCCACGGAAAGCTCCTACCCCGAGGTAACCTCCCGGGGGACAGGGGCCACTCAGATCCCCACCTCGGCACGGGCGTCCACTCTGGGACTCACCTCCACAGACGCACCGGGGCTCGCCACCTCCAGCGCGGGCACACCGCTCGGTCCAGCCGGCACCTCCAGCCCTGGGACCGCGCCTCAGCCGAGCTCCCCAGCCAGCAGCCCCCCGGACAGTCCCACCACCGCCCTGGCACCGGCCGACAGCTGGCACTTCACGGATGGCCTTGCGGAATCAACGCACACGCCGGAGTCGCTTCCCTCGGGCACAGCTTCTGGCAGCGTGACGGCCACACTAACGCCCCCTCTGCGGGAAGGCAGCCCTGGCCCCACCCAGGTGCCCACCAGCACCACCAGCTCCAGTGCTGCTGGGCCATCCACTCCCCGAGGACACAGCACCCCCGAGACGGGTCCGCCAGCCTCCCTCCTCACCGTCACACCACAGCAGGGCTCAGCCTGGCCAACCACGGGTTCCCACCCCGCTGACACCTCAAACCCCACGTCCATGCCCAGCACACCTTCCAGCGCACCCCCGGGGCCCGCCACCACCCTCACGCCAACCCTTCCCACGTCCCAGGACACGACCCGGGCCTCTCTGGAGGCCACCTCCGCGTTTGACCTCACCGGGCCGTCCCTGTCCCCCACGGCCCCCGCCACGGTGACCCCGTCGGCCTCCTGGCAGGACAGCCGGTCCACACCGGCACTCATGGCGTCCTCACCGGGTGCAGGCTCGCCAGCCCACCCCCTTGCCACGGAGGCCACCGCCCACACGGTATCCGGCCGAGCCACAGAGACCGGCACTGTCCTAGGGACGCCGACCAGGCCCTCTACCCCACCGGGCACAGCGTCCCCCGGGCTCTCCAGCACGGCCAGCTCCTCGTCCGGCACCATGGCCCCTGCCCTGCCCAGTGGGTCCAGCACCGGGCCACCGGTGTCCACGGGAGCCGCCACCAGCTGGCCAGCTTCCTCCGGGCCACAGCCCCACTCTGCCGGACTGGCCGGGGAGCGCACCACCGCGCCTACTCACTTCTCTTCTACCCCGGCCTGGACCTCGGCGTCCTCCGCCTCCTCCTCCTCCTCCTCCTCCTCCTCCTCCTCGGCCTTGCCCGGGGCCAGCGTGGACACCACCAGCCCTGACCTGGGATCTGGCTCCACTGTCTCGCACCGCTCCGCCATGACTGTGACCACCCCAGGAAGCGCAAGCCCGCCCATCTCGTCCACCTCCACAGCCAGATCTGCCACCACCCCTCAGGAGGACACGCAGACCAGTGCCCCCGGGACACCGGCTACTGTACAGACCAGCCCCTTGCAGAAAACTGGCGCGCACACCGCCACGGCCTCCCTCACCGCCACAGTCATGGCCACGGCCACCCCCGTGGCCACAGCCACGGAAAGCTCCTACCCCGAGGTAACCTCCCGGGGGACAGGGGCCACTCAGATCCCCACCTCGGCACGGGCGTCCACTCTGGGACTCACCTCCACAGACGCACCGGGGCTCGCCACCTCCAGCGCGGGCACACCGCTCGGTCCAGCCGGCACCTCCAGCCCTGGGACCGCGCCTCAGCCGAGCTCCCCAGCCAGCAGCCCCCCGGACAGTCCCACCACCGCCCTGGCACCGGCCGACAGCTGGCACTTCACGGATGGCCTTGCGGAATCAACGCACACGCCGGAGTCGCTTCCCTCGGGCACAGCTTCTGGCAGCGTGACGGCCACACTAACGCCCCCTCTGCGGGAAGGCAGCCCTGGCCCCACCCAGGTGCCCACCACCACCACCAGCTCCAGTGCTGCTGGGCCATCCACTCCCCGAGGACACAGCACCCCCGAGACGGGTCCGCCAGCCTCCCTCCTCACCGTCACACCACAGCAGGGCTCAGCCTGGCCAACCACGGGTTCCCACCCCGCTGACACCTCAAACCCCACGTCCATGCCCAGCACACCTTCCAGCGCACCCCCAGGGCCCGCCACCACCCTCACGCCAACCCTTCCCACGTCCCAGGACACGACCCGGGCCTCTCTGGAGGCCACCTCCGCGTTTGACCTCACCGGGCCGTCCCTGTCCCCCACGGCCCCCGCCACGGTGACCCCGTCGGCCTCCTGGCAGGACAGCCGGTCCACACCGGCAATCATGGCGTCCTCACCGGGTGCAGGCTCGCCAGCCCACCCCCTTGCCACGGAGGCCACCGCCCACACGGTATCCGGCCGAGCCACAGAGACCGGCACTGTCCTAGGGACGCCGACCAGGCCCTCTACCCCACCGGGCACAGCATCCCCCGGGCTCTCCAGCACGGCCAGCTCCTCGTCCGGCACCATGGCCCCTGCCCTGCCCAGTGGGTCCAGCACCGGGCCACCGGTGTCCACGGGAGCCGCCACCAGCTGGCCAGCTTCCTCCGGGCCACAGCCCCACTCTGCCGGACTGGCCGGGGAGCGCACCACCGCGCCTACTCACTTCTCTTCTGCCCCGGCCTGGACCTCGGCGTCCTCCTCCTCCTCCTCCTCCTCCTCGGCCTTGCCCGGGGCCAGCGTGGACACCACCAGCCCTGACCTGGGATCTGGCTCCACTGTCTCGCACCGCTCCGCCATGACTGTGACCACCCCAGGAAGCGCAAGCCCGCCCACCTCGTCCACCTCCACAGCCAGATCTGCCACCACCCCTCAGGAGGACACGCGGACCGGTGCCCCCGGGACGCCGGCTACTGTACAGACCAGCCCCTTGCAGAAAACTGGCGCGCACACCGCCACGGCCTCCCTCACCGCCACAGTCATGGCCACGGCCACCCCCGTGGCCACAGCCACGGAAAGCTCCTACCCCGAGGTAACCTCCCGGGGGACAGGGGCCACTCAGATCCCCACCTCGGCACGGGCGTCCACTCTGGGACTCACCTCCACAGACGCACCGGGGCTCGCCACCTCCAGCGCGGGCACACCGCTCGGTCCAGCCGGCACCTCCAGCCCTGGGACCGCGCCTCAGCCGAGCTCCCCAGCCAGCAGCCCCCCGGACAGTCCCACCACCGCCCTGGCACCGGCCGACAGCTGGCACTTCACGGATGGCCTTGCGGAATCAACGCACACGCCGGAGTCGCTTCCCTCGGGCACAGCTTCTGGCAGCGTGACGGCCACACTAACGCCCCCTCTGCGGGAAGGCAGCCCTGGCCCCACCCAGGTGCCCACCACCACCACCAGCTCCAGTGCTGCTGGGCCATCCACTCCCCGAGGACACAGCACCCCCGAGACGGGTCCGCCAGCCTCCCTCCTCACCGTCACACCACAGCAGGGCTCAGCCTGGCCAACCACGGGTTCCCACCCCGCTGACACCTCAAACCCCACGTCCATGCCCAGCACACCTTCCAGCGCACCCCCGGGGCCCGCCACCACCCTCACGCCAACCCTTCCCACGTCCCAGGACACGACCCGGGCCTCTCTGGAGGCCACCTCCGCGTTTGGCCTCACCGGGCCGTCCCTGTCCCCCACGGCCCCCGCCACGGTGACCCCGTCGGCCTCCTGGCAGGACAGCCGGTCCACACCGGCACTCATGGCGTCCTCACCGGGTGCAGGCTCGCCAGCCCACCCCCTTGCCACGGAGGCCACCGCCCACACGGTATCCGGCCGAGCCACAGAGACCGGCACTGTCCTAGGGACGCCGACCAGGCCCTCTACCCCACCGGGCACAGCGTCCCCCGGGCTCTCCAGCACGGCCAGCTCCTCGTCCGGCACCATGGCCCCTGCCCTGCCCAGTGGGTCCAGCACCGGGCCACCGGTGTCCACGGGAGCCGCCACCAGCTGGCCAGCTTCCTCCGGGCCACAGCCCCACTCTGCCGGACTGGCCGGGGAGCGCACCACCGCGCCTACTCACTTCTCTTCTGCCCCGGCCTGGACCTCGGCGTCCTCCTCCTCCTCCTCCTCCTCCTCAGCCTTGCCCGGGGCCAGCGTGGACACCACCAGCCCTGACCTGGGATCTGGCTCCACTGTCTCGCACCGCTCCGCCATGACTGTGACCACCCCAGGAAGCGCAAGCCCGCCCACCTCGTCCACCTCCACAGCCAGATCTGCCACCACCCCTCAGGAGGACACGCGGACCAGTGCCCCCGGGACGCCGGCTACTGTACAGACCAGCCCCTTGCAGAAAACTGGCGCGCACACCGCCACGGCCTCCCTCACCGCCACAGTCATGGCCACGGCCACCCCCGTGGCCACAGCCACGGAAAGCTCCTACCCCGAGGTAACCTCCCGGGGGACAGGGGCCACTCAGATCCCCACCTCGGCACGGGCGTCCACTCTGGGACTCACCTCCACAGACGCACCGGGGCTCGCCACCTCCAGCGCGGGCACACCGCTCGGTCCAGCCGGCACCTCCAGCCCTGGGACCGCGCCTCAGCCGAGCTCCCCAGCCAGCAGCCCCCCGGACAGTCCCACCACCGCCCTGGCACCGGCCGACAGCTGGCACTTCACGGATGGCCTTGCGGAATCAACGCACACGCCGGAGTCGCTTCCCTCGGGCACAGCTTCTGGCAGCGTGACGGCCACACTAACGCCCCCTCTGCGGGAAGGCAGCCCTGGCCCCACCCAGGTGCCCACCACCACCACCAGCTCCAGTGCTGCTGGGCCATCCACTCCCCGAGGACACAGCACCCCCGAGACGGGTCCGCCAGCCTCCCTCCTCACCGTCACACCACAGCAGGGCTCAGCCTGGCCAACCACGGGTTCCCACCCCGCTGACACCTCAAACCCCACGTCCATGCCCAGCACACCTTCCAGCGCACCCCCGGGGCCCGCCACCACCCTCACGCCAACCGTTCCCACGTCCCAGGACACGACCCGGGCCTCTCTGGAGGCCACCTCCGCGTTTGGCCTCACCGGGCCGTCCCTGTCCCCCACGGCCCCCGCCACAGTGACCCCGTCGGCCTCCTGGCAGGACAGCCGGTCCACACCGGCACTCATGGCGTCCTCACCGGGTGCAGGCTCGCCAGCCCACCCCCTTGCCACGGAGGCCACCGCCCACACGGTATCCGGCCGAGCCACAGAGACCGGCACTGTCCTAGGGACGCCGACCAGGCCCTCTACCCCACCGGGCACAGCGTCCCCCGGGCTCTCCAGCACGGCCAGCTCCTCGTCCGGCACCATGGCCCCTGCCCTGCCCAGTGGGTCCAGCACCGGGCCACCGGTGTCCACGGGAGCCGCCACCAGCTGGCCAGCTTCCTCCGGGCCACAGCCCCACTCTGCCGGACTGGCCGGGGAGCGCACCACCGCGCCTACTCACTTCTCTTCTGCCCCGGCCTGGACCTCGGCGTCCTCCTCCTCCTCCTCCTCCTCCTCAGCCTTGCCCGGGGCCAGCGTGGACACCACCAGCCCTGACCTGGGATCTGGCTCCACTGTCTCGCACCGCTCCGCCATGACTGTGACCACCCCAGGAAGCGCAAGCCCGCCCACCTCGTCCACCTCCACAGCCAGATCTGCCACCACCCCTCAGGAGGACACGCGGACCAGTGCCCCCGGGACGCCGGCTACTGTACAGACCAGCCCCTTGCAGAAAACTGGCGCGCACACCGCCACGGCCTCCCTCACCGCCACAGTCATGGCCACGGCCACCCCCGTGGCCACAGCCACGGAAAGCTCCTACCCCGAGGTAACCTCCCGGGGGACAGGGGCCACTCAGATCCCCACCTCGGCACGGGCGTCCACTCTGGGACTCACCTCCACAGACGCACCGGGGCTCGCCACCTCCAGCGCGGGCACACCGCTCGGTCCAGCCGGCACCTCCAGCCCTGGGACCGCGCCTCAGCCGAGCTCCCCAGCCAGCAGCCCCCCGGACAGTCCCACCACCGCCCTGGCACCGGCCGACAGCTGGCACTTCACGGATGGCCTTGCGGAATCAACGCACACGCCGGAGTCGCTTCCCTCGGGCACAGCTTCTGGCAGCGTGACGGCCACACTAACGCCCCCTCTGCGGGAAGGCAGCCCTGGCCCCACCCAGGTGCCCACCACCACCACCAGCTCCAGTGCTGCTGGGCCATCCACTCCCCGAGGACACAGCACCCCCGAGACGGGTCCGCCAGCCTCCCTCCTCACCGTCACACCACAGCAGGGCTCAGCCTGGCCAACCACGGGTTCCCACCCCGCTGACACCTCAAACCCCACGTCCATGCCCAGCACACCTTCCAGCGCACCCCCGGGGCCCGCCACCACCCTCACGCCAACCCTTCCCACGTCCCAGGACACGACCCGGGCCTCTCTGGAGGCCACCTCCGCGTTTGGCCTCACCGGGCCGTCCCTGTCCCCCACGGCCCCCGCCACGGTGACCCCGTCGGCCTCCTGGCAGGACAGCCGGTCCACACCGGCACTCATGGCGTCCTCACCGGGTGCAGGCTCGCCAGCCCACCCCCTTGCCACGGAGGCCACCGCCCACACGGTATCCGGCCGAGCCACAGAGACCGGCACTGTCCTAGGGACGCCGACCAGGCCCTCTACCCCACCGGGCACAGCGTCCCCCGGGCTCTCCAGCACGGCCAGCTCCTCGTCCGGCACCATGGCCCCTGCCCTGCCCAGTGGGTCCAGCACCGGGCCACCGGTGTCCACGGGAGCCGCCACCAGCTGGCCAGCTTCCTCCGGGCCACAGCCCCACTCTGCCGGACTGGCCGGGGAGCGCACCACCGCGCCTACTCACTTCTCTTCTGCCCCGGCCTGGACCTCGGCGTCCTCCTCCTCCTCCTCCTCCTCCTCAGCCTTGCCCGGGGCCAGCGTGGACACCACCAGCCCTGACCTGGGATCTGGCTCCACTGTCTCGCACCGCTCCGCCATGACTGTGACCACCCCAGGAAGCGCAAGCCCGCCCACCTCGTCCACCTCCACAGCCAGATCTGCCACCACCCCTCAGGAGGACACGCGGACCAGTGCCCCCGGGACGCCGGCTACTGTACAGACCAGCCCCTTGCAGAAAACTGGCGCGCACACCGCCACGGCCTCCCTCACCGCCACAGTCATGGCCACGGCCACCCCCGTGGCCACAGCCACGGAAAGCTCCTACCCCGAGGTAACCTCCCGGGGGACAGGGGCCACTCAGATCCCCACCTCGGCACGGGCGTCCACTCTGGGACTCACCTCCACAGACGCACCGGGGCTCGCCACCTCCAGCGCGGGCACACCGCTCGGTCCAGCCGGCACCTCCAGCCCTGGGACCGCGCCTCAGCCGAGCTCCCCAGCCAGCAGCCCCCCGGACAGTCCCACCACCGCCCTGGCACCGGCCGACAGCTGGCACTTCACGGATGGCCTTGCGGAATCAACGCACACGCCGGAGTCGCTTCCCTCGGGCACAGCTTCTGGCAGCGTGACGGCCACACTAACGCCCCCTCTGCGGGAAGGCAGCCCTGGCCCCACCCAGGTGCCCACCACCACCACCAGCTCCAGTGCTGCTGGGCCATCCACTCCCCGAGGACACAGCACCCCCGAGACGGGTCCGCCAGCCTCCCTCCTCACCGTCACACCACAGCAGGGCTCAGCCTGGCCAACCACGGGTTCCCACCCCGCTGACACCTCAAACCCCACGTCCATGCCCAGCACACCTTCCAGCGCACCCCCGGGGCCCGCCACCACCCTCACGCCAACCCTTCCCACGTCCCAGGACACGACCCGGGCCTCTCTGGAGGCCACCTCCGCGTTTGGCCTCACCGGGCCGTCCCTGTCCCCCACGGCCCCCGCCACGGTGACCCCGTCGGCCTCCTGGCAGGACAGCCGGTCCACACCGGCACTCATGGCGTCCTCACCGGGTGCAGGCTCGCCAGCCCACCCCCTTGCCACGGAGGCCACCGCCCACACGGTATCCGGCCGAGCCACAGAGACCGGCACTGTCCTAGGGACGCCGACCAGGCCCTCTACCCCACCGGGCACAGCGTCCCCCGGGCTCTCCAGCACGGCCAGCTCCTCGTCCGGCACCATGGCCCCTGCCCTGCCCAGTGGGTCCAGCACCGGGCCACCGGTGTCCACGGGAGCCGCCACCAGCTGGCCAGCTTCCTCCGGGCCACAGCCCCACTCTGCCGGACTGGCCGGGGAGCGCACCACCGCGCCTACTCACTTCTCTTCTGCCCCGGCCTGGACCTCGGCGTCCTCCTCCTCCTCCTCCTCCTCCTCAGCCTTGCCCGGGGCCAGCGTGGACACCACCAGCCCTGACCTGGGATCTGGCTCCACTGTCTCGCACCGCTCCGCCATGACTGTGACCACCCCAGGAAGCGCAAGCCCGCCCACCTCGTCCACCTCCACAGCCAGATCTGCCACCACCCCTCAGGAGGACACGCGGACCAGTGCCCCCGGGACGCCGGCTACTGTACAGACCAGCCCCTTGCAGAAAACTGGCGCGCACACCGCCACGGCCTCCCTCACCGCCACAGTCATGGCCACGGCCACCCCCGTGGCCACAGCCACGGAAAGCTCCTACCCCGAGGTAACCTCCCGGGGGACAGGGGCCACTCAGATCCCCACCTCGGCACGGGCGTCCACTCTGGGACTCACCTCCACAGACGCACCGGGGCTCGCCACCTCCAGCGCGGGCACACCGCTCGGTCCAGCCGGCACCTCCAGCCCTGGGACCGCGCCTCAGCCGAGCTCCCCAGCCAGCAGCCCCCCGGACAGTCCCACCACCGCCCTGGCACCGGCCGACAGCTGGCACTTCACGGATGGCCTTGCGGAATCAACGCACACGCCGGAGTCGCTTCCCTCGGGCACAGCTTCTGGCAGCGTGACGGCCACACTAACGCCCCCTCTGCGGGAAGGCAGCCCTGGCCCCACCCAGGTGCCCACCACCACCACCAGCTCCAGTGCTGCTGGGCCATCCACTCCCCGAGGACACAGCACCCCCGAGACGGGTCCGCCAGCCTCCCTCCTCACCGTCACACCACAGCAGGGCTCAGCCTGGCCAACCACGGGTTCCCACCCCGCTGACACCTCAAACCCCACGTCCATGCCCAGCACACCTTCCAGCGCACCCCCGGGGCCCGCCACCACCCTCACGCCAACCCTTCCCACGTCCCAGGACACGACCCGGGCCTCTCTGGAGGCCACCTCCGCGTTTGGCCTCACCGGGCCGTCCCTGTCCCCCACGGCCCCCGCCACGGTGACCCCGTCGGCCTCCTGGCAGGACAGCCGGTCCACACCGGCACTCATGGCGTCCTCACCGGGTGCAGGCTCGCCAGCCCACCCCCTTGCCACGGAGGCCACCGCCCACACGGTATCCGGCCGAGCCACAGAGACCGGCACTGTCCTAGGGACGCCGACCAGGCCCTCTACCCCACCGGGCACAGCGTCCCCCGGGCTCTCCAGCACGGCCAGCTCCTCGTCCGGCACCATGGCCCCTGCCCTGCCCAGTGGGTCCAGCACCGGGCCACCGGTGTCCACGGGAGCCGCCACCAGCTGGCCAGCTTCCTCCGGGCCACAGCCCCACTCTGCCGGACTGGCCGGGGAGCGCACCACCGCGCCTACTCACTTCTCTTCTGCCCCGGCCTGGACCTCGGCATCCTCCTCCTCCTCCTCCTCCTCCTCAGCCTTGCCCGGGGCCAGCGTGGACACCACCAGCCCTGACCTGGGATCTGGCTCCACTGTCTCGCACCGCTCCGCCATGACTGTGACCACCCCAGGAAGCGCAAGCCCGCCCACCTCGTCCACCTCCACAGCCAGATCTGCCACCACCCCTCAGGAGGACACGCGGACCAGTGCCCCCGGGACGCCGGCTACTGTACAGACCAGCCCCTTGCAGAAAACTGGCGCGCACACCGCCACGGCCTCCCTCACCGCCACAGTCATGGCCACGGCCACCCCCGTGGCCACAGCCACGGAAAGCTCCTACCCCGAGGTAACCTCCCGGGGGACAGGGGCCACTCAGATCCCCACCTCGGCACGGGCGTCCACTCTGGGACTCACCTCCACAGACGCACCGGGGCTCGCCACCTCCAGCGCGGGCACACCGCTCGGTCCAGCCGGCACCTCCAGCCCTGGGACCGCGCCTCAGCCGAGCTCCCCAGCCAGCAGCCCCCCGGACAGTCCCACCACCGCCCTGGCACCGGCCGACAGCTGGCACTTCACGGATGGCCTTGCGGAATCAACGCACACGCCGGAGTCGCTTCCCTCGGGCACAGCTTCTGGCAGCGTGACGGCCACACTAACGCCCCCTCTGCGGGAAGGCAGCCCTGGCCCCACCCAGGTGCCCACCACCACCACCAGCTCCAGTGCTGCTGGGCCATCCACTCCCCGAGGACACAGCACCCCCGAGACGGGTCCGCCAGCCTCCCTCCTCACCGTCACACCACAGCAGGGCTCAGCCTGGCCAACCACGGGTTCCCACCCCGCTGACACCTCAAACCCCACGTCCATGCCCAGCACACCTTCCAGCGCACCCCCGGGGCCCGCCACCACCCTCGCGCCAACCCTTCCCATGTCCCACTACACGACCCGGGCCTCTCTGGAGGCCACCTCCGCGTTTGGCCTCACCGGGCCGTCCCTGTCCCCCACGGCCCCCGCCACGGTGACCCCGTCGGCCTCCTGGCAGGACAGCCGGTCCACACCGGCACTCATGGCGTCCTCACCGGGTGCAGGCTCGCCAGCCCACCCCCTTGCCACGGAGGCCACCGCCCACACGGTATCCGGCCGAGCCACAGAGACCGGCACTGTCCTAGGGACGCCGACCAGGCCCTCTACCCCACCGGGCACAGCGTCCCCCGGGCTCTCCAGCACGGTCAGCTCCTCGTCCGGCACCATGGCCCCTGCCCTGCCCAGTGGGTCCAGCACCGGGCCACCGGTGTCCACGGGAGCCGCCACCAGCTGGCCAGCTTCCTCCGGGCCACAGCCCCACTCTGCCGGACTGGCCGGGGAGCGCACCACCGCGCCTACTCACTTCTCTTCTGCCCCGGCCTGGACCTCGGCCTCCTCCTCCTCCTCCTCCTCCTCCTCCTCCTCCTCCTCCTCCTCCTCGGCCTTGCCCGGGGCCAGCGTGGACACCACCAGCCCTGACCTGGGATCCGGCTCCACTGTCTCGCACCGCTCCGCCATGACTGTGACCACCCCAGCAAGCGCAAGCCCGCCCACCTCGTCCACCTCCACAGCCAGATCTGCCACCACCCCTCAGGAGGACACGCGGACCAGTGCCCCCGGGACGCCGGCTACTGTACAGACCAGCCCCTTGCAGAAAACTGGCGCGCACACCGCCACGGCCTCCCTCACCGCCACAGTCATGGCCACGGCCACCCCCGTGGCCACAGCCACGGAAAGCTCCTACCCCGAGGTAACCTCCCGGGGGACAGGGGCCACTCAGATCCCCACCTCGGCACGGGCGTCCACTCTGGGACTCACCTCCACAGACGCACCGGGGCTCGCCACCTCCAGCGCGGGCACACCGCTCGGTCCAGCCGGCACCTCCAGCCCTGGGACCGCGCCTCAGCCGAGCTCCCCAGCCAGCAGCCCCCCGGACAGTCCCACCACCGCCCTGGCACCGGCCGACAGCTGGCACTTCACGGATGGCCTTGCGGAATCAACGCACACGCCGGAGTCGCTTCCCTCGGGCACAGCTTCTGGCAGCGTGACGGCCACACTAACGCCCCCTCTGCGGGAAGGCAGCCCTGGCCCCACCCAGGTGCCCACCACCACCACCAGCTCCAGTGCTGCTGGGCCATCCACTCCCCGAGGACACAGCACCCCCGAGACGGGTCCGCCAGCCTCCCTCCTCACCGTCACACCACAGCAGGGCTCAGCCTGGCCAACCACGGGTTCCCACCCCGCTGACACCTCAAACCCCACGTCCATGCCCAGCACACCTTCCAGCGCACCCCCGGGGCCCGCCACCACCCTCACGCCAACCCTTCCCACGTCCCAGGACACGACCCGGGCCTCTCTGGAGGCCACCTCCGCGTTTGGCCTCACCGGGCCGTCCCTGTCCCCCACGGCCCCCGCCACGGTGACCCCGTCGGCCTCCTGGCAGGACAGCCGGTCCACACCGGCACTCATGGCGTCCTCACCGGGTGCAGGCTCGCCAGCCCACCCCCTTGCCACGGAGGCCACCGCCCACACGGTATCCGGCCGAGCCACAGAGACCGGCACTGTCCTAGGGACGCCGACCAGGCCCTCTACCCCACCGGGCACAGCGTCCCCCGGGCTCTCCAGCACGGCCAGCTCCTCGTCCGGCACCATGGCCCCTGCCCTGCCCAGTGGGTCCAGCACCGGGCCACCGGTGTCCACGGGAGCCGCCACCAGCTGGCCAGCTTCCTCCGGGCCACAGCCCCACTCTGCCGGACTGGCCGGGGAGCGCACCACCGCGCCTACTCACTTCTCTTCTGCCCAGGCCTGGACCTCGGCGTCCTCCTCCTCCTCCTCCTCCTCCTCAGCCTTGCCCGGGGCCAGCGTGGACACCACCAGCCCTGACCTGGGATCTGGCTCCACTGTCTCGCACCGCTCCGCCATGACTGTGACCACCCCAGGAAGCGCAAGCCCGCCCACCTCGTCCACCTCCACAGCCAGATCTGCCACCACCCCTCAGGAGGACACGCGGACCAGTGCCCCCGGGACGCCGGCTACTGTACAGACCAGCCCCTTGCAGAAAACTGGCGCGCACACCGCCACGGCCTCCCTCACCGCCACAGTCATGGCCACGGCCACCCCCGTGGCCACAGCCACGGAAAGCTCCTACCCCGAGGTAACCTCCCGGGGGACAGGGGCCACTCAGATCCCCACCTCGGCACGGGCGTCCACTCTGGGACTCACCTCCACAGACGCACCGGGGCTCGCCACCTCCAGCGCGGGCACACCGCTCGGTCCAGCCGGCACCTCCAGCCCTGGGACCGCGCCTCAGCCGAGCTCCCCAGCCAGCAGCCCCCCGGACAGTCCCACCACCGCCCTGGCACCGGCCGACAGCTGGCACTTCACGGATGGCCTTGCGGAATCAACGCACACACCGGAGTCGCTTCCCTCGGGCACAGCTTCTGGCAGCGTGACGGCCACACTAACGCCCCCTCTGCGGGAAGGCAGCCCTGGCCCCACCCAGGTGCCCACCAGCACCACCAGCTCCAGTGCTGCTGGGCCATCCACTCCCCGAGGACACAGCACCCCCGAGACGGGTCCGCCAGCCTCCCTCCTCACCATCACACCACAGCAGGGCTCAGCCTGGCCAACCACGGGTTCCCACCCCACTGACACCTCAAACCCCACGTCCATGCCCAGCACACCTTCCAGCGCACCCCCGGGGCCCGCCACCACCCTCGCGCCAACCCTTCCCATGTCCCACTACTCGACCCGGGCCTCTCTGGAGGCCACCTCCGCGTTTGGCCTCACCGGGCCGTCCCTGTCCCCCACGGCCCCCGCCACCGTGACCCCGTCGGCCTCCTGGCAGGACAGCCGGTCCACACCGGCACTCATGGCATCCTCAACGGGTGCAGGCTCGCCAGCCCACACCCTTGCCACGGAGGCCACCGCCCACACGGTATCCGGCCGAGCCACAGAGACTGGCACTGTCCTTGGGATGCTGACCAGGCCCCCTACACCACCAGGCACATTTTTCATAGGGGTCTCCACCCATCCCAGCTCCTTCTTGGTTACCATGGCCCCTGCTCCCCACTCTCAGGCCTCCACTGCTGCCCTGATTACCGCAGCTTCCTCTAAGCCGCAGCCACCCTCAGCCTATCTGACAACCATTCTCCCCACTTCCAGTACTCCACACTCTCCGCCATCTGTCCATTCCCTACACTCCCTGTCCTCGTTCGTTCCCATGTCCAGTGTGCCCACCACTCTCACTGGTCTCGCCTCCAGCTCCACCCCAGCATACCCCTCATATTCCTCTGCCTTTTCTGGATCCTCAACAACTGTGAAGTCCACAAGTCTGTCACCTTCCACAGGGATGAAGCTTTCATCCCTGTCCGGTCATCCAGGGGAGGCCACAACCTCCTTTGCCTCATCTTTCACATCTTCTCTGCCTGTTTTCACATCCCTCCAGGGCTCTGGCTCCAAAATCACCTCCTTGACACCGAGTGTCCCTCATGGTCTTACTCAGTCTCTGTCCTCATCTCTTGACCTCAGTGTGCCCCTAACAACATCGCAGCCTTTCTGGGTAGACACTCAAAGCTCATTTTCCCAGAGTTCATCACTTGTGTCTACTCCAACAGCAGCTGTTACCCGCCATGGGAGTTTAACAGGCCGTGCCTCACCTCCTCAGCCTACTTCCCAAGGTACTGCTCATTGGATTTCCTTTCTGTATCAGACAGTGGCACCACCAAGGTGTCCTTTTTCAATCTTTATAGTTTACACCTAAAACCCGTCCTAACAACACATTGTTACCACCCGGTTTTTACTCTAGATCTAAGGACAATGTTGACAGATATTAATGATCCAATTGTTTTATAGTTCCTCTACTCTAAAGTATATGCAGAAAGAGGCATCCACACCTTTTAAATTCTCATGCTAGGAACTCCCAGGAAATAACCTCTATTTGATAGGAATATGTTTTTTTTTTTTGTTTTTTTGTTTTTTTTTTTTTTGTCTTTTTATGGGTACCGGGGATCGAACTCACAACTGCCTGCTTCCAAGGCAGGCGCTTATACCACTGAGCTAAATCTCCAGCCCCTGATAGGAATATGTTAAAGTGTTGTTCATTTCAGTTGCATGTACTGGCCTATGCACTGGTCAAAGAAGGATAAATAAGCCAGTAATAAAATTGTTACAGTGATGTAGTAGTTGGTACAGCTTAATACTAATGTTGATGAATACTAATGCTTACTGAACCCTTATTCTGTGTCCAGCACTATTTTGTTGAGATTTTAAATCTGTTTCAGGTGAGGAGATTAAGACCCAGTAATATTAGCATTTAGAAAATTGGCAGGAAAGGCCAAAGATTCTAGCAACACAGATGACTGGAAAAATACGGTTTGAGGTAGAAATAGTTCTGTCAAATACCACAGTGCAGCCAAGCTCATATGAGGAGAAATGTTTACACAACCTGAGGGCCTTCAGAGATTTTAATGAAAGGTGTGTGTTGGAGGCATAGGACACAATGCCTAATATAATAACTAAACTATAGGTAAAATAATACAAGCTATGATTGAAAAATATTGCAAATGTTTAAATTAAAAACATTACCATAAAAACTGTCATTATTCTTCAAATACTCCCTTTTGCCTTGCACACACTTAGCCCACAATTCTTACCACTTTCTGAGGCAGCTCTGAAAGCCCTCTTTCATCATCGTCTTTATTTGTTATGGCTGCCTCCGAGTTCTGAATCCATCGAAAAGTTTTACCTTTTAAGTTCATTTTGACTTTGGCGAAGATCCAGAAGGTGCACAGTGCCAGAGTTGTTGAATAAGGTGGATGAGGATGCACCGTAATAGTGTTATGAGTCTGCTTTTCCACTGGAAGCAGCACTCGCCCTTGATCACACCTTAGAAAGCATGTGAAAGATTTCCAGAGCTGCTTCCAGAGCAGCCAGAACAGTGGGATTTGATGCCTCTTGCATCTGAAGCAAGAGGTAGTGTTCTGAAAGGGAATCCATGACCGTGGATCTGCTATTTGCTATAATTAAATTTTAGAATGGGAGGATGGAAGGAGGGATTAAAATAAATTAAAACAGAAAACGTGAAAAGATAAAATGAAGCAAAGATTAAAGGAAAGAGAAATCAAAAATGCAAATAGGGAAGATGAATTGAAGAATGCTAGGTAGGAAGAAAGGATTAAAGCAGGTAACAATGGAAGGAAAGATGCTCAGATGTAGATGTGGATGGAGAGACAGATGGACAAAGCTTTGGGTAGATGCACAGATCTATGGATGGATATGGCCATTTATACTAAGCATCTCCACCATCAAGTTGCTACCAATAGGCCCGAGACGCAGAAGGATACATAGGGTAGTGGGTGTGCGCCTCTGGAGGAGATGAGTTACTTACCCCAGTTTCCTTCTCACCCTCACCCGTAGGAATCGAAAACGTTGTGGAGCGCAACACAAGGTTACCCAGTGAAGCAGCAGACAGAGGCACTGTGGGGCCAGTCGAGGGCCCTCCGGCGTCCACAGCCCCGGCCAGTCCTAAAGGTAGGTTCACTTGTGCCTGCTTTTAACTGACACCAATTGTGCCCTTAATTTTTTTTTATTTAAAAACAAAGCAAAACAAAGCAAGACAGTAAAAAGCTACAAGTAATACAGAATTTCAAGAGAAAAAATATACAGTAAGAATTCACTAGTAAATACATTACATATTGTCATCTCAGAAACAGTTGTCCAGGTTACAAAATTAAAGCATACAAAGTAAACATTAATACAGTGAGATTGTAGACAGTTCTGTTCAATGATCCAACAAAAACTCAGTAATATGGTTTTCTATCCTACACTCTTAAATACTCTTACAGTTGTATCCTTTAGATCACTTTCTTTCCTCCCTATCTTACGTTAACAATCATACATTTTGGGTTCCATTACTCCCACAGTTCTTATAACTTTTTCTTTAAAGAGGAAAAAATATATATATAAAACAAGAAACAAGACAAAACAAAACAGAACAAAAAAATTGTACCCTTCTTTCCTGATCTGAAGAAATAAAATTGTTACTTTCTTTAGATAGAATTCTTATTTTTTCTATGTGGCTCTCATGAGTTTCTCTGAGTGAGGTCTTTGTGGGTGCATTTCATTTTAGTCATAGCATGTTGCATGAGTTGAGTTCAGTGTCAGGTATACCAACCCAACCAATCTGGACAGATTAGCTTAACTCTGCAAATGTCTATTAATTACCATGTGTCAGAGCCTATAGTATTAGCACAATTGAAAATTGTTAGCATTTCATCTATGGAGCCCTGAGTCTGGGAGGAAAAACAGCAAAGAAACAAAATAACTGCTTAGCTTTAAAGGCATATGATGGAGATGTATTGGACACTAGAGGGAAGGTATCAGTGATGAGGTGGGTTGGGTTTAAAGGATGGGTTTACTAGAAAGAGAAGGACTTGATGGAAACTTTATGCATGGAGAGCAAAACAACACATTAAAATACAATGAGGAGTGAAACCCAGGAATACTTGGAGATTACCAAAAATTTCACCTTTGCTCAAGTGTGAAATGTAAGGGGATGCGTAGGAGATGAAGCCAAGTGTGGACACAAAACAGCATTCAGGAAAACTCCTAAGCCTTCATGATGCTTGGGTGTTTTTAATAAAAGCACAAGAAAATTCAAAAAGTTTAGTGAGCATATTGCTTCTTCTGGAAGAGTCATAGCATGCATAAGCGTATTCAAAGTTCTACTGTAAAGAAACTTGCTTAGTTTTGCCCAACCCATGGTTTAATACCAGTGTTTGACCTTTTCCTCTGAAAGATGCTTAATAGTCTCATGGCTCTGTGTGAATACTTAAGAAGTTTCAGTGTGCATAGCAAGGAGTCCTCACCATGGGGTGGAGTGGTAATGTTTCACATATTCACAATGTTCTGGAACTATTTAGAGACCAGATTCTTTTACCAAGGTCCAGGCTGTGGACAGAATCAACTCCAAATAGGGCTACTGGTTTTAACCTGTGGTCCAAGCATCTAAGGTTGTCTTTTCCAAGAGGCAGGCAATGAATCAATGTGGGACAAGAAATTTTTCTTAACTTGGGGATGGTGTTTGGAGGCCCTTAGAGAAGAGATGGAATCTAAGAGAAGGTGCTTTCTTGAGCAAATTACAGCTGTGAGCAATCCAGCACTCACCCCTCTGAAGACTTCTGAGAAGCTGCGTAAGACAGGACGTGTTTTCCTGCACAGGGGTCACTGCCACTGTGAACTATGTGCTCCTGAGGGTAAGAGTCCCAGCAATTACAGTTTGCGCCAACACAGGCTGATTGAAAGCTCGTGGTGCACAGTTAAGGGAGCTGTAGTGCACCCTTTAAGTGGGAACATGAGTGGGGTTGTAACAGAGTCAGCCACACCAACTCACTGGAAAATGCACTCCAGGCTCCAAGTGCTGTCTACATCAGACGGCAAAGTTTACGGTGAACTCCCGGCAGTATACACAGCCTTCAATTAATACAGAGCAGAGTTCCTCAGCTTATGCGTCACTGATATTTTGGGCAGGGAGTTGTGGCGAGGGGCTGTCCTGTGCACTGCAGGATGTGTAGTGCATCCCTGTACCCTACAGGCCAGCCTTCCCTACATGCACACACTTGTGACACCCAAAAATGTCTCCAGACCTTGCTAAGTGCTCCTTGGAGGCAAGCCCACCCCTGGTTGAGAACCAGTGAGGTAAAAAATGCTGGCTAACACTTATCACTAGATGAACATTTTCTACTCTTTCCGTACTGATCATATGATTCTAAAATTCAGTTACGGGATTAATATAATGCCATGGTTAGGACTACAATTTTAGAACTCAGACAGAACTGTGTTCAGGTTTCCACAGTGCTCAGACTTGGGCAAATTAGGATCTAGGAGTCTGTACCTTTCTTTGCTGTAAAATTATGAGATTAACAGAATCTGCCACTTAGTGTTCTTGTGAGGATCAAACCAAATGCCTGTGCTACACCTCTTTCTCCTCCTCCTTATCCTCCTCCTCCTTTCTCTCCCTCTCCCTCTCCCTCTTCTCCTCCTCCTCCTCCCCTCCCTCTTCCTTCAATCCTCTTCTTCCTCTTTCTCTTCTTCCTTCTCCTTCCCCATCCTCCAATCCCTCTTCATCCCTTTTTCTTCACCATTTGTCACCTTCTTTTCCTCCTCTCCCTCAACTTCCATCCCCTGCCTCCCCACCCCTCCTTCCTTACCCTCTTTCCCCTCTTCTTCCTGTCTCTCTCCTTGCTTGTCCTTCCCTCCTCCTCCATAGTCCTCCTCTTTCTCCACATCTATCTCTCCCTTTTCTTCCTCACCCTCTTCTTCTTCATTCTATTCTTTTTCCTTCTCCTCTTCACCACACCACCGCCACCATCACTATACACCTGCAGTGCATTGCCAAAGGTCATCACCCCACTGTCAGAGTAAAATCCCCTTCATGTTGCCTCTTTCCCTCCGTACCAATCTACAATAGCCTTGGTTCTCCTTATAGAGTTGCCTCCCTCTCCCCAAGGAAGCATTTCCTGAGTCCCTCTTCACTAGCCACCATCTCTGTCAGTGCTACTTTACTCTTCTTCAGAGACTGTGTTCAGTCACTAGGTCACCGCTGGTATTGGAACCACTGTACTTAGCTAAACTTTAAAGATGAGAAAATAGATAAGTAAGTTTGGTAGCCTAAAATAGTACACATCTCTGTAATGAAAGAAAGGACTGTCTTATTCCAGAGCACCAGTTCTCAAGAATGTGATACAAAGGGTTGAAGGGAGGGTAGGGGACTAGGGAAAAAAGTTGTGTCTTGTTCAGGTACAAATTGTCTATGATAAATGTGGTCATTATGTATACCTAAAATGTATCAATAAAATCTGATTTACAAAAGAACACAGCATAACAACTTTCACCTACTATGAGGTCAGCAGTACACAGTAAGAAGTGGTAACATTCGGACTGTCAGGGGTCAGTACGACACAGGCTCCTTCAGTGCAACAAAGTGCTATGGAAAAAGTGGAGCTGAATTCTGATGTGATTTTTTGAAAGCAGATTTGAACTTCGGTTTCCGTAAGGGCAGAGCTGAAGGGATCTATACTGATGGTAGAGTGTCTGGCAGAGGTTAGAGGTTGGGTAGTGCAGAGAGCACTTGGGAACAAGGAGTAGGTTAGTGGTGTCATGAATTTAGACATTGTAGCTCAAGTTTGGCAGGCAAAGAAGGAAGGAAAATACCAACTGCAATCCCTGTCCCACTCCAGGAGCACCCCAGTACATCTCAGGCACCTGTGAGAGATGTCTCTCCCTTTCTTGGTTTGTTTTGTTTTGTTTTTGTCTTTTTCGTTTTTATCGGTACCAAGGATCGAACTCACGACTGCCTGCTTGCATGGCAGGCACTTATGCCACTGAGCTAAATCCCCAGCCCCAACTTCTCTCCTTTTCCTCATGCGTAAAAACAAAAGTAACCTATAGCAACTCTAGTATTTACAGTCATTTTGTCCAAATTGTGTGCATCCCCAATTTCCAGGACTTTCTACTGGAGGAACTGAAAGAACAGAGACCACTGCCGGGGCTCTGAAGACCACCTCCATGGTCTCTGTGACCACCAGCGTCTCTACTCCCACCTTGAGAACACTGACTATCCCAACATCAGAACCACCAGCCAGCACAAGAGGAATAATCATTACCACCTCAACAGCTCCTCCTGGTGTTCCAGAGACGACAGCCTCATTGGCTACCCGACTTCAAGAATACATCACTGTAACAGTTCCCAAGGAAATGCCACCTTCTTTCAGTAGAGAACCAGAGATCAGTGCCTCCATTGTCCCCAGTACTGGGGCAGAGATCAGGTCAGTTGCTCAAACTCCAACTGTGACCACAGTGCTATCAGCAGAAACACAAACACCCATTTCCAGAACAATCTCCAAAGTTCCCTATTCTGAGTCAGATACCACACTCTTGGTGGGCACAAGTTCAGCCATTCCAGCAGCCAGTATCTCACCTCCTACACCAGGACTGACAACTGTACTTGTCACTGCTTCTAGGACAGTCACTGGCTCAGCTAAACCATTTCAGACTCCTCCTGATGAACAAGAGAGTGCAACCTCTTTGGCTACTGACCTTGCTGCAAGGAGTTCAGCCATTCCAAGCCCAACTGTCTCACCTGGTATATCACAGATGGTGACATTACCAGTTGGTACTTCTGGGACAAAGACAAGTACAAGTAGCCAATTTCTGACTGCTTCTCCAAATCAGATGGATATCACAGCTACAAAACTCACTCAATCTGGAACAAAAGCTAGTTCAGCAGTTCCAACTCTGACTGTTTCTGGTGGGTCACACACAGCAACTTCCTGGGTTACTCATTCTGTGGAGACTAGCCCAACAGTTCCCAGGATTGCCCCAGATTTCCCCCACAGTGAATCCAATACCACACCATTAACCACCACCAGTCGTGTGGGTGAAAGCAGTTCAGCTGTCTCCACTTCCACCGTTTCACCTGGCGGAACAAATAGGGTGAACTTGCTGGTCACTAGTTCTAGAATAGCAACCAGTACAAGTGTTCTAAATCCAACTACTTCTGCTGGTACACCAGAGACCACATCCTCATTGGTTACCCATCCTGGCCCACAGACCAGTGCAGCCATCCTAACTCTAACTGTCTCTCCTGGTGTATCAGAGACAGTGACTTCATTGGTCACTAATTCTGGAGAAGAGAACGGTGTGCTTCCAACCCTCACTGTTTCCCCAGGGCAACCAGAAACCACAGTCTCATTGGTCACACATCCTGAGTCAGAGACTACTTCTGCTGTTCCAGGATTGACTGTTTTAGTGAGCCAAGCAGATACAACAGTTTCACAAGTCACCCACCCTCCGGAAACCAACACAGCTGTTCCCAAAACAACCCGAAGTGTTCCCCAGAGTGACTCCAACACCACGCCCTTAACAGCCACCAGTCCTGAGGAAGAAGGCAGTTCAGTTGCCACAAGTACTACTGTTTTACCAAAGGCCCCAGGGGGGACATCTTCATTGGTCACTAGTTCTTCAGCAGTGGCCAGTACAAGTACTCCAACTCTGGCTCTTTCTTCTTCTGGATCGAAAGTTACACCCGCAAGGGTGACCCATTCCAGGGCAGTTTCCAGTTCTGCTGCTCCAGCTCTGTCTGTTTCACCTGGTGAACCAGATATGACAGCCTCGCCTGTCCCACTCTCTGCAGAGACCAGCCCAACAATTCCCAGGACACCCCCAGATTTTCTCCAAACTGAATCCAGTACTACACATTTAACAGCCACCAGGCCTGGGAAGGAAGCTGGTTCAGCTATCTCAACTTCTGGTTCAGGGTTGCTGACTTCACTGGTCACTAGTTCTGGAACAGAGGCCAGTGTGTTTCCCACTCTGACTGTTCTCTCGGGCCAACAACAGACCACAGACTCACGAGTAACCCATCCTAGATTAGAAACCAGTTCTTTTGTCTCAACTTTGTCTGTCTCTCTTAGAGAGCCAGTTACAACTGCCTCCTTGGTTGCCCATCCTGCAGAGACCAGCTTGACCACTTTTATGACAAGCCCAAGTTTTTCCCATAGTGAAACACACTCCACAACCCCAACAACCATCCTTCCCAGGACAGAATCTAGTTCAGCTCTTTCAACTACAATTATCCCATCTGGTGTTCCAGCGATGGTGACTTCACAGATCCCTGCTTCTGGAATGGATGCCAAAACAGCTAAACCTACTCTGCCTCCTTTTCCTTCTGAACCAGAGATCACAGCCACATTGGTCCGCTCTGCTGGGACACAGACAGGTTCATCCATTCCAACTCTGGCTATCTCCCTGGGCACATCAGAGATGACCTCACTGGTCACTAGCTCTGAGACAGAGACAAGTACAACTATTCCAATTTTAACTGATTCCCCAGACCAGCTGGATACCACAGCCTCATGGGTGACCCATCCTGAGTCAGTTGCCAGTTCAACTATCCCAGCTGTCTCCATTTCTCCTAGTGAGCCAGATACAGCAGCCTCATGGGTCACTCATCCTGCAGCAACCAGCCTACCAGTTTCCAGGACAACCCCCTACTTTTCCTATAGTATAGCGGACACCTCGCCCTTAATGGCTACCAGTCCTGGGGCAGAAGCCAGTCCAGCTATTCCAGCTCCTACCGTTTCTCCTGAGGTACCAGGAGAGCTCACCTCTTTGGTCACCAGTTCTAAGACAGTAATCAGCACAAGTACTTCAGTTCTGACTCATTCCTCTGGTAAACCAGAGACCACAGCACTATTGGTCACCCATCCTGGGCCAAGTCCATCCTTTCCAACTGTGTCTGTTTCTACTGATGAGCCAGGAACAGTGGCCACACTAGTCACTAGTTCTGGGACAGAGACAAGTACAACTTATCCGAGGTTGACTGATCACTCACAAGAACAAAAGACTACAGCCTGGGTCACCTATTCTGGGTCCAAAGCTAGTCCTGCTGTTCCAACTCTGACTGTTTTGCCTGGTGAGACAGATACAACAGTTCCATTGGTCACTCATTCCACAGAGACTTGGACATCTGTTTCCAGGACAGCACCAGCGATTCCCCAGAGTGACTCAGACTTTACTTCTTCAGTGGCTACCAGCCCGGGAGCAAAAGGCAGTTTATCTGTTCCAACTACAATGATTTCACCAGATAAAACAGTTTTAGCGACCTCAGAGGTTACTAATAGCACAAGTATGGCTACTTCAGCTCTGCCTCCTTCTCCTGTCCAGACAGAGATTCCCATCTCAGCAGTCACCTTTTCTGAGGCACAGGCCAGTCCCACTGTTCCAACCCTCACAATTTTCTCTGGAGAACCAGCTACAACCTCATCTGTCATTCATTCTGCAAAAACCAGCACACCAGTTTCCACAATGACCCCCACTCTTTCCCATGGTGAATCAGATACCACACCCTCAGTTGCCAGTGGTCCTGGGGGAGACTCCAGTTTGTCTGTGCCAACAGTGACCGTCTCACGTGGGGAACCAGACGTGGTAAGCTCACAGGTCACTACCGGGCCACCAACCAGTACAACCATTCCAACGATGACTGTTTCTCCTAGTGAACCAGAAACCCCAGCCTTACTGATCACCCACTCCAGTGCAGAGATAAGTACAAAGTTTCCTGTTTCAACGAATCTTCTTCCTTTCTTGGAGACTGCAGCCTCACCGACCATCAGACCCAAGGTGGAGATTAGCACAGCTCTTCCAACCCAGACTGCTTCCCTTGGTAGAACAGAGACAGTGTCTTCTCTCTTCACCTCTCTTGCGACTGAGATGGGTACAGTTGATCTAGGTCCAACAGTTGCACCAGGTATCCCTGTGCAAACAGCCTCACTGTCTACTCATCATGGGCCGGAGACCAGCACAAATACCCCGACGGCAGCCCTTTCCCCTGGTCTATCAGAGGTCACAAGCGTATGGGTGACCAGCCCCACAGCAGAGGCCAGCACAGGCATCCCGACTCTGACTGCTCCCCCCAGCACCCCTCAGCTTTCCAGTGCTTCTACCACAACAGGTGAGCCTAAGACCATGATTTCCTGGAGTACAGAAACTCCATTGCCTGCAACTTCAACTGGATTCCCAGATTTTTCCAGAGCTGTTGTAGGCCCTGCTACGACCTTGAAAACATTGGAGACCCCAACACTGCCTACAACCAGTCACAGAGAAGGAGTGAGTCCAACTGCTACCTTGAAGACGACAACTGCAGAGACCACTCACTTAGCTGCCCCAGGTTCAAGTCCCAGCACAGCTGAGACCACAGGCACCTTCAGTACTACAGTCACCGCAAGTCCCTCTGCCTCAGAGACCACATCTGGGGTGTACAGCTTGGCTTCTGAGAGCGTGACTCCAGCAACAAGTAAGAATAACGTTTTTGTCATGTGGCAATGGTAAAATAGATACATGTATGTGCTTCAGAACATGCCATTTTAAGCACTCTCGGTGTACAACTTAGCAATATTAACTATATTCACACTGTTAGGCAGCCATCATCACTAAAGTTCCCAAAACTTTGTCCGTCCTTGGTGTGGGGGACCCAGGAAGCAATAATTACCCACCTCCACCCCAGGCCCTTAGCAACCTATTTCTGCTCTTATGAATTTGACACTCTAGATACTTCATATAAATGGAATCACACCACGTTTGCTCTTTTTCACAAAGTATGATTCCAAGGGTCACTCATACTGTATTATATGTCTAAAATCCATTCCTTATAGGGGTAGATATAATCCTGTTGCATGAAGATAGGACATTCTATCTCCCTAGCCATCTGTTGAGGCACACTTGGACTGTTTTTGATACTGTAAATACTGTGGCAATGAGTATTGTTTTACAAGGGCCTATCTGAGTTCCTAATTTCAGTCTTTTGAGTATATCCTTAGAAAAGAAATTGCTGGGTCATGTGGTATACAGTATTGGTTTCCTAGGGTCCATAATAAAATACCACAAACTGGATGATTTAAATAGCAGAAATGTATGGCCTCATAATTTTAGAGACTAGAGGGAAACACTGAGAAAATGCAGAGAACATACATTTGGATCTTATCCTGTCCCAGGAATAAGATCCTTTTATTAGTTACCATGACAACGGCAACCCCTGGGCCTGTTCATCCCTCCACTAAACCTAGGTGCATGTGTCAGTGTGTTCCAAAATGCTGACAAAGGGATGTGGGATTAGGGTGACCTACTCATGTCAGTGTACCCAGAACTGTCTCTATTTTATTCTTGCTTTCATATGTTTTTTGGAATTATTAGCCAGGTGTGGTGGCTCACGCCTGTAATCCCAGCATTCGGGAGGCTGAGGCAGGAGGATCATTGCGAGTTTAAGACCAGCCTGGGCTACAAAGTGAGCTCAAGGCCAGCCTAACTGCATAGCGAGACCCTGTCTCAAAAACACACACATACACAAAAAGAATTCTTTGAAGTGTATGAATTTAAGAGGTACAGTGTGATAATTCCATAGATGATACAGTGTGTCACGATCCAATCAGGACAGATAACACTGTGATCCCCTTAGACACTTTTTAAATTTTTGATTTCACACATGATAATCATACATTACGGGGGAAAGAGTGATGTTTCAATGCATGTATACAGTACATACTAACCAAGTCAAGGTCATCAGTGTTCCCATCTCCTACTATGACTGTAGGTTTGAAGCCCGCAGGTTCCTCTCTACCACTTATTCATAAAATATGGGTAAGTTATTGTGAACAATAGTCTTTCTCCTGTGTTGTAGAACACTGAAAGCTTATTACTTCTCTATTACTAACTGAGTCTCGGTACTTGTCATCTATTTACCATCTGTCCTCTCTTCCTCCATTCTTCTCAGCTTCCAGTAACCACTCTTACACATTCAGGTCAACACTTTTTAGCATCCACATGTGGGAGAGAGCACGCAACATTTATCTTTCAGTGTCTGAATTATCTAACAATATAATGCCCCTCAGTTTTATACATTTTGTTGCAAATGATGTGGTATCATCTCATCTAAGTAACGTCCTGCTGCTTATATATGTCTCATGTTCTTTATCCACTCACCCACTGAGGGGTAGTCTGGCCTATTTCACTTGACATAACATCTTTAGAAAAATGCAAATCAGAACCATTTACCCTCTTTAAAATAGCTATCATGAAAAAAATAACAAATGTTGACTGGGATGCAGGGAAAGGGGAGGCATTATACACTCTCGGGAATATAAAGTACAATCCACGTGGAGAACATTATGGTGATTTCATGAAAAACTATAAATAAGTTTGTGATGAGGGTACATGCCTGTAATCTCAGCTGCTAGAGAGGCTGAGGTAGGAGGATCACAAGTTTGATCCCTGTTTGGGTAGCTGTTATGAAATAAAAAAATAAAAAGGATTAAGATGTAGTTCAGGAGTAAAGCATCTTTGGGCTCCATACCCAGCACCACACACAAAGTTAGACCCACCTTCTAATCTCACTCCTTTCCTAACCTCTCTCCCCAACCTTCTGCAAGTTATAACCATTGGTACTGGATCCCCACGAAGAGCAGTGAGTAGTAATGGCCCTGACGTCCATGTTCTTTTAGCATCTTTCCTCCTTGAGCCTGGAAAGTATCCTCTAACCCCTAGATTCTCAGCCCCAGAGAAGCCTCAGACCAACAAAAAGTCTCAGGCTGACCCCAGTTTCCATTAACATTTATATCACCTGTTTCCTGTTACTCATGTGTTTTCTTTCAGCTCCAGTGACCTCCACATTTTCCCCAGGATCCTTCACACCCATAACCCCCACTCCCAGCTCTACAGCTACGAATCTGATCTTCACATCCCATGCAACTCCATCAACTCCTGTTCAGAAGCTGATGGAGTTTGCATGAGCTGGACCCCATGTCCACCCCGCCTCAGCCTCCCCATTCTTTCCCTTGCTCCCTTCTCTCTGGTCACACCAGTCTCACTTCTCCTCTTCTTTGGTCTAATCATCCTTCCATTCTCACAAACATGGCATTTCCTAGCATTACATTTCAACTGAATTGCCTCTTGTTGATTCTGCAAAGCTCAACTCAGCATATCTTTGCTCAGATCACTTCCCATGAATTGACACTTCCCATATACATGTTCCACACATAGCAAGTCTCCATTCTATTTCCACGTTCATTTCCTTCAGGGCAGTTATTACCATTCAGATTTCTCGACTCCCGAGGTGTTTGATGCCCAAAGCCTGAGAAATAAAGATCTTGGTTCCTCTTCTTTATTTTCACCTTTCTGGCGCTAGGAGTCAAAGCCAGGACCTTATGTGTGCTAGCTAAGTGCTCTACTCTCAGCCTCTTGGCTTCTCCTCTTAGCAAAGGATATCAACACCAGTCTTGGCCCATTCTGGGCTTAGGGAATGAGGTTTGCTTCTGAACTAAAGTTCCACATCTACTATGGAGGTCTCTCTCCTCCCTGTGACTGGCGGAAGGGTAATCCAGATGGAACTCACCTTCACTTACTGGACACAGTGGCCAGGATTACGGTACTAATCCCAGTGCCAGCTCTCACTCAGGTCTAAAACTGATGGGTTCTGCTGATGGTAGGTTCTCTCTCATTCTATCTCCCGGCTCCTAGCTGTAGGAGGCAGTCCAGTCCCAGTGCCTTTCAAGCTCAACTTCACAATCACCAACCTGCATTACACCCCAGACATGAGGCATCCAGGGTCGTTGAACTTCAACTCCACAGAGAAGGTCTTGAATCACCTGGTAAGGGCCCACCAGTGCCTGACCTGGCCCACCTTGCCCTTGCTCTGTCCAGTCCCCTGACTTACCCTACTCATCTCCTGCTTTCCTCCCAGCTTGAGCCCGTGTTCAAGAACACCAGCATCGGTGCTGGCTACTCCGGCTGCAGATTGACCTTGCTCAGGTGGGCCTTCTTTCCTTTCCCTCCCCTCCCCTCCCCTCCCCTCCCCTCCCCTCCCCTTCCCTTCCCTTCTCTTCCCTTCCCTTCCCTTCCCTTCCCTTCCCTTCCTCCCCTCCCCTTCCCTTGTCTTCCCTTACCTTGTGAAGGACTGCACTGTCCCAGCAAGGCTCACCTGGAACAGAGGACCTATGCGTGGCACCTAATGGGCATGGATCATAAATGTCTAGGACTTTCTGGAAATTCAGGCATGGAAAAGTATTATCCTAGGCTCAGTGTACCAGAGAGGGCTTCCTGGAAAAGGCAGCTATCAATGATTTTTATTTGATATGATACAGCTCAGATATGCAAAGCATTCAGACTCACTGATCAAAAGGGCAATATTAACTCAGTGAGCAAACACAGAGTGAATGACGCACCTCAGGCCAGCTCCTGTATGAGTGTGAGGGAAGTTAAGAGAATTGACCTAGAGCCGTCGCCTCACTAGTGACACCGTGTGGCCAGGGTATCGGGGAGAGCGTGAACATGGAAACCACAGAGCAGGTTTTAACTCACCCCTAGGAAGGTGTATAGAGAACCTCTGCAGAAGATGATGGCTGGGCCAGGTTCTGATAGCTGAGTGCACACTGGCCTGAGGGCAGATTGGCAAAAATGTTATTTCAAGGGGTAGCCTGTCATGAGTAAGGGGGCATGTGAAAAATAGCACAGTACAGGTGAAAAGTTCTGTGAAATTGGATAGTGGAGGGTGGAGAAAATGGCAAATAAATGAATGAGAAAGAAAGGGATAGAGGGAGGGAGGTAGGAAGGAAAGGTGGAGGGAAGAGACAGAGGAGAGGGCTGGGATTTAGCTCAGCAGCATACGCCTGGCAAGCACGAGATCGTGAGTTCAATCCCCAAAAGAAAAAAAGAAAGAAAGAGAGAGAGAGGAAGGGAGGGAGGAGGAAGAAAGGGAGAAAGAGGAAGAAAGACAAGAAGGGAAGAAGGGAGAAGAAGAAAGATAGAGGGGAAGGAGGAGAAAGGGAGGCAAGAGGAGGCAGTAAGAAAGAAAGAACAGGAAGAAGAAAGGGAAGGAAACTGGTTGATTGGAGGACTCGTAGAGTATAATTGCAAACCCAGAGGGTGAACCAGAATATGAGTGAATATCATCAAAGATTCAGGCTGGAGTTGAGACTACAGTAACCAGATTAAGCATGAGGGGTCTGGCTTGGTTACTTTTCTCTTGTTACTGCGACAAAACCCAACACCCAAAACGAATGAAGGGAAGGTTTATTTAGCTCACTGTTTCTGGAGGTTTCAGTTCATAATCAGTTGGCTTCAAAGCAGGGCGGCATGGCACAGGGACAACACTTCAAGGCAGCAGCCAGAGCAAAAGTTGGGAAGAGCAGGTCTCTTTCTCCTTTATGTTGTACACAGGCCACTCTGCCTCCAGGGCCAGAGCAGCACTCACAAAATCTCCTTGCCCTCCTCTTGCACAGGATGGAGATGTTTACAAAGTATGAACCCTGGCTCTCTGCTGAGTCACTTGTTGAATTTCTAAACTTCTCAATGTATCAACCACATCAGGGTCTTTAGTGTCAAAATGCAAGAAGTTCTATCCCACTTCTGTCACTTGCTGTGTGATGATTAATGTATGGCTTAGTTTTCCCAATTATAAAATGAGAATGACCGTTGTTGATAATACAGCTTTGTACACTTAAAATTTAGCTGACTGAGTAGATATTAAATGTTCTCACCACACACACACACATACACACACACCCTACAGAAAAATATTTTGTGTAGTAATGGATATATTAATAGCATGACTATGGATAATCATTTTATTTTTTAAGATTTATTTTTATTAGTATATGTTTGCCATACATAATGATCACATGCATCCTGAGGAAACTGTATCTGTATACAACGTATCTTAATTCCTTTTTTTTCACATTTTGAGCCCCGTCTTTCAACCCTTCTCCCTCTCCCCATGTACAAAGCTCTGTTTCCATTTTCCTCCAATTCTGTGAGCAATCATTTTAAAATTTATATATATATACGCATATATGCATGCATATTTCAGTAGAGCTATAAATTAAAAATAAAATGAGAAATGCATTAGCATCCACCTCAGAGTTGTTCAAAGGATAAAATGAGATATCAAATTTAAAATGTTGAGCAGCTAATAGATGTTTCATAAATAGTAATATCTGTAGGTAGACATTTCACAAATACTAACACCTAGAAAGTATTTCATAGACGAGAGTCATAATTATTCAGAGTGGGAAACCAAGGTGCTGTTGGATGCACAGCCTTGACACGTTGAGATTTAGGTTAAATACAGCACTCACAAATATGAGCAGGGATGGTTAAAATGAAGGTGGACAGAAGTTGGATAGACCACCAGAAGACAGGCTGGGCTTGGACAACCTTGACTGTGAGGAGAAAGGTTGGGGAGGTCCAGGAGTCTCCTTGACCTCTGGTTCTCACTCTGATATGGCATCACAGGGAAAGGAAAAGCTTTGGTAATGGGGGGTGAGTAGTACACATAACTTGGGATATATGGAATCCAACGGGTCTCAAAGACATCCCTGAGACTTCTGGCTACATGAGACAAGCTCAGGAGAGAAGTGTCATTCAGAGGGACACTGGGCCTCGTGGTTATAGAGCTGGAATTTCACACAATGCAAATGAACCAAATGACCCCAGAAGGATGGGGAACAGAAGCAGAGGAGTTGATTCAGGTTGAGGTTCTGGAGATCAACCCTATTACAGCATGCAGCAGATGCTGGATAAAGAGGACCCAGAAAAGAACATAATGGAGAAACCAGACAAGACCCCCAAAATGAGATAAAATAAAAGCGAGAGGAACTCAGTGTGAAGGAGAGAATGAACACCTCTCTCCTCTCTCTCTCTTCTCTCTCTCTCTCTCTCTGGATATCACCACTCCTATGTCCCCACCCCTCTAGGAATGAAAAGCATGACACGGCCACCGGAGTGGATGCAGTCTGCACCTACCAAATGCCCCCCACGGGCCCAGCTCTAGAGACAGAGCAACTGTACCAGGAGCTGAGCCAGCTGACCCATGGTGTCACCAGGCTGGGGTCCTATTCCCTAGACAGAGACAGCCTCTATGTCAATGGTGAGTGTCCATGCCACACCTAGGGTCTACTCCAGGCTCAGATCTCACTGCGGATGATTTTACAACCCAGGGGACACTTGGCAATGTCTGGAGATGATGTCAAGTCATGACTGGAATGGTGCTAACAGCAGCTATTTGGTAGATGTTATGGATGTTGTTAAACCTCCCACAAAGCACAAACCAGCCAAAAAGAATTAACTAGTCCAAAATGTCAGTGGTGGCAAAGTTCAAAATTTTCTGCATACAAACTTGTAGTTCTGGCACAAAACTAAATCTCTTTGGGAGTTCATTGTTTAATGTTCAGCACCCCCAAATGAGCTGATGTCTTTTCTTCTTTTGACTCCTGGGATGAAGTGTTTCCTCCTCATCCTCATTCCCTTCTGCTTCCTATAAAAGCCTGCCCAGAACATGCAGATGTGGGGGAAATGGAATGATGGGGCGTCCTGATGAAATGTCCCCCAACATTTTATGAGTGTCCAGTTCAATCTCCCCTTTACTCTTTTCTCACTGTTATGGCAATTTAAGGCAAATTCTTAGTTCCATGGGCCACCAGGAACTGCACTGACTTTGAAACATGACACCTTTAGTAAATCCATCTGTAACAGTGAGTGTTTTAACACATCCTCCACTACACTGATGCATCCCTTATTGCAATGCTAACATAAAGAACAGAAGCCAGGATAACAGCTCCTATTTGTTGAAAGTTTCCTGTGTGCCAGGAATTTGTGATACAAACTTTATTTCCACAGTCTTGTGTTAATCTTATCTGGTTCTCCATGAGTTGTTACATTTGTTCTTACCTAGAAGCACTACACATTCAGGGAGGGTCTAACCTGGAGCTAAGATGTGCTGGGGCAAATTAAGTTCCTCAGAGGCAAACAAAAGACCTGGAGATAGCCTGTGAGAAATAACGTTTATTAAAATATCATCAGGAAATGAAAGGAGGCTTACAAGCAGAAAAGAATACAGCCCAGGGGTCTCAGGCTGGATAGGAAAGTTACTAAAGGTACTTGGGATATCCAGTGGCCACGGGCTGGACTGTTAATTACAATGAAGACTAAGGGTAGTGAACTGGACAGAAAATCACCAGAGTTTGGTGATTGCAGGAGGATGAGGTAATTGCTAGAGAGAACTCAAAATGTCCACTGCTGGCCAGCTGAATTACATTACTCCATGATGCTCTGTTCCTCATGCAGCTACTGCAGAAAGGGGCATTTGCAGAGTAAGCTACATAGCAGTGACATCCTGATGTTGCTTTTTCCCACTGTAAAACCAACACTCCAAAGAACAGTTGATTTAGCAAACAGGCAGGAAGGCAGTTTCTAGGTAACACTAGTTTGCCTAGTTCCCAGAATGCTTTCATTCTAATCTGGATATCCTAGTCCTTGTCCTTTTACAATAGCCCTTTGATTTAACAGAAGTTTGGGGAATACAAAGTGGTGTTTCAGTAACATGGTGCCACAGGCCTTAGTTTTTCTCAGGGGCAAGACAAGGAGAAAGTCATTGGCCCTAGATCATCCAGGGACGATGATATAATGAACACATTGCAAACAAAACAAAGTCCACCCACCAGGACAGGCAGGGGCAGTAACAGCCTCCAATAACTTAACCCAATGCATGAGTGTTTATTTTTCTTTTATATCTACTTGGATATTTCTTTTATATCTGAACTGAAGTGTATATTTCACTGTTTTATCTATAGTACATCCTGCTTTGTGTGCATAAAATGTTTACCCCCAAATTGGAGCTAATTTAGAATAAGTGGATCTTATTAAGTGACAGATTTGTTTTGTGTGCTACTGGCATGCCATGCAACCCTTCTAGTCTGTAATGGTGCAATTCTAGAATATAATAAAACACCACAGGAATTGTTCTGATAATCAAACAAGATGATTTGGGAGGGACCCTAGTAAATTACAGGGCTTTTCTAAGTCTGGTTGTTGTAGTCAGGGTTGTGCAGAGAAGAATTAGAAACCAGACACGGGATTTATAGTATTATTTTATGATGGTCAACCAAAGTTTAACCCAAGAAAGTGCAGGAAATCTATCCACAATACTAAAGACCCAGAATATTGAGCCAAGGACCTGGATCCCACAGCAGTGTCCTGCATGAGACCAGATGAAAACCTAGAGCCCTCCCACAAGTCTACCTGGAGGAAAAGAGCCTATGAGAAGGACTCACACCAGTCTGTTTTACTGATCCATACTAGGAAGGCCCAAAGGTCAGCAGTAGAAGGTAGAAAGTCTATGCCAGCGGGGTGAAGGAGCTGTGCTGGTAGGTTGAGGGTTCCACACTGGAGCCAAGAAGTCACACTCATAATAAAGACAAGGGCTGTTCTGAAAAGCACCACAGCCATCTTCAGCGACATGGAGGCCCCGAGCTCCTCCAACAATAAAAATAGTCAAGTACATGTCAGGAAGCCAGCGTGATGAGTTTGTCCTGGAGATCAAGTGGCACATGTCTTCTCTCTGGAGCCAGGAAGCGATGCTCGATGTAAGGACCAGAGCTCCTCCACGAGAACCAACGGCTCAAACAGCAACACTTAGAGAAACCCACAACATCTATCTTCTCCTACTCTACATCTCTATTTATGCTGGCAACTTTCCTCAGGTGGACATCTACACTCAGCACCATGCTAATTTAATTAGCACCATGCTAATTTAAGTTGATCATTAATTTTTTAATCCATAACACCAGTATTTACTTTCATCTCTCCTAGGAGAGCAGAAGAAATGCTATCAATAACCTGGACAAAGACTCATGAAAAATCCTATATTCTCTCAAACCTTCTAGGCTCCCATTGTTACGTCTATCTAGTCCCCATCCCTTTGCTCAACTTTCCCTAATATCCCAAACCACACACTGTTTTCTTTCCCTCCATCACTCTGTACATCTACTTCCATGTCCCCCTCTCTCAAACTCAAAATTTTGTCCATTCTGCATCACAAAAAAGCTAGAAACTAAACTAAAAATTATACTATCGTAATATTTTATGAAGGAAAGTAACTCAGATAACAAAGACAGAATTATCTCCACAGGTAGAGAGAATATGTAAGTTGAGTACTCATACTCAATAAATATGTTTTATCCTTGTAGCATGGGAAGGGTTGTTGCTGGTGGATAGTGTATCCCCCTCAATAAATGCAGGAACCTTTTACTGCATTTTATCATGTTTGTCATTATTATCAAAGGAGTAGACATCATGTAATAGGGCCCAAGTAAAATATAGCCCTATTGTTTGCTCATAAAGTTTGTTGATGACTTCCACTCTAGATCTGCTATCATCTGCTCCCTTAAGGCTTCTCTGCCATAACAGACCTTCCTTTCTCTTTCCTCCTTACCTGCAGGTTATAACCGTCGGTACTGGACTCCCACTACCAGCAGTGAGTATTAAAAGCTAGGCTATCTCAGTGTCCCCAGGGATGCTACTCCCCAGAGTTCTGTTCTCAGGAGAGATATTAATAGTGTCTCCTCCCTGTGTACCTCAGAGCACCTCCACAATACAGACAAGGGATTGACTTGAGTTAGTATACAGCCCAAATTTCAGTGACAGCATTGCCTTACATCCTAGGATGGGACCCAATCATTCTTCCCATGTTCTTTTCCCTCAGCTCCAGGGACCAACACATTCTCTCCAGGACTTTTGACACCCTCCCTCTCCAGTTCTACAGGTAGGAATCTTCTCTAGGGGACTAAGAAACTTCAGTGCTGCGTGGTCTGGTCCCCACTCCCCATCTGACCAGGTGCGGACCTGGTCCTCAGGACAACCTGAGCCTGTTCTGCTCTTTCCCTCCCTGCCTTAGCTTTGGTCACCCTCAGACACTTGGTTATGCTTCTAGCACCCTTACCTCTGTATGACTTCAGTGCCCTTGCACTTGCTGTTTTTGAAAACCAGCTATCCCTGGCACTTTCTGATTTTTCAAACCTAAGCTCAAAAACCATCACTTTCTGTAGATCACCTTTTGTGAATAAAATACTTTACCTGTATTCACACCTGGACCATGGATTTTGCTTATCATATTATGCTGATAATTTTTCTTTATGGAATTTACTTCTTTTTGGTTTATTCAATTTTCATGTACTTTCCCCTTAACAAAAATACAACAGCAGTTGCCAGAGGGTAGGTACAAGGGAAAATGACACATACTGTTCAATGGGCATAAGTTTCAGTTATTCAAGGTGAAAATGTTCTGGACAACTATTTCACAAGTGAATGTATTTAACACTATGGAACTGAGCACTTACAAATGGTTAAGAGATAATGTAAATTCATTAAGATATAATGGTTAACATATAATGTATATATAATGTACATAAAATATTATGTATATTTTACCACAACTTAAAACATTAAACACACATATGCAGCATCTTTTATGGCTATTATGTAACCCTAGAAATTAAAGAAATTCTGATCTATGATGCCCATGAATAAATATTGAGGCCACTCTTCTAAATTACATAAGCTGGTCACAGTTTATTTATCTGTAGGATTCTACTCATAGGAATCTATAGAGCAGTCAAACTCACCTAAAGTACAATGATGTTCACTGGCAGTTCAGGAGAAAAAGAAGAAATAGAGACCACTGTTTAACATAGAGATTTCATTTTGTAAGACGAAAAAGTTCTAGAGATTGGTTGTATAACAAATTGTGCACTCTTCCCTTTGACTATAGGTATGCTAGGGCAGAGCCTGTAATGAACTTCCTTCCTCTCTTTCCTGCTGTAGGTACAGGTCTGCCTCTGGTATTCTTCACTATCAACTTCACTATCACCAACCTGCATCATGAGAAGGACATGGGGCACCCAGGATCTGAGCTATTCAACACCACAGAGAGCATCTTGAATCGCCTGGTGAGAATTCTCCAGGGCCCACCCTGTCCAGCTCAATCTTTGTCCCTACTCCCTGGTACACAGGTTCACTGCATTCTCTGTCTTTAATCCTCAGCTGAAATCCTTGTTTGAGAAGAGCAGTATTGGGCCCTTGTATTCTGGCTGCAGACTGATCTTACTGAGGTGAGAACTAGTGAGCAGACCTGAAGGCCATGTGCCAGGTGGAAGGTGACCACCCTGCTATTCACTATCAGGACAACTGACCACCAGCTCCCATTTTGCTTCCTTCTCTTCCCTGGAAAATGTAAATCATTCTTTCCTTCCATGGGAAAAAGAATGATGTTCTTATTGAGCACACCTAGAGCAGACGTGCTGTTGGGTCTGTACTATGGCCTCATTTCACAGATGAAGGAAATGAACCAGAGCAAGGTTGAGAAACCAACCCAGAATGGCAGAGCTGAGACTAAAGCAAGTCACCATTGCTTCTTTCATAGTGCCAAACTCCTAAATTCATTTCTCCTACCCTCTTCACCATACTTCTGACGTCAGAGTATGGTGTATTAATACCTTTGCAGTTTAGCACAGGGGCTGAGGGATGCAGCTCAGTGGTAGTAGAGTGGTTGCCTAGCATGTACCAGGCCCTAGTAATGCAAAAATAAAGATAAAAAATGAAATTTAGCATAAATATCGACATGTATTGATTCTGTTCTTTGTTTAGTGAAAGGACTATGGCTGTCCTATTTGTTTCCAGCCCAGTTCTAGAACCAGGGCCATTTGATTAGCCACAAGTCTTCCTGCTTTCTTTGTCACCTCTCTCAGTGGGGCTTTTTAGGACCATAGCTTGGAATCTCCAGCTCTCTCCCCTATGTCCCTTCATGCCCAGGCCTGAGAAAAACAGAACAGCCACTGGGGTGGATGCTGTCTGCACTCGCAGCCCTGATCCCATGGGCAGTGAGCTAGACAGGGAGAAGCTGTACTGGGAGCTGAGCCATGAGACCCATGGTGTCACAGTGCTGGGATCCTACACCCTGGACAAGGACAGTCTCTATGTTAATGGTGAGCATCCTTTAAGTAACCGTGAGCTGAAGACCTTCCCCCAAGACAAGTTGTGGGCTCTTCAGTTTGCCACTCACAGTGCCCTCTTTGGGTGACTTACGGGCACATAAGTTTTCCATTTTGCAGGTCCTTTGTGTCTCTCCAGTGCAGGGTTGTTATTTGCACATTTGTCTGAGCCTTTCTCCAGACACAGGAAAGAGAAAATCCTTCTGACTGAAGTCAGTGGGGATTCAAGGATCTGACCACTCACCTTTATGCCCCCCTACACCTCACAACCAACTCTGGACCTTTAAAAGCACAGTTTGTACTTACAGGTGGTAGAAATTTGTATGTGTTTATCTCCTCAAATAAACTGCAAGCCCACAAATATAGGAACTGGATCTTCAGTCTTTCTGCCTTTACAAACAAAATACAACATAAGTGTTCCTACATCAAAAGAGTCCCACTATGTAGAGTTAAAGTCTCGGTTGGAGACAGGGGCTGAGGCACGTCAGCCACATATTGGACGTCTCTCCTGCTCATATCTCAGTTATGCTTCCTTTTCTCATTGCAGGTTATACCTTCCGAGCTTCCACTCCCACCCCTAGCAGTGAGTATTTAGAACTCTGATGATCATATGGTCCCCAAATCCCTTGTGAACAGCAGCTGATGCCCCACCCTGAGTCCATGCGGGGGGAAAAAAAAGCAATGGAAAGTCTTGTTTCACTCATTGTAATACACTCAGAATCCCATAGTGGGCAGGGAAGATTCTCAGGGTAGTGTCCAGCCTCAATACCTTTTCTCACTCTATTCTGTTTCTCTGCAGCTGCTGTGACCTCTACATTTTCACCATGGACCTCCGTGGTGCAGGACCACTTCACCAGCTCCACAGGTAAGATGAATTCTTTCTCCTTCTAGGAAGCCAACCTACCCAGCCTCAAAATTCAGATCTGGGAGATGTTGAGAAAGGCTGGCGTGAGGGAGCCTAGAAATGTCATGGGCTCCTCCTGCCATGCTCTGAAATCTCAAGAATATCAGATGGTGCCTTCTTTATTGCTCCGGCTGTATTGACCTTGGGCAGTTTGCTTATCTCTTCTTTGTACTCATTTCCTGATCTATCAAGTAGGGATGTTCATATTTCATAAATTTGCTTTGAACATCAAATGAAAAATAGTCATATGTCACATCATAATACTTTTGTCAAGGTTGATCACATGTGTGATGATGATCCCATAAGATTATGACTAGTGATATTGTCTTAGTTTGTCTAAGTATCCTCTATAGTTTTGCCACACTGGTGAAATCACCTAGCATACATTCCTCACAACATATTCCATCTTTAAATGATGCAAAACTGCATATTTAAGAATTTAGTACTGTAACTACAAGGGAATATAGTTCAACAAATATTTATTGTTTAGTAGGCATAGAGAATTAGATGTTCAGTAAATCAGATGTAGTCCTTCACAAAGGACTAACTTCACTAAGTTTAATAAACTGAATCAGCCTGAAATGGGACATACAGTCATAATTGATAATAGGAATACTAATACAAAATAAGATAGTCAACACTTCTTACATGGCATATCATGTACTATATCCTTTCTGAAGTTTTCATTTTGAATGAACAACTACAGATGTAGGAGATGCTGAAAAATAGTACAGAGTCCCCTTATATCACACACTCAATATTTCCCTAATGGTTACATTTTGCATAAATTTAGTAAAATATCAAAATCAGGACATTGATATTCTGAAAAATTATGAGACCTCAGTTAAATTTTACTTCCAGGTATGTGGGGTGGGGGACTGTGTGTGTGTGGATGTTTGTAGTTATAACTTTTATTACTTGGGCAGATTTCTCTAATCGCCACTACAATGAAGGCACAAAACTGCTCCAAACCTAGCACAAGCTCTGATAACCGTCAGTCTTCAGAATGTTGACGGACGTTTATCTTAGAGTATTGCATAAATGGAAACTTACAACCCCTGTGACTTTTGGGATTGGCTTTGTTTTTTCATGCAATACAATGCTTCTAAGATGTGCTCTTAACAAAAAAATCATGCCACCTTCTGTAAAGTATGATTCTCCCCCTTTTATAGAGCAGGAAACAGTCAGGTATCACTTCAGTGGTCATACAACTGGAGAAAGGGAAGAGAGAATTTGAAACCAGATTGTTAATGTGGTCCAACCACCGTAACCACAGCTCTAAATTGTGGTCTCCTTTTCTTTTCCCTGCATGCAGGAGAGACTCCTTTTCTGATCCCTTTCACCCTGAACTTTACCATAACTAACGTGGAATTCAAGGAGTCCATGGAGCACCCGGGTTCCAGGAAGTTCAACAGCACTGAGAGAATCCTGCAGAAATTGGTGAGAGCCCCGCCCACTTCGCCTAAGCCACGCCCACCCGTTGAGATCCCACCCACACGTTCCAGGTCTTTCCCATCACACTTAGGGTGGTACTATCCCACCCACCTCACCCCCACACCACACCCATTTTGCACCAGGCCACACCCACTTCATCCAAGCCATGCCTCCACAGCCATGCCTCAAACCCCTAAGCTCCACCCAGTCCATCAAAACAATGCTCCAGCCTCTCCTGGCTCCCCTTATTAACTCTTTTTCATTTCCTCTCTCACCTCACAGCTCCAACCCTTGTTCGAGAACAGCAATCTGGGATCTCGCTTTTCAGGCTGCAGACTAGCCTCCCTCAGGTGAGATCTTCTTCATCAACACAGCGCCACAGGTGGATGAGCCCAAAACCATGGACTTTCTAAGCTATGGGCTCTCTGATTATCCAACTCAGAACCACTGTCATCCATGAATACTATCAACAACAGTAGTAGCTGTAAAGACCTAACACACTGTACTACATGTGTTATATCCAATATTCTGTCAGTCCAAGGAACAGCCCCATGAAGAAGGGGAGACTGAGGCTCAGAGGAAACAATTCTGAGGCTTTGCAAGGTCACGGACAGCAATGATGGCACCTCGGCTCCTAGATCCAAACTCCCAGTCCTTAGGCTGGGAGATAGGCTGTCTCCTCAGCCTATCATCAGGACTTCCTGAGACATGGAAATTTTCCACTGCTTAGTGACTCTCAGAGGGGAGGAAAGGAAGGCACATAGTGTAGCGGGGAGATGCTTTACTGCTAAGTGGATGAGTCTCAGCCCATGGAGACCTGACCTGTCCAGAGACTGCAGGCTGTGGAAGGGCATAGTTCTTGGGTTGCTAGGAAAGGTGTTATGCATTTCCAACTGTCAGTCTCACTTCCTGCATCCCACTCGCAGGATCTCTAGGTGTCTGGCTCTTGAAACATTTCTATTTTGTCACAGTCATTTACCTCCAGCTACCCTTCCTTCCCAGGGAAGAGATGACAGGATTCTTAGTGAGTTTAGAGAGATCAGAGCTTCAGTCCCTACTCTGCCACTGCCTGAGCTCTGTGCCTGTGACCCTGGCCACCAGCTTGAAGCTTTATGTCCTGTTTCCCCATCATCTATCCAGCCCTCCACAGTGGTGGGGTCCAGAGCTATGAATTCCACTAAGCAAGGATTGAGAAAATTCAGAACAAGAAACTGTACCCATCCTGAACATCAGATTTCCCCCTTATCATTATTTCTTAAATGATATAACAATATAACAGCTAAATGTATTGTATTAGGTAGTATAATTAGAGGTGATTTAAAGTGCAGGGCAGTACGTGCAGAGTTTGTGTAAATATCACTTAATTTTAAGTTAGGATTTGGAGCACCTAAGGATTTTAGTATGCATAGGGGGCCCCAGACACAATTCCTAACACATTGAAGGGATGAGCATATAAATATAAATAATATATATATATATGTATAGTATACAACCACATTGCACATACGTATACATACATATTGAATTTATATATCTGGAGACAGATATAAATACCCATGTGACTGCCATATATTTTTAAGTATATGACCACATGAACTATATATAAACTTATAAATATATAGTTATATATGGTTACTATACATATTACAAATATGCTGCAATACATTTAGTATACATCACATAGTAAATTTTATCTACTGCTGTTAAAATATGTTTGAGGAACAAGAAATAATAAAATAGTTATGTGTAGCTAGTTTAACATAAATATTAGGTATAAGTGTGATGTGTAATGGTACAATCTCATAATCTAAAATGTAATTCTGATGAACATGAAATACAAAATAAACACATCATATATATTGACATATTAAATTTGTATTTATGACATATAGCTATATGTTAACTTTTCAATGAATAGAACTGGGATATATGTATAGTAGGGTAGGCATAATCATTGTGGAAACTGAACATTTTTATGCATAAATGTGCCTTGAGGATGAAGTGCTGTAGTTCTATATGTGAACTGTTGAGTCTTGTGGACAGTAAATATTGCATAACTGGTAGCTGTTGTTCTAGGAGACATCCTTCCACATCCCTGGGCCATAAGAATGCCTTTTCCTCTGAATAATATGTGACTGAATGACTGAGCGGGTGGTCATTGTCACATGGCCAGCAGTGGGTTCTGGGTCATGGAGGGATTCTAAACTTGGGTTGGACCAGCCACAGAATCAGACAGACTTACCAAACAGGCATCTCTCTCAGTTCGTTCAACATCCTTGCGTTTCTTAAGTGATAGCCCAGCCTGCTGGTCTATAGAATCTAAGGTGGTAAATTTCAGCATCTGATAATACAACCTCACTAGCCATATCATGATAGGCTTCCTGGGGCCACTGCCATATACTGCAGCTCGACCCTAAGGACCTGTGTGTGTCCATCAGGATTGATGTCAGGAATTGGCTGATCTTTCTCTCTGATAGCAAGAGTGCTCACACTGTGTCATCTGTCCACCAAATATTCCAGGAGAGTTCTTACAGCACACATCGAGGGGTATCTGACAAGACAGCTCTCACTCTTGTTTATGGTGGGCATTTCCCGGAAGGCAGCAGTTTGCTTATTCACTAGTATTTATCCAATTTCCAGTTAGAACCAGAAGAGAGGGAGGAAAAGGGAAAGAGAGATTGATGCAGGAACAGTTGAAACAAGCATGTATGGTGCTTCCCAGGTCTGAGAAGGCCGGAGCAGCCACCAGAGTGGATGCCGTCTGCTCATACTACTCCGGCCCTGAAGGCTTCACACTGGACAGAGAGCGGCTTTACTGGGAGCTGAGCCAGATGACCCAAGGCGTCACCCACCTGGGCCCCTACACCCTGGACAGGGACAGTCTCTATGTCAACGGTGAGTACTATGGGCTGGGGTCTCTTCCCTCTTGCTGGCTAGATTTTCCTCTCTGGACTGTGGGCTCCTTCCTTGCCTGACCCTTAGACCTTGGCTATGTACTCAGTGTGTGCTGACTCTGGAATGAACCTCATCTTGGTTTCTGCCTCCTGTTGGACCAGTTTCATCCGTGGGGCCTCTTCTCTGCAGGGAGAAGACAGTCTCAGAGGGAATCTCATATAGATCATGCTACATGAATCTCCCTTGCATTGCACCAGGGTGCTCCTCCATTTGCAAATTGCCTTTCCCTTTACCTAACCCCTCTCCTCCCTGCTTCTCACTGCAGGATTCACCCCTCGCAGCTCTGCACTCAGCACCAGCAGTGAGTATTAACTGATATCCAGGGACTCCTCTCCCTGTCCCACACCAGGCAGAGCAGAAGCTGACCCCCACCAGGACCTGTGATGCCTCCTCCAGGAGCCAAGGCTGTGCACAGGGGCAAAGCCATTCCCCCTCCCTGCTTCCCCAGCTTTAGTGAGAGTCCCAGCTCAGCCCCATGTACAGCAAGCACCATTAGTACTCGGTCTTGCTGGCATTTCTGCCATGGGAATGCCCGGCAGCTTTCACTCATATGAGCTTCTCCTCAGCTCCTGGGACCTCCACAGTGGACCTGGGAGCCTCTGTGGCTCCATTCTCCATCTCCAGCCCCACAGGTGAGTACCAGTGCATGGCCCTTGTGTGAGAGGGAGGCCTGGCCCTGCAAACGTCTCCCACCTGACTCATTCAAAGATGGAAGCTTATGGTAAAGCCTCTGTTCACGAGACAGTTAACAACCTTGCCTGAATCTCAATTTTGTACTGGCATCCGGGGATCCAAAAGGTCATCACATAATCTCTGCCTTCATAAATTCTATAATCTTAGGATGCTGGTGATGGTGATAGGAAGCGTGATGCAGATAGCAAGGGTTATGACTACGATGATGGTAATGTGGTGGCAATTCTCTTGGTGATGATATGGTTGTGAGAATGGTGACAGTGATGGTGATGATAGTGATTTCTTGTAAAAGATAATACTGCATTGTCTTTTTTTTAATATCTGACATTGTTGCCCAGTGATTATGGATGCAACTAGTGTTGGGTAATATACTTTTTAACACGTTTTCTACTGTTATAGGGAAGAGGGACATGGAAATCTTTTATTTATCAATGCTATTTTAATATTTGCTGCATATTTGGGCAGATAAATGAATTGTAAACTGCCATATTTTTCTCCTTTATTTTTTTCCTCTCCTTTGAAACACTGCCTTTTCATCTCCTGACTCCAATTTTGAGCAAGCCTTTTGAACACTTTGGTTGCATACCACACAAAAGATGTCTCCTGTCTAAGATCTACAACCAAACTGTGTGGTGCCCTCCGGTACCCGCAGTCAGAACTGCAGTGTGAGAAAGAGACAGACTGGAGCAAGCATTAACAGAGGTCTCCTGTCTTTTTCTCGTTTCTGCTTTTCACCTGGAAGTCTTGAGCCCTACTCTGGTACCCTTCATCGTCAACTTTACCATCACGAACTTGCAGTTCATGCCGGATATGAACCATCCAGGCTCCTCCAGGTTCAACAAAACTGAGGCCATCTTGCAGCACCTGGTAAGAGCACTGAGGTGTTCACAGCCTACAGCTCCCCATTCCTCAGCCTCTCGGGCCTCTGACTCACCTGCATCTCCACCCTCCCCAGCTTGGTGCTCTGATGAAGAACACCAGCATCGGCCCACTCTTCTCTGGCTGCAGACTGAGCTCTCTCAGGTAGGAGGTTCAGGAAAGGCGCTCACACCTTCAAGGTCTCCAAACCAGCTCCTGAATCAACCTTGTTCCCTGCCTTCCCAGGGGAGCAGTGCTGGGCCCCTGAGATGCTGCATCTTCTGAGCTTCCTCCCCTCTGGCTTCCATTTTCGTGTTTTTCTGCTCCTCAGCAATGTAGACCTTCTCCGGGAGTAAATGCCTAGAAATTTTCAAAACCAGTCTATAATCAGAAAAGCTTAAAAAGCAAACATGAAGAGCTTGTGGCTTGTACACTTCTTAACTAGCATGGACAGTTTAAAAAAAAAGTGAAGCATCTAATGTATTTGCAGGGACTTGGAGTGTACTACCTGTTTTTTTGTTTGTCATTTCCCTTGGTCTGAATTGGGCATTGGGTAGGGAAACAGTAAGGGGCTGGTGTAAGTTCAGTGTCCCTAAAGTCCAAAAACCTTTAACGTCTGAAACTTCTTGAGTTACCACGATGGAGGGCAAATTTTTAAATTCCAGAGGATTTAAGACTTTAGGGTTAGGGATGTCCAACCCATAGAGCTCAAGGAAATCCTCCAAATCTGAAGAATTCTGAAACATGAAACAATTATTCTTATAAGCATTTCCTAAAACAAATACTCAAAACTATGGGATTACAGAGCAAGCACTGTGCTTCCACTCTGTGAAATTCGCCTGTTATCTACCGATCTTTTACAGATTCCAGGCTGTTTGTTTTCTTTATTGATTTGCACTCTATTCAGATTTGTGCCTTTTCCCACTATTGTTCTGGCAAGACAGCCTCATTTGGTTTTGCTAATGTCTTATTCCCATGTCCCTCTTCTCTAGGCCCGAGGAGGATGGGTCAGCTACCAAAGTGGATGTCATCTGCACCTACCGCTCTGAACCCACAAGCACTGGGCTGGACAGAGAGCAGCTGTACTGGGAGCTGAGCCATGAGACCCACAGCATCACCAGCCTAGGCCGCTACATCCTGGACAAGAACAGTCTCTATGTCAATGGTCAGTGGTCTGCAGCTGCAGCGTGGCTTCCCATAGGTCTCCTTGCAACTGTGTGCTCTGGGCTTATAGCACATGGAAACAGGGGCATATTCACAGCCGTTCTGGAGATACAAGGAGAGAGGAGACGCTCAGAAAGGAGGGGTGGAAATTGACAGAGGGATGAGCTTCACATAACCCAATGCAGAAAGTGAAACTTCTGTTCCATTCATATTTCTGAGCTTTGTCTAGAGTCCTCATATATTTTCAGTGCTGAAGTTGAAACATAGGTCCTCATGCATGTCAGACTGGTGTTCTGCCACCAAGGTCCATCTCTGGCCCCTAAGCTTCATGAAGCATGAGACTTCATGAAGAAGTTTATGTCTCTATATATGTTTATATGTCTTTAAAATCATACAAACGCAATAGGCATCTGGGCAGGGCGGTGCGTGTCTGTAATCTGAGTGCTCTGAAGGGCAAAGGCAGGTGGGTCACAGGTTCTAGCCCAACTTGGACAACTTAGTGAATTGGCAGGACTTGGTCACAAATTTAAAGACAAAAAAGGGATAGAGATGTAGGTCAGTGTGAATGTACTGCAATCAATCTGCAGTATTATAAAATAATGATATATCCCCAGATTGATGCCTCTCATTCCATTCCATCCAGTCTTTAACTTTTCTTCCCTCTCTCTCCCCAGGTTACACCCATCGCTTCCTGACCTCCACACCTACCAGTGAGTAATTGGGCTCCCAGCACCACTGTGCCTAGGATATAGCACTCTTCCCCCTAACATCTATTCAAATCCCGAGAAGGAAGGAACCAGAGAAGCCCTGGTCTTTCCCCAGCTCGATAAAGCCCTGCTCAGCATCAGCTTGAGGACAAACAGGACAACAGTCTTCAGATCCCATGCTGGACCCTCCCTGGCCCGTTACCCTCATCTTTGCCTCCCTGTGTTTTTTCTTAGTTTTTGTGACCTCCACTGCTATCCCAACAGCATCAGCAAACCCTGTCTCAGTCTCCACAGGTAAGAGCTTCTTTGCTTTGATTTCTCCCTGAAAAACTCTAGTGTCCTGGAGCAGTGGGAGACATGAGGCTCTGGAAACACTCACACATGAGCAGATGAGTAAAGGCTCATGCAATCAACAAGATTTTAGTGAATGCTTACTGAATAAAAACCTCTCATAATGCATCATGAAGAGAAAAAGAAAGGCCTGAGAGTTGGATGGGAAGACAGAGGAAGGCCTGACTGTGATACCAAGTACTGATTCATGATGAGTCATCCCTGGGTGAAATGTGGATTGTGTGCTTTCTCTCGTGTGTGCTGTTTTCAGGTCCAGAAAAGATGGGAACAGTATGCAGAGACAGTGAAAATCATGGTTTTTTTTTTCTCCCACACTTACTGGAGAACTGACAAAGCCTCCAGCAGGTCCAGAGTTGATTTCTGCACCACCCCTGGCCCTGCTGAGGGGCTGGAGGAGCTGCAGTCGTCCCTGACTCTCTCCAGTCTTAGTTACACACCCATGAGGGATGCTAGATGCTGTGCTGAGCCTTGCTCGTCTGCTCAGGTGGAGCATGTTCCCTCTGAAGCTGGAGCCTGTCTGTGGGAAGTGTGGAGGGATCAGCAGCCCACACACAGGAGCACAGAGCCTGGATTATGGTCCGGTTCTGACACTTACAGACTGCGTGACTCAAGCACACTGTTTCCCTTCCCATTGCCTCCCTTTCATATCTCAAAAAGGGTATCAGGATGCTAACTCCTTTCAAAGCAACAAATCAATATAAAACTTTAATATCTTGCAAATGCTTATTTGTTTATTTACAAAAATTTGGTAAACCATTTACAATAGAGTCTGACATGTGAACTGACGCCTGTTTCTTCAGTTATTGAAAGTCAATAAATATGTGGATCTCAGAACTAGAATCGAGGTTAAAGAAACGCTCAGCAAAGACAATGCAGGAATCTTCATTATCGCTGGAGGGGCCGATCTCTTTGGTTTCACCTTGGCAATGTGTTTACCTGTAGAGAACAGTGTTTCATACTTCTCCACGATGCTCCCTGGATAAGGCTGACATACGAGTTCCCCTTCTGAAGGAGAAACTGTCCATCCTGGAGGAAGATGCTCCAGGTGGTGTGAGCCAGGCTCAGGTTCACAAGGCAAGAATAGGCTCAGCGTCTGTCTGTCTTCCATGCCCCCTACAGCGGCAGCCCCTCTCTTGGTGCCATTCACCATCAACTTCACCATTCTGAATCTGCTGTATGAGGAGGGTATGAATCCCCCTGGCTCCCGGAAGTTTAACTTCACTGAGAGAGTCCTGCAGAACCTGGTGAGAGCCCCACCCACTACACTTAGCCCCGCCCACAGGTATAAACCCCGCCCCCTGCACTCAGCCCCCTGCCAGGGCACCCTGCTCACCCCACACCACACTCATCTCACCCCAAGCCACATTATTGCCAGCCCCACACAACTTATCCCTGCCCCGTCCATCTCAACACAGCCTAAACTCCTGTCTGCTCTTTGTAGTAATTCTGTCTCACTTGCTCGATTTCCTCACAGCTCCAACCCTTGTTCCAAAGCAGCAGCCTGGGATCCCGCTATGCAGGCTGCAGGCTAGCCTTGCTCAGGTGAGATCCTCGACATGAAAGCACAGCCCAGGTGGCAGAATACAGTCATGCAGATGATGGTCCACGTTTCCAAACTGCCATTCCCGCCTCCCACATGTCACTTACAGAATCTCTAGCCCTATTCTAACAGTCGGGAGGCTGAGGCAGGAGTCTTACCAGAAGTTCAAGGCTAGTCCGGACTATATAGTAAGTTCAGGCCAGCCTGAACTGTATAGCTAAACCCTGAGTTTAAAAAAAAAGAAAAGACTTGAAGTTTCTTTATGTTTCTCAGTCACTTATCTCCAGCTTCATTTTCTTCCAAGGGAAGAGATGACAGGGGTTGTAGAGATAAGGTCTTCACCAAGCTCAGAGAGATTCCAGTTGAGTTCCAGCATTGTCATTTACTGAGGTCTGTGATTGTGACCCTCGGCTGGCATGACATTTTTAAGTACTGTGCATGCTAGGCATTGACCCAAATGGTACCATGAGAGCAGCTTCCTTTTTCACTCATGTTTGTCTAGCTTCTGGTTAGGGTGGGGGAACACACTGATGGACAGAGAGTCGGACCAACCATGCACGGTGCTTCCCAGGCCTGAGAAGGACGGAACAGCCACCAGAGTGGATGCCGTCTGCTCATACCGCCCCGGCCCTGAAAGCTTCACACTGGACAGAGAGCGGCTTTACTGGGAGCTGAGCCAGATGACCCAAGGCGTCATCCGCCTGGGCCCCTACACCCTGGACAGGGACAGTCTCTATGTCAATGGTGAGCATCCGGGCTGTGGCTGGGCTCTGTTCTCCCTAAGTAGGGAGGCTCCCCTGTCTGGCCATGGTCACATTCTCTGTCTGTCCTGAGGGCCAGGATGGATTTGGTGTGTCCTCACTGTTAGGGGACGCTCACTGTTCCTTTTTGCACTGGATTCATCCTCGGGACCTCTTCTCTGCAGGGAGAAGACAGTCTCAGAGGGAATCTCATACAGATCATGCTACGTGAATCTCCCTTCCATTGCACCAGGGTGCTCCTCCATTTGCAAATTGCCTTTTCCTTTACCTAACCCCTCTCCTCCCTGCTTCTCACTGCAGGATTCACCCCTCGCAGCTCTGCACTCAGCACCAGCAGTGAGTATTAACTGATATCCGGGGACTCCTCTCCCTGTCCCACACCAGGCAGAGCAGGAGCTGACCCCCACCAGGACCTGTGATGCCTCCTCCAGGAGCCAAGGCTGTGCACAGGGGCAAAGACATTCCCCCTCCCTGCTTCCCCAGTTTCAGTGAGAGTCCCAGCTCAGCCCCATGTACAGCAAGCACCATTAGTACTCAGTCTTGCTGGCATTTCTGCCATGGGAATGCCCGGCAGCTTTCACTCATATGAGCTTCTCCTCAGCTCCTGGGACCTCCACAGTGGACCTGGGAGCCTCTGTGGCTCCATTCTCCATCTCCAGCCCCACAGGTGAGTACCAGTGCATGGCCCTTGTGTGAGAGGGAGGCCTGGCCCTGCAAATGTCTCCCACAAGCTTGGTGGTGCCCTCTGTTAAAGAATCCAATCTCTGCATGACGCCTAGAGCAGATGGGAGGATACGCTGGACAGAAAACCCTACAGTTTCTCTTTTGTCCCTTTCCTGTGGCAGCTTTGAGCTCCACTCTGGTATCCTATACCATCAACTTCACCATCACGAACTTGCAGTTCATGCCGGATATGAGCCATCCAGGCTCCTCCAGGTTCAACAAAACTGAGGCCATCTTGCAGCACCTGGTAAGAGCACTGAGGTGTTCACAGCTCACAGCTCCTCATTCCTCAGCCTCTCGGGCCTCTGACTCACCTGCATCTCCATCCTCCCCAGCTTGGTGCTCTGATGAAGAACACCAGCATCGGCCCACTCTTCTCTGGCTGCAGACTGAGCTCTCTCAGGTAGGAGGTCCAGAAAAGGTGCTCACATCTCCAAGGTCTCCAACCAGCTCCTGAATCAACCTTGTTCCATGCCGTCCCAGGGGAGCAGCACTGGGCACTTGAGATGCTGCGTCCTCTGAACTCCCCCCCCCCCCATATTTTCTCCTCTCAGCATTCTGTCCTATCTCTTTCTGCCCCTCGGCAATGTAGACCTTCTCCAGAAGTGAAGGCCATGAGTCTCCAAAACTATTCTCTCCTTGGAAAACTTAGAAAGCAAAAATGAAGAATCTCTGTGACCTGCACACTTCTAGACCTATATCAACAGTGCTCAACTGCACTGTACCCAGTACATATGCAGGGCTCTTGGACTGCCCGAATGGTGTGTCTGTCATTTCCCTTGACCTAGTCTAGAATGGTATGAAGTAGGAATAGGATAAATAATCCTAAATCCAAAAATACAAGATCCAAAAGTGAAACTTTTGGATTTGTCATAATAGTGTTCAAAAAATTTCAAAATTTAGAGGATTTCAGATATTTGAAATCGAGATGCTTAACCAGTGCAAGTTATGCATATTCCCTAAATCTGAAAACTGAGACCTCTAAACCACTTCTCATCCCAAATACTGCAGATAACAGGTGGCATCTTCCACGTGAATTCTAAATAAGCACTGTGCCGGCACCTGCTCCACTCCCCTTTTGCATCCACAGATCATTTCTAAATTCTGGGATTTGTTTCCCTTCTTCCCTGCCTTCTAAGCAAATCTAACTCAGCTTTGTGCTTTTTCCAGATATTCTGGCAAGACTTTCTCATGATTCGGCTTGCTTATGTCCCTATCCGTGTGTCCCTCTTCCCTAGGCCTGAGGAGGATGGGTCAGCTACCAGAGTGGACGTTATCTGCACCCACCGCTCTGAACCCACAAGCACTGGGCTGGACAGAGAGCGGCTGTACTGGGAGCTGAGCCGTGAGACCTACAACATCACCCGCCTGGGCTCCTACACCCTGGACAGGAACAGTCTCTACGTCAATGGTCAGGGCTCTGCAGCTACAGTGTGGCTTCCCCATGGGTCTCATTGAGACCATGTGCTCTGGGCTGATAATGTGGGGGAACAGGGGTGTATCCCCAACTTGGGCAGTTTAACAATTTAGCAAGATGCTGTCTCAAAGGAAATATCAGAAAGTGCTGAAGGTGTTGTTCAATGTGAAATCCCTACATTCAGTCCCCATACTGAGATACAAAAACAATACAAACGAAAAAATGTACTGAGCTCCAATTTTGGCTCCTTCCCATCCCATCTTTCCACACCCTTCACCCTTTCTTTCCCTCTCTTTCCCCAGGTTACACCCACCACTTCCTGACCCCCACCCTCGGTGGTGAGTAATCTGGGTACCTGGATCGCTGTGCCTCAGACCCATCTCCTCATCCCTTAACCCCTCCCTCACATCTGCACATGAAGGGGGGAAAGGGAAGCCTGGCCTTTTCCCAGCTCAGAAAGGACTTGCCCCAGCGTAAGCTTGCGTTCAAGTAGGAAAATGGTCTCCAGATCCCATGATGGACCCTCCTTAGCTAGAAAATCACTATTTTTTCCATCTTTTATTGTTTTCTTTTCCTTTTTTTTTTTTTTTTTTTTTTTTTTGTCTTAGTTTCTGTGGCCTCCACTGTGATACCAACAATGTCTTTAACACTCGCACCAGTCTCCACAGGTAGGAGCGTTCTTTCTCTCTGCTTTCTTCCTGCAAAACCCCAGTGCCCTAGGCCTAAGAGATGTGTCACCTGAGGAGTATGAGGGCTCATTTATTTATTCAACAACATTCATTTAGTGCGTACTACATACAGGTTCTGATGATGCATTAGAAATGAAAGCGCCTTAGTCTTTCTTGGGAAGGCAGAGACAGACCTGATTGTAAAGCTAAGCAGGCAGGAATTAGCTGCTTTGGGGAGGGAGCACCAGGGACTGAACTCATCATCACAGGCTTGTAAGGCAGGTGCTTAGCCACTGAGCTAAATCCCTGGCCCAGTTAGATACTCTTGAATGCAAATTGCAAGTGTCTGTAGCTGATTCCTCTCTTGTTTTTAACTGGCTTTTCAATTCCATGAGTGGAAGAACAACAGGATCTGGGCATAAACCAGGAAAATCATGTACCTTTTTGGGTCACACTTGCTCAGCAACTTATGGCGTCTCTGTTTAGGCTGAGGGTTAGCTGCCGTTTCCTAGGCTCCAGGCAGTCCAGGGTAGATTTCTGTACCACCTGCTGCCCTGTGCAAGGTGAGCTGGCCCCATCTCTGTCTTATGCCAGTCTCCAGTTACACATCAGCTTGTGATTCTAGAGGGTGCGTCGAGCACTGGCTGCTCAGGTGTAACCTGTTGGCACTGCCGCCTGGGCCGGTCTGTAGCCCTGAATGGAGGGGGTAAGGAGCACAGACTCAGGGAGCACAGAGCTTGTGTTCGAAATCTCGCTCTGACCTTCAGAGACTGTATGACTTTGATAAAGTTCTTAAATCCCCACTGGCTCGATTTTCACATCTGTAAAATAAGCATTATAATGCTATTTCCCTCCAAAGCAAAGAGTTCAAGGTAAGTCTTTTAATCATTAAAGTATATTGACTTGTTTTTATTTTTTAACAAAAAAGGTAAGTAAATAATTTAAAATACAGCCTAACATATAAAAATGTGATATGTTTTTTCCAAATTTTTTTAAAAAATTCTGTGGATCTCAGAAAAAAAAAATTGGGTTAAAGAAAAACTCAATAAAGGAGAAAGCAGAATTTTAGCCACCTGGAGGGTCAGATCTGTTTGCCTTTGGCATGGCAAGGCATTTACCTCCACAGAGCAGTTTTCTGTACTTGTCCACGATGCTCTCTGGTTAATGCGCACATCTGAGGTCTCCTCTCTGAGGAGGAGGACCCTATCACTGATTGCGGAAGAACACGTGGGATGCCTCATGTTTAGGTTCACGCAGCAAGAACAGGCTTAGAACATGTCTTTCTCCCACTGCTGCAGCAACTGGCCCCATCCTAGTACTGTTCACCATCAACTTTACCATCACCAACCTGAAGTATGAGAAGGATATGCATGAGACCGGATCTCAGAAGTTCAACTTCACGGAGACAGTCCTGCAGAGAGTGGTGAGAGCCCTGACCCAAACACTCTGCCCCGCCCACTGACATAGGCCACGCCCACACATGCTACACCACGCCCACCCCAGCCCCACAAGATAGACGCCAGCCCTGCCCACCTCAGTCTGCTCCGCCCCTCCTCCCTCATCTCTTGCCCTTACCTTTGTCCTCTCCCTCCACAGCTCACGCCCTTGTTCAAGAAAACTAGCGTGGGCCCTCTTTTTTCTGGCTGCAGACTGATCTCGCTCAGGTAAGCTCTTAAAATGATAGCCCAGGGCCTTCCCAAGTCTTCCCAGGTCTAAAGAGGCACTGAGTAGATCCAGCACCGGGGTTTCCCCTGAGGGATATTACTTTCCCCATCAGTAACCATCCACTCACCTACCCATTCTACAACCTATCTCCAGGATTGGGCCCTTCCCCATCCATTCTGAATTTCTTGTTTCTCCTCCTTTCACTCAAAGAACTTTAAATTCGGTCCCCTGCTTTTCTTTTAAGACAAGTGTGTCTTCTCCGCTTGCTTTAATCCCGAATTCCAGCTCTTCCCCTGATTGCAGTGTGACCGGTCCTATCCCCAACCCATAAGGTTGCATTCTTGAGTCTTGCATTTAATAAAACTTTGTGAAGCCACAACTGCTCACCATCCCAGGCTGGCTGGGACTCTAGAGACTGTGTCCATAGATTTTAAGTCTTAGCTCTCTGCCAGTCTGGGGATTTTTCCCCCTTCATGTCTTGCTACAGGGGTCTTGTGATCCTTTTTCAGACATTTCACTTATTCTCATCCCCCTCACTTGCACGCACAGGCCTGAGAGGCATGGAGCAGCAACAGGAGTGGATGCCACCTGCGCCCAGCACCCTAATGCCACAGGCCCTGGGCTGGATAGAGAGCAGCTGTACTGGGAGCTGAGCCGCCTGACCCATGGCATTACCCAGCTGGGCAGCTACATCCTGGACCAAGACAGTCTCTATGTGGATGGTGAGTAGCAGCCTGCTGTGCCGTGTACATCCACACTCCCTCCTCCCAGATTCCCTTTCCTGCATCTCACCCCATCCTCACCCTTGCTTCCTTTATCTTTGCAGGTTACACCCATCGGATCCTGGCCACCACTGCCAGAAGTGAGTATTCAGAGGCCCTTAGGAATGAAGGAAATCAAAAGCCTGTTCTCTCCATTTTCCATCCCTATCCTACCTCCTGGGATGAACAGAGACCTTTCCCCAAAGCCCCCTAGGCGTGAGATTTTCCTCCCCAGTATCTCCATGGTGATGGGGTTCCCACCACAAACACTTCTTTGTCCTCCCAGCTTCTGTGGTACCTGCCATCACTGCTTTGATGCCTACCTCCTCCTCCAGTCCCACAGGTAGGAATTCTCCTGTCTAAAGGGGCTCACAGTGCTTCCTGTAATCGTAGGAGGAAGTATGGAGTAGGGGACATGTGTCAGGATCCCCAAGGCTGACATTTTCAAGGTGCTAGAAACAGTGGTCTCACAAGTGCCACCAAATGTTCTACCACTGTGCATCATCCCCAGCCTCCAAGTTTGGCTCGATGGATTTGAGCCTTTCCAGATCCCTAGAATTCCTTGAGTACCACTCCCTCTCATAGGACCCAGCATCCTAAGCCACTCGGAAACCTATAGGTGGCCCCTGAGCTCAATATCCTCCCCTGACCTTAGAAGAGTACAAAACATGCTTCTTTGCTGAGCATAGACTGGTCCTGTGGCCAGTACACCAGAAACCAGCTCAGCAAAAATCAGCTCCCTCGGTGACTCAACCAGCCAATTGTGTTAAGGCATATTGTTCTTGAAGAGGCTGAATAGATAAGGCTTTATCTTTCTTGCTGATTCTTTATTAATCATGTTCCTTATAAATATGTATATCAGCTCCTTGGCTAGGGGCAAAGAAGGTGGCTCATGAACGTGACACCCAGAGTGCCATTTCTGGTTTTTCCATGTGGCTGAAACTGGGTTATAGCTGAAAGAGGACTTCCTGCTCCTTTCACTCCCCACCCCCTTCCTAAGCCCTGAAATGCCCCAGATGTGTGTACACTCCCTCTTATCTCAAGAGGATAAGGTCCCTGGAGGAGGCAGCGTTTGTGCCCCTCTGCCCCTGTCCAGCCCAGACCTGATGAAGGATGTGAGTCTCTCCGCCTCTCCTCCTCTTTCCCACACAGCTGCTAGGCCTGTCCGGCTGCTGTCCTTCACCCTGAACTTCACCATCACCAACATGGCCTATGTGGGAGACATGCAGCCTGGCTCTGCGAGGTTTAACGGCACAGAGTCAGTTCTACGACGCCTGGTGAGCGCCCCCAGCTGCTGTCTCTCCTTTCCAGCTTCCTTATCCTTGCTGAGTCATCTTGCTCATCTGTGCAGCGTTCAGCAGGTTTCAAACTTGGCATGGCAACAAGACCAATGATAGGTACACTCTTTGATCCTGCTAGCCTGCTTTTGGATATGTGTTCTAAGAAAATGAAATCAGCATTCCCAATGGATACCTGCATGTCCCTCGTTATCATGGAACTACTAACAAGAGCTAATATATGAAATCAGCATAAGTGCCCATCAACAGGGAGATGAATAAAAAAATGTGGTGTATAAATACAGTGCTCTCAGGGCCTGACCTAGATCTCCAATCTCCCAAACAAGTGTATGGTAGAGGTTAAATAAGACAAATTGTATGATTCTTTAAGGCTCCAGGAAGGTCAAAACCCTTTAATTAAGCTCGCAACTCTGAGGGTTAAGACAAAAAATTTTCTGGATCAGTCCACTTATATTAGGACCAAGGACAAAAGACAGAGAAACTGAGGAACGTGCAGGCAATGAGCAGGACCTCGTCTCCAAGTCATGAATCAAGTCAATTTAGTAGCACTGTCTTACCATAAAGACATGGTAGAAGTGAGATTGTAGGAGTTTTGCAGCTGCAGTCTCTACCTTGTTAATTGGTCCACAGCTGTGGCCTTATCTTGCCCTTTGAGGTATCTCTGGCCTTATAGGTCACTAAAGGCCTCAGCCAGGACCAGTGATTCACAGAGGTTCACTTACTATGAATCGGCTCCCATTGCCACACAAGGGGCCGAGGCCTAGGACACACTCACAGATAAACATAGAAGGCCAATTAGTACATTTTAAATCCTGCTCAGAGCCGCTTCGTAGTGGTATCCAACAGGTGGGACACTACTGAGAAATGAAGAAGAAAAAGATCCTGTCATCTGCAGGCGCATGGAAGGAACTGGAGGACGGTATATTAAGTGTAATCAGCCAGGCACAGAAATACAAATGCTGCCTGCTTTCTCTCATAAGCAGAAGCTAAAAAAGCCATCTGAATAAATAACAGTGATTACTAGAGGTTGGGTAGAGCACAGAGGGATAAATAAAAGGAGATTGGATTTGAATAGTGCACAAGTGGAAATATCACGCTGATTCCCACTAGTGGGTGCAGTTTGCGGTGTTAATACATATGGCAAACATATGCTAATAAAAAAGAAACTAAAAAGTTAAAAATAAAACAAACAAAAATAGGACCAACTATGTGGCTCCATGATAGAGTATATCTTAGCATGTGCAAGGTCTCAGCTTCAATCTCTACCAACAAAATAAATAAAATTTTAAAACTGTGACTTAAAATAATGATTCCTTTTATATTCATTTTTTTCCTCTTTGTCCTCAGCTCCAACCCCTGTTCACCGCCAGCAGCATCGGCTCCCTTTACAATGGCTGCAGACTGACCGCACTAAGGTGACAGTCCCTTCTATCTTGCTTTCCCCGGTGTAGTAAGATGTGACCTGGGTGGCCTGGCCAGGTCCTGAATTGGACAAGATGAGTGAAGTCCAAGGAACAACATTTAAGGAAGCATATAGCTACATATTGCTAAGAACTCCGAGCACCTCCTTGATCCCTTCAGCCTATTCCTGACACCATATCCTGGCTCCTAGAGATCATCCCAAATCTAATTGACAGAGTAAAGAATCTCAAATCCAACTGACAGACCTGAACAAGCCATATGTGGTTGTAGCTTCACTTAGAGGGATAAGGACAGGAAACACCATGACAGGAGCACAGGAATTAGCTTTTCTTTTGTGTGAGAGCCATCTCAATAGTCCAAAGGCAACTGTCATCATAATCTCAGGTGGCAGCTCATGTACAAGGAAGTGACCCATCAGTGAACAGGTTAAGAGTCATCCCAGCTACCAATAGGGAACCAACCTTTCTTTAACAGCCTTGTCCAGTTTTCAGGATCACCATATTCAGGGAGCCCAAAGCCACACCTTTATACTATCTATGGATGTCTACTTTTCCCCCCATCAAAAAAAAATGGTATGGGTCTTCAACTAGGGGTCAATTTAGCCGTAAGCAACCTTTTCAGGCAACACAAATTCCAGTGCACCTTTATCAAGGATCTAGGAGGCCAGGGCTAAAAAAGGCCAGCTCAGGGTCAGTTCTGTCTAGCTGACCCAAGGACACACTCTGCTTATGCTCAGTAATGCTATCTACCAGCACAACTGACAATACTTCACAGGTTATCCTTTCAAGGCTAGTTTTTCCCACTGTCCCAGAGAGATATTACTGCAAAATCTGGTGGTCGCTGAGTAGATCTCTTCTATGCAGGATGTCATGTTCAGATGATCAAACACAGAAATCAGGTTGGATCCACTCTCTGATAGCTGATTAATCCAATTAGAGCTGTTTTTCAGTCCCACAGAGGACTGTGAGCCTCTTGTAAATATTTTTAGTTATGCAATTACTCAGTAAGCACCTATCATGTACCTGTAGCTACATCAGGTACAGGTTGTATTTCACATCAACCATTTCTGAATCCCAAGACATTTCAACTCCATGGTTTTGGTGTTATCTATGGTATGCAGGTGGAAGAACCAAGAATCAAGGAAACTTACATAGATTATTCAACAGGTGACAGCTGAGTTTAAACCGTGGTGGTTTGACTCTAAACATGCACTTTGGCCTTTTGTGACTCAAAGATGCCCCTGTTCAAACCATTCTTTTTAATGAACTAACAGAGATTAACAGTGTAATTATCTATCTTATACATATATGTGTGAGTGTGTGTGTATTCTTTTCCCCTCTTTCTTTCCTCTTTCCCCTGTCCTTTTGTGCAATTATTTCCTATTTCATTTTCACAGTAGGTGTTTTCATTGTTGAACTGTTGATCATTTCTCCATCCCTACACCTTGTAATCTGCACAACTACTTTGAAGATAACAATATACCATATGTCAATCAGTGTTAATATATTATTTTGTTTAGAAAATCTGTATCATCATTTTTACTCTTTTTTCATTTTAAAATTTAAAAAATATGACCCTGCTCTTTGGGGTACCTGATACCTAGATTAGGGAGACAAATGAGCAGATATCCAGATACAAGTGTTTTGAGAGAAAGAGATCTACTAAGGACAGGTCTCTGTCTCATCTCCACCCCTATGTCCTTGCCTCCCCAGGCCTGAAAATGGTGGAACAGCCACTGCAGTTGATGCCATATGCACCTACCACCCCGACCCTGCAGGCTCTGAGCTGGACAGGGAGCGCCTCTACTGGGAATTGAGCCGCCTGACCCATGGTGTCACCAAGCTCGGCTCCTACATCCTAGACAGAGACCGTCTTTATGTCGATGGTGAGCATCTCATGGAGTGAGGTCTTCCCTTCCCTCTTGGGTAGATCATGATATGGCCATTGAATTATACCCAGAGAAACAGTCTCAAATCTGTCTGCCCCCAGAGAAAGAGGCGGGTGGGCAGGGTAAAGCTCTAGGAGGGGCTACCTAGTATGTGGAAGATAAGTAACTTCCTGACCAAAGGACTCTCTTCAGAGTCCTTCTGACAGCATCTATCCTACCCATGGTCAAGTTCACCCCTCTCTTCTGCAATCCCTTTGAATGTCTCTCATTCACTGTTCCTCACTCTCTGCAGGTTTCACCAGACCAGTGTTGACCTCCACCCCAAGTGGTAAGTGTTCAAACCCTAGATGCTCCCCAATTCCCCCAAAACCCCTTGTGGACATCTGGTTACCCCCTACAAAGATCATCGCTTCATCAAGCAAGGAAGACTTAGGGCCTTGGGTTCCTCCCCCCACCTCTCCCTTCCCCTTCAGGCCAAGCATCAAAGCTCTCTGTGTCTGACACCTCCAATGTGTCAGGCTTGCAAGGTGCTCATTTCTCATGCTTCCTTCTTAGTGGCTGAGACTTCTACACTCTCCTCAGGAACCTCTGCAGCTCCAAATACAGGTAGGAACTTCCTCTCTAAGTCTCTTTTCTTCCTGATTACAAGCCTTTATGCTAAGCAGTGAGGAGGGCCAACAGGGCACACAAGGGAGGCCACAGCAAGGAGACAGTGTGAGAAGGATGAAGTACTGGAGTCTGTCCTTGTCCGGAGAATGTCAGTTCCATCCCTGGCTTTGCCAGCCTCTGTACAATGCGTCCTTTTTTTTTTTCCCCCTATTAGTGCACAATGAACACATTCCTTGTGTGGAATTGGTTCATCTGCATGATACAGCCCCCTGTCCATCTCCTGCTCCCTTTTCCATTTGCAAAAGGCCCATCCTCCTGTCTCCTATTGCTCACCTTTTATTTTGCTCTTCAATTTATATAATAAGCTTTTGGTATAAGAGAAACCGTAGACATATAAGCATGGGTATCTGATTTACTTCACATAATATTACAGCTTCAAGGTGTCTTTTAAACCCACCTTTTCCTTTCTGTTAAAGTGTGGCATTGGTTGGCTTCTACTGTAGATGACCCTGGCATTCAGTGAACTAAAGCAATGACTTGCTACTGCTCATTAGTACACAAGTCTAATAGGCTATTCCTCTGGTCTCAGCTCAGCTATTTCACATGCGTGCAGACACAGGGCAGCTAGGTGCCTCTGCTTCTGGAAGAGGCCTGACTGTGGTTTGGGGATCCTATGTTTTCCTTCATTTCCGATATCCAAAAGGCTGATGTTTTTGTGGGGACTATAGGATTCCACAAGCAGGAGAAAGCAAGCCTACTGTATGGTGCACTGCAAGCCTTTGCTTCTGTTACATTCTCTGTGTTCCACTGGCAAAGTAAGTCATGGCCAAGCCAGTTACAGAGGCAGAGTGACAGCTGTCACCTCTTAGTGGGAGGGCTGCTACATCACATTGCAAAGGCATAGATGCAGGAAGATGAAGAATTTATGTCTATTACACAGTCTTGGGTGACCTTCCAGAGACCAACTTGTGACCATATTATCTGTCCTCAGGTCTTGGGGAACCCAGGTTTGCACTTTACTAGGATGGGATTGAAATAGTCAAGAGGAATCCAGAACTATGTCCAAAAAGACAGAAATCAAAGCAAGTGAGCCTAGAAAGTAGAAATCAATGACAAAAGTAATTAAGTGACAACATTCACAAATTATTGGCCACAGACCAGCAACTTGACTTCATGTATACAATTTTCATTTAACTCTGGCACACAGATGCCACTGCTTTTCTATTTAAGACAGATAATAAACTGGGTCTTAGGGAAATCAGTGATTTGTGAGGTCACACAACAAGCAGAGGGGTAAGACTTGAACTTAAGTCATTTAAATTCTAGAGCCTGAGCATCTGCCCTAAAATAGCTGTGCAGCCCTGAGGAAGTGACTTATCCTCTCTGAAACTCATCCTCATCCTCAGTCAGGTGGGAGTTACGTGAGAATTACATGAGATACTAGATAGAGACTACTTAGCACCAACGTAGCCTAGAGTAAGCCCCTGCCCTATTTATTGCTATTTTTATTGTCATTTCTATTACTTTTACCATCATTAGTGTCTTTTGAAATAAAATTTCCTTTTCTAGGAGAAATGAGTTCATCTCTTGCCCTAGGTGTGAATACACTGGGTACCAGGGATCTGTTTGGTAGATTCATCTAGATCTAGAGTCTCCCTCAACCCTCAAAGTTACTTCAAATAAGACTCGAGGTTTGACTTCTCTCTTAATCTTACTGCAGTATCAGGCCCCTCTCTGGTGCCATTCACCCTAAACTTCACCATCACTGACATGCCTTACACGGAGAACATGAAGCCTTGGGGCACCTCGGAATTCAATACCACAGAGAAGGTTCTCCGAGGACTGGTGAGAGCCACGCCCCCTCCCTCGAGCCCTACCCAATGATGCCACCTTATCCACCCTGGCCCCGCCCATCTCCCTGTTTCCTTCCTTGGCCACCCCACTTATCCCCTTTCCTTCCAAGGATACCCCGCCCACTAACGCTGGCTCCACCCACCTCTCATGCACCACCTACCTCATCTCATTGATTCTCCTGTCCCCATTTAGGTCTTCCACTCATTTCCTTTTCTCTCTTCCACAGCTTGACCCCTTGTTCAAGAACACTAGCGTCAGCCTTCTGTATTCTGGCTGCAGACTGACTTCGCTCAGGTGAAACTTCCAAAGAAGCCTGCCCGCGGTGGCGTGGTTAAGATTCTTATGCACAGTTATTTAAGGCTGGTCCCCCCTTTGCTCTCTGTCATTTCCAGCCCCTAAGCTAGGGCAGCCACTTCTCCTTGGACCCCTGACAACTCTTTTGGACCTTCCCATGCTCCTAAGCCTCAAATCTCCCATGCAATGTGTGTTAGCTTTTTGTTGCAGTGACAGAGCATCCTTATTTTGACACCAGCCCATGGCCAGGTAGACTTTTGCTTTTGGGGCTGTGGTGAAGCAGCATATTATGGTAGCAGAGTGTGGTGAAGTAAAACTGCCAACCTCACCACCAGGAAGTCAAAGACAGGAAGATGAGGGAACTGGGGTTCCATAGCATCCCTTGAGTTCATGACTCCAATGACCAAAGACCTCCACTAAGCCCCTCATCTCAAAGCTTCTGCAGGCTTCCAATAGCACCACCCAGGAGCCAAACATTAACATGGCCAAGACATTTTGTATTATTCCTCTGCTTCACCCTCCTCAGACCCAAGAAAAATGGCTCAGCCACAGGCATAGACATGCTGTGCACCTATCACCTGGACCCTGTGGATTCCATGCTGGACAGGGAGCGTCTGTACCAGGAGCTGAGCCAGCTGACCCATGGCGTCACCCGGCTGGGCAGCTACACCCTTGACCCCAGCAGTCTCTACGTCAGTGGTGAGCAGCAGCCTGCCGTGCTGTGCTTCCCCTGCCAGGCCTTCTTTATCCCTTCTCTATGTCCCTGCTCCTGCTCATTCCTTTCCTCTTGCTTTCTGCAGGTTACACCCAGCAGACTGCAGTCCCCACAGCCAGCAGTGAGTACTCAGGGACTCTGAGTAGCTTCTCCCGGCCAGGTAGGGAAGGAAGCCCTGGCCAGGTGTCCAGCTGTCAGAGAAGAAGGCCTGGGCTAAGAAGTCCTTGCCACACAAATTTAACTGTCTGTCATCCCTGTGTTCACTACTCATCCTTGCCACATTTCTCTAGCAAAAAAGAAATGTCACTGAAGAGTGGTTGGGTGGACGATGAAGGAGTTAACTGAATAACTCAGTAGAAACACTGTGTAGAAAAATGTTATATTGTAGACTATGCTCTCCAGAGCTTTGTAGTGTCTCCGTGTTCCCTCCTTACCTCCTGTGATGATTCAGAACTGGTGGTTCCACCACCTGACCCCAAGACCCCTCAGCCTTATCTCATGACCGTGGCTCCAGACCTTGCCTGTTCTTCATGTCCAAGCGAGGCCTGACTCAGGATGGTATCTCTTCTCCCTCCTCTGCTGCAGCCACTGAACCACCCCTGATGCCTTTCACCCTCAACTTCACCATCACCAACCTCCCCTATGAGGAGGGCATGTGGCCTCCAGGGTCCTGGACGTTCAACAGCACAGACAAGATCCTGCAGGACCTGGTGAGAGTCCCTGCCCACCTTCCCCCGGCCCTGTGCTCCCCAGGCCAGCCGGCCCCACAGATGCCTGTTTACACACTGAGCGTCACTCTACTTACATGAACCCCCATCTGTGACTCCCTGGCCCCTGACCCCCAGACTCTATTCTCTCTACCCTCTCTTCTCCACAGCTCAAGTCTTTGTTCAAGAACACTACTGTAGGTTCCCTGTACTCTGGCTGCAGACTGATCTCCCTCAGGTGAGTCTAGGAATAGGAGGCCAAAGCTTCCCAAGTTCTCCTAGGCCCAAGGATTTTGATTTCTCTCTCTCTCTTTCTCTGTCTCTCTATCTGCCTCTCTCTCTGTCTCTCTGTCTCTCTGTGTCTGCCTCTCTCTCTCTCTCTCTCTCTCTCTCTCTCTCTCTCTCATTCTCTCTCTCTCGATGTCCTGATCAATCAAAGTTGGAATTCAGGTGGCACTGGATCTAGCACCAAGGTGTCTTCTGATCCTACTACTTCTTTCTGACTTTCCTGAAATTCTGCAGCCCACCAGTAGGAGTAGCTCATCTCCCTTCTAAATTGGCAGTTTTCTTTTGGTATTAAATTCTGTCCCCAGGATCAGAACAACGTGCTTGTGAACTGGTCAACTCTAGCTCTCTGCCTGTCTGTGCCATGGCCTCTTTTGTCCTGCTGCTTAACAGAAATCAGTGAATACATAACTCTGCTCACAGACTGGGGCTGGCTGGATGTCAGCCCATTCAGAGCATCTACATCTTGACTCACCTCTCTATCAGTCTCATTCCCTGTGGCCTCTTTCTGCCCCTCTTTTATAAATTGCAAGACTCCTCCATGAGCATCCATTCATTGTCATCCATTTATCTACTCTCCCCAGGCCCAGGAAGGACAGAGAAGCCACTGGAGTAGATATGATTTGCACCTACCACTCCAACCCTGCAGGCCCAGGACTGGACAGAGAGCAGTTATATTGGGAGCTAAGCCAGGGGACACATGACATCACCCAACTGGGTCCCTACACCCTGGACGAGGAGAGCCTCTACGTCAATGGTGAGGGGCTGTGGACCTTTTTGAAGCCCAGAAAATTACATTTCCTCTCTCTTCTATCCTCATCAGTCCCTGTTCTTTCTCTACCTGCGTAGGCTATAACCACCGGATCCTGATGACTACCACCAGCAGTGAGTATTATAGATTAAAATTTCTTTGTAGTCCTGCAAGCTGCCTCTTCCTAAGCCCCAACCTTCAGGAACAGAAGAGACCAAGAGCCTATGCCTCTTCTCAGTAATACTGTAAATCATACAGGGATCTGTATCCACTAATTCCCCCCATACATGCATCTCCTCCCTGGAATCTCTAGAGTGACGGAGTCTACAGCCCTAGCACTTGGAATGCTTACCTCCCACCTTCTGCCACCAGGGCACCTACATCAGTGACTAGGTCTGTGTTGATATATGAGCTTCTTCTTTTAGACTGGGTAGGTTTTGCTACAGAAGGATTGTGTGCCTACCCACATTGGGCTCACATCAGAGATCTTTAAGCAGGTCACCTGTCTCTGTCTCTGGAAGTTCCAAAGTAGCCTTTGATTCCTCTCAGTCAGAGAAGCTGTCTTCTTTTTAACAAATCACAGCCATGGTGGCCCAGTCATGAATGGATCATCTCTCCATGGCCCTGCTGATTACACCCTACCTGGCCCAAATATTATCCCCAACAGTGCGTATTGCAGACTGCTGGGTGCCTCTGACCATGTCCTTTCTCCTGAAAAACAAGAGCTGCTCAACCATCCAACTCCCCTTCTTCCTGTTAGCTTTTCTTTGCATAGGAAGAAATCCAGAGGAGATGCACAGAAATGTGCTTTGGACTGAAAGTGGCGGGACCCACCACCCTACCCCCCACCTGCATGCTCAGTGATGATGCTGTGACTTGAGACTGAAAATGGAGGAAGAGCACAGAGTCCTGTAACTACCGTCAGCTCAGCTGCCATCACTTCCTTAAAAGTGGAATACAGTTCGGAGTTCATTTGTGATCTTTTCTTCTTTTCTCAGCAGCTGTGACCACCATGTCTTTCCCAGCACCTTCTCCAGCTCCATCCCCTACAACCAAACCCACAGGTAGGAAGGGCCGTAGGCTCATGTCGATACCAAGATAACGGTCACCAGACAGCTTGCTACTCATACTAAATCAAATCACTTTTCCCACTCACCTTCCTCAAAGAACTCATTCATTTCTCCGGATTTTGGAAACCATCCAACGGTTCAGAGCCCAAGTTCAGTGTCCAGCCTATGACACACACAGCAGCTTGTGACCTTTGATCTTCTCATCTCCTGGCATCACTCAGACCCACTGATCTCTAATGCTGACGTCATCACCATCCTCCAAACCTGCTTCCCTCCATCATCAAAGACAGAGTGCCAACCTGGCCCCTGCCTGTCACTCACCTCCCATAGCTATCTTTTCCCTTTGGGATACCTTTCACCTCCTTCCTATCTTGGTCAATTTATCACACAAACTTTATTTAGGCCACCAGAATTTTTTTTTGCTAGGATGACAGCAGCACACTCTATTCTGGGTTCCTGTTGTCCTCGACACAGCAGCCTCCTTCTCAGTGTGCATTTACCTATGTAATTCCCATCTTGCTGGCAATCTTTGGAAGACTGTTTGGTCTACAGGTTGCATTCAAAGCCCTGTACTGCACAGTCACTGAGCTCAGAGGGGCTCAGAGGACCCTCCTGGGCTCAGAGGACCCTTCTCTTCTGGTATCTATCCTTTCCTACGGCCTCAGTGAAGGCACTTCAGTGTCCTTGAGTGAGTCTTGCTTGTCCCCCTGCCCGGCCTTTGAGCAGGCTATTCCTCTTGCCTGGAGTGCTCTTTCTATTTGCTCAATTTTTTTTCAATTAACTTGCTGTGTTCTCAGTTACTCCTGAAATAATTCTCTCTCCAAGGACTTTTCCTCATCCCCTGGTTGGGTTTCTTTCCTGGCTTTTCATAACCCTCTTCCTTGCCAAGCTCCCCTTGAAGTATAATCAACTGTTTACTTCCATGCCTGTGACATTGGTAAACTATGTCCAGTTAATCTTGGGACCCACCAGAGCCCATCGCAGAATCTTGAGCACATTAAGCACTCAATAAATGTTCCTCGAATGAGGGAATAAACATTACCGATCACTTGAGAGTTTAAACAAGAGGAGATTGCCCCTGTGCTTAGCTCCTGACATCCAGAGCTAATGTCCTATGATCTGGGCTAGAAACTTCTTCATCATGACTGTGACCCAAATTGGGCATTCCTCTTTCCTCCAACACTGCAGCCAGTGGTTCTACCATTGTCCTGGTCATGCTCAACTTCACCATCACCAACATGCGTTACACAGAGGAAATGGGGAACCCAGGCTCCTTGAAGTTTAACTTCACTGAGAGGATCCTTCAGCGCCAGGTAAGAGCTTTTTCAAGGCTACGACCCCACCATCTCACACCTGCCTTTGTAACCTCCTCAGCCAGCCTCACTCATCTTCTCTTTTCCCTATAGCTCAAGTTCTTGCTCAGTAAGACCAGTGTTGGGCCGCTGTACACTGGCTGCCATCTGGCTGCACTCAGGTGAGACTCCCAGATGGAGCAATACATCAGACCACATGGACCTTTATGTATGAAACAGCAGAGTGCAGGCATCCCTAAAATCAGCACCCATCTTGATGCCTTCATCCCTTCTTATTGCTCAGAAGGACTGGAGGTTGTTTATTCACTGGCTTAGAGATGAGGAATTATATTTAGTGTACAAAATTCAGATGTTATTCTGCTTTAAGTGAGGATTGTTGTTGTAAAAGATGTAGGAGCACCACATTGCCCATCTTCAGTGTACTTCAATGTTTTGTATCTCCAGTATGAGTAGACTCTCCCACACAAATCACTCAAGAGTCACCTTTGCATCTCTTTGGGCTTTCTCCTTTCTGTTCTTTTGCTTGGCACACCCAGAAAGCTCAAAACTCCCTTTCTGTGTCCCCCTGTCCTTCCTTTACCAGGCGTGAGGAAGGTGGAGCAGCCACAGGAGTAGGCGTCATCTGTGCCCTCCGCTCTAACGCTGCAAGCTCTGGGCTGGACAGAGAGAAGCTGTACAGGGAGCTGAGTCAGGAAACCCATGGCGTCACCCAGCTGGGCCACTACACCCTGGACCACAGCAGTCTCTATGTCAATGGTGAGGGACCACATTACAGCACAGTCTGTCTCAGTTGGAATCTTGGATTTTCCCAGAGCCTTGAACATAACTCTCAACTCACTAGAGTGTGTTGACCATCTTTCTCTTCTTCTGGGCCATCCAGTGGACAGTGACCATGTTCAGCTGACTTCAGTATTGTTCACTGGTCCACTCGTTCCTGAACATTCCTTCACTGCCTGTTTCCCTTTGTTTTTACAAAAAAAATCTGCAATTTCTCCTTTACCTTTAACCCTTTTTGTCTCCCTAATCTTCTCAACCCTGCTTTCTGTGCAGGTTATACCTTTGGAGGCACAGCTGCGACACCCACCAGTGAGTATTCCTGGCCTCGACTTCCTGGGTCCCGTCCTCCCTTGGAGGTTGGGAATTCTTCTCCTCCTCTCCTCCGTAAGGAGAAGGGGAAGGGAAATGTCTTCTGCTTTTTCCTTCTCTTCCCCTGGCTCTTGGAGGAGAGAGCTCCAGGCGGGGGTGAAGAGAGCTGACATGCACATCTGTTCTCCCACCACATTCTGACCAGAACCATTCTCATCTTCATTATCCCACAATCCTACCTTGTTAGTGCTAAAAGGCAAACCAAGATACAAAAAAATTTTAAAAAGTTTATTTGAGCAAGTAGCCGATTCATTGAAGAACCATTAAACAGAAGGTGGCTCTGGGTGCCCCCAAATGAGGAAAGAAGGCCTTTATTGGATAAACCAAAAGCAAAGACAAGAAAATGCTTGATTAGTTACAACACTGTGCTTCTTATGTGATATCTCCCAAACCCCCAGTTCTGTACATAAGTTGGCAACTTCTGACTGGTGAAGCTTCGGTTTCACTTTTTCTTTGCTTCAAATAGTTGTCAAAAATCACCCAGCTTTCACTTGTTTTTATAAATCAAACACTGTCAGGTTTGTTTTCCTTGGTTAACTGGCTTTTGTATCTTTGGGAGCTCTCGATCTCAGGCTCCATTTTATTTTATTATAGCAGCACTGTTCTCTTATCTTTGAAATTTGTCTCTATTTTTCTTGTTGTTGTTCCAAGAAAGTCTCAATATCAGTGCTACATTTGTAGCAAGGTTTTCAGCAAATGTTTATTGAACCCTTCCAGGCCCTGAGTAAATTACACATCCTGTTAGTCTTCTAGGGCTGCTGTAACAAAAATATCACAGCCAGGGCTGGGGATTTAGCTCAGTAGCATAAGCACCTGCCTTGCTAGCACATGGTCATGAGTCTGATCCATGGTACCGACCCCCCCCCCAAAATTCACAGTCTGGGTGGCTCAAATAACAGGTGTTTATTTTGTCTGAGTTCTGGAGGCCAACACCAAGGTATTGGCATTTTTGGTTTCTCCTGAGCCTCCCTCCTTGAAATGTAAATAGCTGTGTTCTCTTTGGCCTTTCCTTTGTGCATGTCTTATCTAGATCTTTTCTTCAAAAGACCCTTGTCATATTGGTTTTAGGGTCTAACCTAATGATGCTGTTTTAAGTGCCTCTGTAGCGTACCTCTCCCCACACAGAGTCATCTTCTGATACTCTGAGGTACCGGAGCATAGGACTCCAGCCTGTAAGGGGAACATGGCACTTACAACCTATCCCACAATTCATCGTTCTCCTTTAGCTCTCTCTTTAACTACAACTGTGTGACTTAGCTTTGTTTTACAGGTGAGGAAACTTAGCCTTAGCCTGTCAAAACCACAAAGCAGATAAATAATAGCGTCAGTTCTTTTCACTCCAAATCTGGTCTAAATCTCTGTGCTATTTATCACCTGATGAATTTGTCTAAAGGAGGTGCTGGTTGTGTGTGAATAGTTTCAAGTGAATTGGCAGATGTTTGCACATCCCCAGCAAGTTCCCTGTGAAGAGAACTTTGTAGGCTTTCAAGCATGAATGATTCTTGCATATTCTTGAGGATGTGTCCTCTTCACTCTCCAAAACTCTTCTTGGACCCATGGCTAATTATTCTTCCTTGTTCCTTGCAAAAATAAGGTGGTTCTGAGTTGTTAAGATACAATAACAACCATCTTTTACAAAATAATAAGAGGAAAAATAAGTTAATATCTGCTTCACTGTTTTTCAATCCTTTGAAAAGTTTCCGGAGCACCAAGAAACCAATTTGCTATGTATGAAAGCAGAGGGCAAAGGAGAGAAGGAAGAATTATCCAAAAGAAAGGAGGGAGCAAAGAAGAAATTGACTTTTCTTTCAGAGATATTAGACATGAGTTCATATGTATTAATATACTATCCATATAGCAAGTCATCAGACAACATTGGTTATTTATTTTATGCAACAAATACCTAACATGATGTCTGTTCTGTGCCCAGGCATGCTTAAACACTGTATAAAGATTCATTTGTTCAAGCTTTGAGGCAGGAATCAGTATCAGGAACCATTACCATTATCCTGTCTTACAGATGAGCAAAGCCAATGACAGGGAGGTTCTTGATTGTTGAATAAGGAGAGAGGGCGAGAGAAGGAGAAGGAGACGAAGAGGGAAAAGGAGAAGGAGAGGGAGAAAGAGAGGGAGAGGAACGCAGGGCCACAGTGTGCACAACAGGAGAGAAAGCGTGAAGAAAAGTTTGATACTGGCAGCTAGTGAGGAAGCCTCTGGGATGACTCCCAAAACATTGTCTCTCCAAACAAAGGAAGCAAGGAGACATTTTTGTATGTTTCTGCTCAAGCGACTTCTCATCACAGGTAGAGGCAGGCACATTCCATTGTGTGTTTTCAAATGACTTCTGGGGCAGAGAATTGGGTAAGGTAAGGAAATCAAGGTGGACACTGTTTACTCCTGGACACCTAGGAAGAGAAGACTTAGCCAATTCCTTCTGGTTTCTCTGTAGGGCTTTATCTGAGACAAAGAAAACTGTAACGGAATTTTATTAGTCAGGGGCTCATTCCCAGAAACCACAGGGGCAGAACCCCAAGTTCCTATTTAGCAGTTCACCCTGCATACAGATCCTCTCTCACTTAAAAAGTGCTCAGCTGTGCATGCCTGAGGCAGGAAGGCTGCAGATTTGAGGCAAACCAGAGCCACTTAGTAGGACCCTATCACAAAATTAAAAACAAAATATTTAAAGTGCTGGGGGTTTCCCTAAGTGCAAAAGGCCCCAAGTTCAACCCCCAGCACTGCTAAAATAAGCAACAGGCAAACAAAGCTGTACTGGTATTCTCACAGAGAGCTCCATCCTGCATGCGGGTGAGCGAAGCATCTAAGTCCCTAAATCGAAGGAGACTTTAATTCACTGCTGAAGTTGTCTCTATCGACAAGTCACCCTCAGTTCAGCAGGCGACAGACATACAAAGGGTCCTAGGAAGCCCAACTCCAGAGCACACATTGCCCCAGCGCACCCCACATGAACCCCCTTTTACCTACTGTCCTCCCGTGAGCTCTTCCTCTCTCCCATGCTGTAGCCAAGGAGGTCCACCAGGGGATACTCACGGTGAACTTCACCATCAACAACCTCCGCTACGCAGCAGACATGGGCCGTCCTGGCTCCCTCAAGTTCAACATCACAGACACGGTCATGCAGCACCTGGTGAGCAGTCTGCACCCCATCCCCTCCCTCCATCCCCATCCCAGGGCTCTGCCCTGTCTCTGACCCATACTGGCTCCCTCCTTCTTTTCCAGCTCAGCCCTCTGCTGCAGAGGAGTAGTCCGGGTGTCCAGTACACAGGATGCAGGCTCTCCGCGCTGAGGTGAGAAACATCCCCCAACCCCATGCGACCCCTCCTCCTCTGCACCTATGGTTCAGGGCAGGGGGACTCGGAGATCAGACTGTGCAGCTGGGCTCAAGTGAAATTTTCGCTTTAGTATGTGTTTGTGATACATAATAAATAATTCACTGTAAGGAATTAGTATGCACACATAAGGCATCTCGATCTTTTTAACTTCCCGTTCTGCTTCTCTTCTAACTGTCTCTCTTCTGTCTTCCCCCATCCTCAGATCCTCTTCCCATCTCTAAAGTTTGTCTCTCCACTGATTATCATGTCTTTTATTTTGCTCTTTAAATTATGTACACTTCGAGTTTAACAGTATGAGGGGACCCATGTGATATTTAACCGTCTGTGTCTGATTTATTTCCTTTAGCATTATAGACTCAAGTTGCATCTATTTTCCTACAAATGAATCGATGTTATACTTCTTTCTAGCTGAAATATTATGCTTTCTTTATCCATTGATCTGTTGGCCTGTAGATAGTATGTGCACCCGTGTTTATAGCAGCACAATTTGTGGTAGCTAAATCTTGGAAACAATCAAAATGCCCATCAACTGCAGAATGGATGAAAAAGACATTGTGCTTTTATACAATGAAATATTACTCAGCTAAAAAAAGATGACTTTGAGGTTTTTATATGTACATGGAGGCAATTTGAGACTGTCTTCATAAGTGAAATAAATCAGAGTCACATTTGTAAATATCATAATGTCTCTCTAGCATAAAAAATAAATCGTAATAAAAATTAAAATGAAAGAGTAATAAGATCCAAAATGTATAATAGATATTGTAATAATCAAAGGGAAAGAAAGTGCTCAAAAGGAAAGAACAACTTGTAGGTATACATGTATAACTGTGTGTATGTTTAAGTGTGCAAGATAGAGGACTATACAACTAAGTTTTTGGTAATTCACTGAACAGAATAGTTTGTGCTGTCACTGTTTGATTGTCTGTTCATTTTTTATGCTTTCATTTTGTAACTTGAACAACTACTTCTAAGATAACAATATGTAATATATCAACTAGTGATGTGTTTTTTTTTTCTTTTTGGTACGTGGAATCAAACTCAATGACCATGTACTTGGAAGGCAGGCGCTTATGCCACTGAGCTAAATTCCTAACCATAGTGTTGATTTCTTAATGTTATTTTTTTTGAAACTCTGTATCTTTCCTTCCCTTTTTTCTGTTTTGCTTTTTTTAAAAGAAAATTGAGGGAAAAAAGAGATTTTTCTACTATGAGTTGTGCAGCTATAATCACGGTCTGCATATAATACTGTAATACGCTGTCTTTGGGGATCATACCTAGAAGAGATATAGCCGGGTCAAATGGAATTTCTAGTTTCAGGTTTTCTCTATTCTGGTTGCCATAATTTTACATTCTCACAACAATGTACAAGACTTCCTTTTTTCCCTTGACCTCACTAACATTTCCTGTTTTTTGAATTTTTGGTAATAGCCGTTCTTTGTGGGATCAGATGGAATCTCAGTGTTGTTTTGACTTGCAGATCTCTAACAGCCAAAGATACTCAGTATGTTCTCATGTATCTATTGACCATTTGTATTTCTTCCTTGGAGAAGCGTCTGTTCATTTTGCTTGTCCAGTTTTTGGTGGAATCTGTCCACTCTCACCACTCCTATTCCGTATAGTACTTACATTATTTATTTCGTAAAAATTTAGTATTTTGTGGTGCTGGAGATGGCCCCAGAGCATTACACACGTTAGACAAGTGTTCTACCATGGAGCGCCAACCTTTAATTTTTGAAATATAAAACTATCTCATAATTTAAGGTATACAACTTGATGTTTGTCTTGGTTACTTTTCTTTCATTGCTGGAACAAAATACCTGACACCCAAAATGAAGGAAGGAAAGGTTTATTTAGCTCACTGTTTGTGGAGGTTTCAGTCCATAATCATCTGGCTCCGAGGCAGGGCGGCATGGCACTGGGGCAACATTTCAAGGAAGCAGCCAGAGAAAAAAGGGGAAACAAGTCTCTTCTCTTTTATATGGTACACAGCCCCCACCCCATCACCTACCCACCCCTACCCACTACACCCCACCGCCCGCTGGTGTAGCACTCATAAAATCTCCTTGTCCTCCTCTTGCACAGGCTGAGGATGTTTGCAAAGTAAGATCCTGGCTCCCTGCTGAGTCTCTCAGTTAAACTTCTAGACTTCTCAAGTTGACATGGTGTATCCGTCATAACAACTGTTGTAGTTAGGGGTTGTACACAGAGAACAATTAGGATCAAAACGTGGAATTTATAATATTATTTTTATAATGGTCACCAGGAGTTAACACAGGAAAATGCAGGAAATCTATCTGCAACACCAAAGACATAGATTATTTAGTCAAGAGTCTAAACCCCACGGCAATGTCCCACATGAGTCCAGATAAAAATCCAGAGCTCAGGACAATGCCTCCCACGAGTCCAATTGGAGGTCCAGAGCCCATAAGAAGGACTCACACCAATCTCTTTTATGGATCCGTGCCGGTCAGCTGTGGAAGCCAGAAAGTCTATGCCAGCAGGATGAAGGAGCTGTGCTAGTGGGATGAGGGTTCTACACTGGAGCCAAGAAGTCATACTCACAACAAACACCAGGGCTATCCTGAAAGGCACCACAGCTGTGTTCAGCAACATGAAGGCCCCGAGCTCCTCCGACAACAAGCACAGTCGGGTACATGCCAGGAAGCAGCGTGACGAGTTCATCCTGGAGACCGAGCAGCACATGTCTTCCCCTCCAGAGTCAGGAAGCAATGCTCGATGTGAAGACTAAAGCTTCTCCAGGAGAACCAATAGCTCAGACAGCAACTCGTAGGAGAACCCACAATGCGACAACACCTTAACACCTCAACCCTCAACACCTCCCTTCTTCTCCACCTATGTATGCTGGCAACTTTCCTCAGGTGGAGCATCTTCGCTCAATGCCATGCTGATGAAATCCAGCTGGCGTTAAGTTGACCACCAGTTCTTAATCCATAACAACAACCCACCAATCTGGGTAGGGAAATATGACAAAGTCCAGCTAAAGCCACATCTCACCTCTCTGTAGCTACCATTACATCCTACTTTCTACTTCTAGGAGTGTTACACATTTAACATTTTTTCATACTACATAAATGTTTTAGTGGCTATCTCCAAGGGATAGAGATTCTTTTTCCTACTAATAATTTCAGTGATGTTATCATGCCTAAAATAATAATTCATTACCAGTTTTGTGATGCCAGGCAGTGAGCGCTCACATTTTCTCTTCCCACAGATCAGTTTGTGTTCTGTTGATGTTTGTGAAGTACTAACTGCTTTCATATTTTCATTCAACTAACACAGCTCCTCTGAGGTAGGCAGTGGGTACCTCAGTGACAAGACAGACTTTCCCTGACCTCATCCAGTGGAGAAGAACAGATACTAAGCAGTAAAATAAATGTTTACATGATATGATTTCAAGTGGGGTAAGGTGATTTAGAATACTAATGAAAGCAGCTTTATCCAAGGATACTTTTGAGCTGTGTCCCAGTAGTTTCCCAACCAGGCAGAGAGAACAGCATGGGCAAAGGTCCTGAGGTGAGAATGAGCTTGTTTTCAGTGAACATCAAAATGGCAGTGTGAAAACATTGAAAGAGCGAATGAGAGACGGTGACATTTGAGATATAAACAAGGTCCGCACTGTTGAGTCTTGAAAGTCCTTCTTGTCTTGTAATTGTGGTAAAATACATATAATTTACCACCTGAATTATTCATCTTCTCATTACCATGATGAAATGCCTGAGATAATTAACTTATAAAGGAAAATAGATTCATTTCCACTTGTGGTTCTGGAGGTTCCAGTCCAAGATGGCAGCCTCCTGATTTGGGCACATCAGGATGGGAGCATGTAGTGGAGCAAACCACTTACAGAAAGATCAGAAAACAAAACAAGGTGACTGGTGTTGTTCAGTGTCCCCTCCTGTGATTAAGGGCTTCCCGTGAGGACCACCACCTAAAGGTTCTCAGCTTCACTCAGTTGTGTCACCCTGGAGACCAAGCCTTTAACACATGAACAACTGACAGATTCTAAGCCAAGTCTTAGGCCCATCTTAACTACTTTTGAGTGCACAGATCAGTAGCATTAAGTATCTTTACGCTATTGTGTGACTGTTACCACCATCAGCCTCAGAACTTTTTCTGTGCTCCAAAACGCTGAGGAGTTCCCAAACTCAGCCCTCATTCAACACAAATGCCTTATCCTCCTCCCCACACCTGCCACTCACCATACTACTCCCTATAGATAGTAACCTGATGGTTCTAGAAAGTTACATGTGGAATAATGCTGTTTGTCCTTTTGTAACTGGCTTACTTCATACAGAGATTCCTCAAAAAACTAGAACAAGAAATTCTATTTGACCCAGCTATTCCCATTCTAGGTATGTTCCTGAAAGAGTTGAAGACATTATATTACAGTAATATATGAATACCCATGTTTGTAGCAGTGCAATTCATAATAGCTAAGTCTTGGAAGTGACATATATGTCCATTGACAGATGAATGGATAAAGGAAATGTGATTTTATATACAATGGAATACTACACTGCCATAAAGAAAAAGAAACTGGAGTTATTTGTAGGAAAGGGGATGCACTTTGACAATCGTCTTATCTGTGTATGCCTGGGAAGTATCCTAGGAAGGAAGGAAGGAAGGAAGGAAGGAAGGAAGGAAGGAAGGAAGCAAGAGAAGACTGTGACATTATAGGAGTGATTAGGTGTGGATGCAGCAAATGGTTCAACAAGACCGGAAGACAGTCCAGAAGGCACGCAGTGGTCACAGTGGAGAGATGCCGGGGGGCCTCCGTTCCCCAACAGCACTTCTCTTGCTCCCCAGGTCTGTGAAGAACGGTGCCCAGACACGGGTGGATATCTGCTGCACCTACCAGCAGTCCCCCAGCAGCTCAGGTCTGTCTGCCAAGCTGGTGTTCCATGAGCTGAGCAAGCAGACCCGCGGCATCACCCGGCTGGGTCCCTACGCTCTAGACAAAGACAGCCTCTACCTCAATGGTGAGTAGCCCTCAGCCCCAGCTCCCAGAGTCCTGCGGCCCATGAGTGTGTCTGGTTACCAGGTCTTCAGAGGTAGACTTGGGATTCAAATCCTGCCTTCACCCACCCAGCTCTCACAGCCATCACGCAAGGCTGGTCCTTGGTGAATTTCTTTGTGTAGGAGAAGAAACTGAGGCTGAGATGGGGAAAGTAATTTTCCCAGGTGGGTTCAGCAAAGAGCCTCCATTTTCACCTCCCATGACCAGGCTCTGCTGTATGCATTTAATTCACGGGAGACTCTAGAGAGACCTTAGGAGCAAAAAACATCAGTCCCCCCATTCCAACTTTCCCTCACTCTTTATGATGGCTATTCTTGGGTGGGTTCTTTGTGATGAGAAGGAGGCAGGCACTGTGAAACTAGGCATCTGAGCTTCAGAAGCACTGGGCACCCATGCACCTGTCCACTTACGGAGGGACAGTGCTAGAGAGGGCACTTTGTATGCAGGGCTCCCAGAGGAAAACAGTAGCCGTGGAGGAGTTCGTCCAGTTACTATCCCTGCCCCTCTCTTGTCCCCAGCCTAGAATGGAACTGATACTCTCATCACAGTCACCCTGTGAAGTGACCAGGAAGACATTCAGGGCCTTCACTCTTCCCCCTTTTAAAAAGAGGGAAACTGAGTCACAGAGAAGCAAGGGGACCTGCCCACACTCACAATGAATGTGACCAATCTGGATGCCAATATTCTGACTTTATATCTAGTTCCTTTGATTTGGCCCTTTAGAAGGGTTTGTGTGGGCCTGATTTTGTGATTTGTTTTGTTGTCCAGTCAGTATTTATCTAGCGTGTACTATAATCCACATTGTACCTGACATCAAAGATACAGGAAACTTACATATGTGTCCTGTACTAATTTAAATGCCAGCGGGCAGAGACTGATTTGTTCCACACTACCCCAAATATAAATGGAACTCTGGACATAGTAAATGTTTATTAAACATCCACTGGGTGGAGAGATAGATTGGAGGAAGGACAGAAAAGCAGAGGAAGGTCTGGATGGATGAATATGGTAAAGATGAGAGGTGTGAGCATAAATTTCCCATAGCTTCTTGTAGGGAGCATCTTGTAGATGGGGTTAAGGGATCGACAGATCTAATATCCGGAAGTCACTTTTCATGATATTTAAGGAAGATCCTCAAAAGTGAGTTGATGTTCACTCAGTACACACAGGCAGAACCACACCAAGGGTTAAAGCATGGTATATGGACTGTTCTTCCCTCTCTCTTTACCTGTAACTTTTGTTTTCCAGGTTACAATGAACCTGGTCCAAAAGAGCCTCCCACAAGTACGTGTCTGCATCCACTGCCCCCTTCGGCCTCTGTAGCTCTTGGGCCAAGCTTTTCTCCTCTTTCCTGGAGGGAACTTGCCACCCCATCTCCTGAGTTGAGCTAAGATTTCAGCAAGCAGAAGAATGCTGAGTCCTTGGGCTGTCTTTGAGCCTGCAGCCGTGGTGCTGGATTTCTGAATTTTCCTTGCTCCTTTGGGCTGGTGGTAGAAGTTTGACATAAATTTCTTACGGGGTTAAGGGATGGAGTCAGATGATGACCATAGAGCTTATGCTTCATTTTAGCAAATCGACAGGAGCCCCACCAGGGGTTACACTGTCAACCTGCAGACTAGTGGCTACTCAAGTAGTTTTGACTAAAATTGTCCATTCTCGCATCTCGGGGTCCACTCAATTATTTTTTTAGCCATCAGTTCTTCCATAGCTCCAGTTATGCTTTCCAAGATATCACCTTTCCAGTTGTCCACACATCCGTATGTCCCTCAGTCCATCCATCCACCCAGTCTTCTGCCCCTCACCTGGTTGCCCTTCCCTCCTCCTTTCCACCCACCCTACCACCCATTCGGTTGCCCACCCACCACTGTGCCCATTCACCTTCATGTTCTTTCTCTTTCTCCGCTTCTATCTTTACAATTTTTCTTCCTGTGTCTGTTAATTTCTCCTTCTCTTTTGATGCTTCATTTACCCAGTTTCCTTGTCTGTCCCTTTAACCCTTTGCTTTCCTGCAGGTTCATTCATCTGCCCTCTTTATTCTGCCTCTCTTGCTCACCCACTCTGATTTGCGTGAGTTAATTTCATTCAAAGGCTCAATCATGCCTCCACTCACACAGTCACTCTGCTACTCAGTGTTGGTGCCCCGCTTATGAGTGGGTGTTCTGGATTAGACCACTGGTGGAGACCAAGTGAGCTTAAAGGGGCTTCTCTTGCTCTGTGAAGTTTCTGACCCTCCCTGATGGCAATGCTTTCCACAGCTCCTGAGCCAACCACCATACTCTTGCCATCATCAACGTCTGCACAGCCAGAAGCCACAACAGGTACCAAGGGACCCCCGCCCTTTTTTTTTTTTTTTTTTTTTTTTTTTGTACCAGGAATTGAACTCACCACCTTGTACTTGCCTGGTAGGTGCTTGTGCTGCTGAGCTAAATCCCTGGAGCCAAGGGACCCTTTTTCCTCCCATAAAATACTATTTCTTTGGAGAAAGTGTCTTAGTTACTTTTTCTTTTTTGCTAAAACAAAATACCTGACACCCAAAGTTAAAGGAGTAAAGGGTTACGGTAGCTCAGTGTTTGAGGAGGTTTCAGTCTATAGTTGGCTGACTCCAAGGCAGGGAGCCTGGCAGAGGGCACTGCAGAGGAGAAGCAGCTCATGACAGGCAGAAGGCAGCAAAAGCAGCAAGTGACAGCAGCAGCCCTCTTTCTGCCCCATACACTCTGTCCAGGCTACGTCCCCTTAGAGAGAGTAGTGCTCATACCCAGGGAAAGAACCATGCCAGACCGATCAGGGGGCTAAGTTAGTAACCACACAGTTTAACCCCAGCATGACACACTTAACCCCAACAATGCAAACCCTATACCCAGACACCGCTGAAAACTCCATCTATGGCCTGTGAGGCTTTGGGGAGACATCTAGACACAAGCCAGGACAGAAGGTGCAAGAGGGGGAGGAGGAGTAGAGGAGGCAAAGGAAGAGGAAACGGAGGTAAAGGGGAGGGTTGGGAAGAGGAAGAATGAGGGGAGCTGGCCATGACGTAAGAGCTGGGGAACTAGGATGTGAAGATCGTAGTGTCAGGGTACTCACTATAGCCACGCATTAGTCTAGCAACTTAGTCCTATGCCTTCCCACGCATACAAATGTCGTCTTGCAAAGTAAACAGAACCATTATAATGAAATGTTGGGTTGGGGGTACATCCTGGCACCGTATGGAGAAGGGAGAACTCTCTGGAGAAAATCTCACCTGAACTGAGTCTTTCAATATGAGTAGAAGTGCTTCGTGCAGATAGGACATGAAGAGTATTCCTGGAAGAAGGGATTGCATGAGCAAAGCCTCAATCAGCATAACGTGTTGTGAGGTTCAGTGGGAATTTGGTTTGCATGGAGCATGAGTCTCAACTCAGAGTGCACAGGTACATGAGATTGAAAGGCCATCGGGAACTAGATTGGGAAGACATGTAATCCCAAGAAGCTTGAAATTAGCACTAAAGGCCACAGGGAGTGATGGGTGTTACCAGAGAAAAGTCAGTCCTAGTGAAATTTTCATTTCAGAAAGATTCTTGTAGTGTTCATGAATAGAATGTCCTCTAAATAGAGAATCCAGTGACTCTGCTGGGGTGTTAGTGTAGGTCAGAGAAAGGACCTGCACTGGGATGGGGGAGGAGAGAGGGTGTACGTGAGGAACATTCAGCCAGTAGAAAGGTGCTACGTGGAGGTGAAGAAGGACACAGCTTCTGACTTGGGTGGCCACACTGGTGGGGAACAGTGCCACTGGGAGAGAAGATAACAGATGACGTGTGCAGAGTTCCCACTGGTGTCAGGCCAGCTCTCAGTTGTAGGCATCTCTCCTCCTCCTTCCTGCAGCCACGGGGCACCACCTGAAGATCCTCACACTCAACTTCACCATCTCCAACCTCCGACATTCACCAGACATGAGCAGTGGATCAGCCAAGTTCAACTCCACCGAGAGGATCCTCCAGTACCTGGTGAGACTCGGTCCAGCAACTATTGGGGGAGTAAACCCCATCCAGCCCCTCCATCAACTCCTGTTTTCCTCCTATCCCTCCTCCCAGCTCGGACCCTTATTCCGGAAGACCAGCCTGGGCTCCCTGTACGCAGGCTGCAGGCTAACCTCCCTCAGGTGAGCTCACAGCCTGACCACTCGCCAGCAGTGACCATCCCTTTTGTGATTACTGCTTTTCTGTCTTCCCACTGCCTCTTTTCTGCTTCTCCTTCCTTCTGGTTCCCATCCCAACCCCACAGCTTCTCTAGAGCTGCCACACCCTTTTCTCCCAGGCCTGAGAAGGACAGAGAAGCCACTGGTGTGGATTTAATCTGTACCTATCGTCCTGACCCCACGGGTTCCGGGCTGGACCGTGAGCGGCTGTACTGGGAGCTGAGCCAGCTGACCCACGGCATCACGCAGCTGGGCAACTACCCCCTGGACCAGGGCAGTCTCTTTGTCAATGGTGAGCTGCAGCCATCTGTACAGAGCTGCACTGCAGAACCCACATTCTACCCTCCCAGGACACCTTGATTTGGGTTCTACTCCCAACGTCTCTTTCTTTCCCTCTCGCTATCTCTCCCTGTAGGTTACACCCACCAGACTTCAGTGACAACCCCCAGAGGTGAGTACTCACTGACATCCCCAAGAACTGCCCCTTACATGCAGGTATGGAGGTATCGAGCCTGCCCACATCTCTAACCATAGGGAGGAGAAGAGATTAGAGACACAGGCTGAGAAGTCATTGCCATAAAACCAGCTGCGAATCACCTCCATGGGTTTGGCTGGACACAGAGAAGTAGCCACTAGGTGTTGATTGGGTGACTAGGTTTGGTGACATGTGAGAATATCACTGGAGCCCAGGAGTGTGAGACCACCATGGACTACATAGTAAGACTCCCCCCAAAATATGACTTGGATGGATGAACAGAAGAAAATAGGGAGCTATTGAGTATAAACACTGTGTACAAGGGCTGGGGACTTACCTTGGTGGTGTAAGTGCCTGACTGGAAAGCACAAGATCATGAGTTCAATCCCTGATACCAAAAAAAAAAAAAAGCTTCTTAAACACTGTACCCAAGAATCTGAGGCCTCTGTGCCTCTGTGTTTGGCCTAATTCTGTGTGTGGACAGGATAGCTTCTTTGTCAATGGTGAGGGGTTGTGCTGAATGGATGTAGAGTGACCATTACATATCCCGATTCTGTTTCTTGTCCTCTATAAAACCACCTACCCGAGGCCTCTTTTCAGACTGCTGCAGGGACAGTCTTTCCCATTGTTTCTGATAAGTAGCATGGAATTCTTTGACCAAGTTGATGTCATCAATTTCAGTTTCTGAAAGTATTTTTCTATTGTTCACTTTCCTCCAGTGTTATTACAGTATAACCCACAAGTGAAATTATACATTTAAGTTGAACAATGCAATGGTTTGGTATCTGTATAGTCATGAAATGGTGGAGCACAATCAAATTGTTCAGTGCATTCATCACCTCACGTGATTATTGTGTGCGTGATATATACATAGAGAAAGGGAAAGAGAGGTAAGATCCATTCTCAGAAAATTTCAAGTATAGAATATGGTATTATCAACTTACCACTTTTACAATAAATAGACCTCCATAACTTTTTCATGTGATGGAAAAATTTTAAACATTTTTGTTTTGTTTTACTTGTCTTGTTTTGAGACATGGCCTCACTATGTAATTCAGGCTGGCCTGAAACTCACAGAGATCCACCTGCCTCAGCCTCCCAAGTGCTGGGATTATAGACATAAGCCACTATGCCCAGTGATTTTTTTCTTTGTTTTTAAAAATTAAATTTATTTTAACTATTAATAGGGTGCCTTGGAATGCTGCATGGTATACATTTTGTAATGTTTGAATCATGCTAAAACTATCTCTTCCTAAATGTATCATTTATGATACATATTTAGAAAAATTCTTTCTTCTGGATTTTTGAAATATACAGCATGCGATTGTTCTCTGTATTTGCCTCATTATGCAGTAGCACACGAGAACTTTTTGCTCCTTTCTAACATAACAACCACTGCTCAGCCTTCCCCCACCACTCCCTCTTATTCTCCTGGCCTTGGTCAGTCTCCTCTCAACTTCTATGAGGATGATTATTTGAGATTCTACATGGATGAGATCACATCATCTCTTTCCTTCCCTCTCGATCTCTGTCTCTGCAGGTTACACCCACCAGACTTCAGTGACAACCCCCAGAGGTGAGTTGACATCCCCTGACCCCCCAAAACTGCCCCTTACATGCAGGTAAGGAAGCCTCGAGCCCTGCCCCTATCTCTGACCAAAGGGAAAAGAAATTAGAGACACAGGCTGAGAAGTCATTGCCATAGAACCAGCTGTGAATCACCTCCATATCTTTGGCTGGACACAAAAATAGCTATGAAGTGTTGGTTGGGTAGCTAGGTACGGTTGCATGAGAGAATGAGTTGAGCCCAGGAGTTTGAGACCACCATCCCCCAAAACATTGCTTAGATAGATAGAAGAAATTAAGGGAGCAATTGTCTTTATGTGCCTGGTTTATTTTCCAATATAATGATCTCTAGTTCCCTCCATGTTACTACAAATGATGAGATTTTCTTGGTGTGAGATTTTCAGTTTTATGTTGGATAAAAGTGGAGAAAGCAGGCATCCCTGCTGTGTTCCAGATCTCAAAGAAAAGGCTCTCAGCTTTTCTCTATCCATGGCATGTTAGTGGTGCATTGGTCATAAATGTTTTTTGTGTTTAAGCCCAGTAAAGACAGCACAGCTACGGGCTGGGGATTTATCTACATGGCATAAGCACCTGCCTTGCAAGCAAACAGTCAAGAGTTCAATCCCTGGTACCGATAAAAAAAAAAAAAAAAAAAAAAAAAAAAAAAAAAAAAAAAACCAGCACAGCTATTATTAATAGGATGCCATGAGGGCTCCCTCATAGGAAAGGTGACTCAAAGTAGGCCCTCTGGAATAGTGTATTGGTATCCTGGAACCATGCAATGCTCCAGGATGAGACAGAGGTACGTCAGACACAAGTCCCTTCTTTCCTGGAGCTCCATTTCATTGGGCTCCTGGAGGAGGAGGAGGAGGAGGAGGAGGAGGAGGAGGAGGAGGGAAGAAGAAGAGGAAGAGGAAGAAGAAGAGGAAGAGGAAGAAGAGGAAGAAGAAGAAGAGGAAGAAGAAGAGAGGGAGGGGGAGGGGAGGGAGAAGGGGAGGGGGGAGGATGAGGAGGGGAAGAGGAGGAGGTAAAAGAATATTCCAGAAAGTGAAGACTATATAAGCAAATAGGAAAAGCTCAGGTCATGAAAACCCCTGTAAACTGGTTCATTGTCACCCTCTTTGGGATACCTTCCACCTGGAATCCCTCTGATTCCCAGCTGGCAGGCTTCATTTTGGTGGATTCTGGTAGTGTGATGAGGTCTCCTAGGGTGCTGTAACTGTGCAGAGAACTAAGTCTCCAGCTGTCTTTTCTTCCTCTCTGTGGCTGCAGGCCACGTAACCCAGAATGTAACCTCCTGGAGCAAGTACTGGCTAAGTTTCCACATCGTCAACTGGAACCTGAGCAACCCAGACCCTGCATCCTCTGAGTACGCTGCCTTGCTGAGGGACATCGAGGACAAGGTAGAGTCTCTTCACCCTCCTGTCTCCCTGTTCTCTTGGTGTCCCCCTCAGTGCTCCGTCGGACTCACATCTATTCAGTGATTATCTGAAGTCTTCTCTTTACCTATGTGTCATGGCTTCTCCAGAGTTCTCAAAAGTGGTACCCTGGCTGCTTTCCCCATTTTCCAAGATGGTCAAACTGAGACTCAGAAGGGCGTGGTATGCCTGAGGTCATGCAGCCAGTTAAGGGAAGAGCCAAGATTTGAGCATCAGTCTCCCTTTATTCCAAGACCTGTGTTCTTTCCATTGCATGCTTCCCTCCACCCTGAGCTTTCCACCTCCTGCATCCATCCCACTCTTTTCTAGGTCACCACACTCTACACAAGCAGCCAGCTACAAGATGTCTTCCAGTCCTGCTGGGTCACCAATGTGATGTAAGTCTTGAAGGTTGGAAGCATTATCTGAGCTGGTGTCTTGCAGCTCTGAGCTTATGTGGCATATTCTCTAACTGAAAGTCCCCAGGATGTTTCGCATTCCTCCCCACATTCTTGTGAGCCCCTCCTACAGGCTATAGATTTTTCTATAGAAATTTGTTTGTATAGATTTCATTATAGGAAATGAGGATTCTCCATATGGAGCCACCGAGTCCCAGCATCCACTTCTTTCTCCTGTTCTGGAAATGTTTAAAAAGCAGATTTTTGAAGTAAAACTCAAAATTCCAGCCCAATAATAGTATTTACCATTGGCCAAGCTCCCCAGTGAGTACTTCCATGCATGATTATCTTATCTATAACGTGGATACAATGATCATCTCTTTTATTTAGGTAGTGAGACTGAGTGTATTAGTCAGCTCTAGGTTTCTGGGACAAAATATCTGAGGTACATGGCTTAAAGAAATTTATTTTTACTTCAGTTTCAGAGGGTCAGTCTATGGTCAGGATGGAGCCTCCAAGGCAGAAACGTGGTGGAAGGGCATGGCGGGGGAGTATTGTTCACCTCATGGCAGCCAGGAAATAGAGAAAGACCCGAGATAAGAATGCATTCTTCTAAGTCATGCATTCAGTGACTCACCTCCTCTATCCAGACCCCACCTGCCAAAGATGTTCTGCTATGAACTCATCAATGAATTCATCTACTGATGAGTTTAGTACTCCCATGACCCAGTCACCTCCCAAGTGGTCTATGTCTGAACACATAATCCTTTATGGAGGTATTTTAGGTCTAACCTGACCGAGGCACAAAGAAGTAAATTCCTTAAGCATTGTCAAGGTTGAGATTTGAACCCAGGTCTCTGAGAGCTGGGGGAAAGAACTAAGACATAAATACGGAGGGAAATGAGAGTCATTGAACACAGTGCTGACAATACTCACAAACTTCAGCTTCTTTGTCTTTAACAAGAAGACAGTAAGAATGCCTCCCTCCTTGGTGGTAGCAAGGAAAATGTATAAATCATTTCTCAGGGATTCCGATACATAGGAAGTGCTTAGTGCATCTTCAGTATGGTGACTTTCAATGCTTCGAGCTTGGATTCCTGGAAGTCTTCCCATTTTGATGAGTCTGTTCTCTAAATTGAGTGAAGAGGCTACCAGGCAATCTCTGCTTCCTTTCCCTAGACCATTGGCCTCTTAAACAGGGCGATTTGAAGAAAGCTGTCTTCTGGTTAAGTCGCTGGGGGTGTTAACTGCTGCCATGCAGATTGCTGTCTGGATTCCTGTGCTCTCTGTTTCTAGGTTGGACTCCAAGTTGGTCACTATCAAGTTAGTTTTCTACTCCCATCTGGACCCCAACCTTGTGAAACAAGCTTTTCTAAACAAGACCCTGAATGCTTCATCTCACTGGCTGGGTGCCACTTACCAGTTGACGGACATACATATAACAGGTACAAAGTGAGATGGCCAGTTTTGTAGCTGGAAGAGATGGTACTGTGAGGAAGTGGTCTTTTAGAGAAGCAGTTAGATGGGCAGAAGAAAAAGGCGGAGTTCTAGAGTCCCACACTGAGGACACCTGGCAATGAGTCCTCTGGAAGAAGCAGTAAGACAAAGGAAATTAAACCCTTGCCACTCCAAAACACGATTACTTTTGCATGCAGCTTTTTTAGCCTAAACCGTGGAGAACTGAAAGTTGACTCTGTAGGCAGCTTGTTATGCATAATCCCTGGATTAGCTCATTCATTCCACAAATATTTGAGGAAAGTAAACAGTGTGTCATTTGACACTGCAAGAGAATTTCCAGAGCCTTTGGAAAACCCCAGGGGGATACACAGCTCTATGTTCAAAACTTCCCTGTAGGAAATGATGAAGCGGTTGAGATCTGATGCAGAAAAAGACCTAGCTGGGCAGAAGCAATGAGGCAGTGTGTTCCATGTATCCATAACCTAGAAGGCAGAAAAACTAAGGAGTATTAGAGGGGAATTTGTACGAAGTGTGGTGTGGCTGGAGTACACCACTTAATATCAAAGTGGAGTACACTTTGATATTAAGAATCTCTACAGTTAAAGCTAAACATGGGTAGAGACACTGTTAGTTCTTGAGTGGTTTCAGCAGGGACATCACATACTTGAAGATCTGCTTTATAAAGTTGAGCCTTTGGGTGCTGTGTGGAGATTGGGTTGGAAGGAAAAAGACCAGAGGCAGGAGGGTCCTTAGTTAAGAAGTTAAGGAATTAATCAGAATCTCTGGCAAAAGTATGTGGCAGGTCCATCGTAGGGTAGTCAACACCTCATTTGATGGCCACACTCTAAAGCAACCCGTTCTCCTCTTCCTGGCACACTGTGAATTCATATCACTTGGTGAGAAAAAGGAGTTGAGCAAGCAAGGGAGGGTGGCACATGCTGATAATGCCAGCACTCAGTAGGCTGAGGCAGGAGCATCACTGAGTTTGAGGCCAGCCTGGATTACATAGTGAGTTCAAGACCAGCCTGGACTACGTAATGAAACCCTGTCTCAAAATGTTAAAAAAAAAAAAAAAAAAAATGAGTTGGACAATCAAATGGATGGGATGGATGCAAAATAGAGGGCTTGGTAAGTGGTCCCCTGCAGGCCACCTTCCACACTTCAGCTCGGGTCTCATTTCCAGGAATAAGTACTCTAGCTTGAGCTTTCTTAAAACTCCCCCTTGATATTGGATTTTATTGATTCTTACATAATTTTTCTTTTAATTGTAGAAGTGGAGCCACCAGAAATACCACCAATCTTTTCCAGCTCCCAACAATTCCAGCTGAATTTCACCATCACCAACCTACCCTATTCCCAGCACATCTCCCAGCCAGACACCACCCAACACCAGCATAACAAAAGAAGTGTTGAGAGTGCGGTGAGCCTGGAATTCTCAGCCTGTTCTCAGGCAGAGCTGACTGTGGGCCCTGGGGAGTCAGAGGGTGACTGTTTACAACAGCTCCTGAAGAGAGCTTTTAATTAGCACACATCAGTAATGCAGTAGCATGCATGTATCACCGTAGGGTACTGCTGAGGACAGACTCTTGTTCTCATTTTGCAAATTAAGAAACAGGTACAGAGAGGCTCAATAGAATCCAGCTGCGTCATACCTTGGAGCAGAACATCCTTTAGAACATGTGCCCAAGCTAATATTTGTAAAAGAAAAAAGAAAAGATGCAGATATGTGATCAGTGACTATAAATTCTTCTAGCAACTGGACTTGGGCTTCTAATCTAAAACTTGTTGTCCTGTCTTTCAGCTCAACGAACTTTTCCAAAACAGCAGAATCAAGAGCTATTTTTCAGACTGTCAAGTTGCAGCATTCAGGTGTGTTCCAGCTCGTGACCTAATGACTCTATGAGCTTCTGCTGTACCCTAAATAAAAGTGTCCCTTGCCAAAGTATTTCAGTTCCTAGTTGTTATGGAATCATTATAGAGTGTTTACCTTTATTAGATAGCTTCTTCCTAAACTGGTGAGCCCAGCTGGCTTAGAAACTCAAAAGCACTTGTGTATCCTCTAAGGACATAGAGGTGCCCAATACTGGGGGCCATCGTATGTAGAATCTTTGTCTTGAGAAATCAGCCACTGGAGTAAATATATGAATGCTCTAAAATGAACAATATAGAGCTAGTTATCTTTTATTTTTACTATAACTTGGATTCAAGAAAAAAAAAGACAAACTGAATTGGACCTGTGTTCACCAAGAAGAAAGTAAGCTTTCAAGAACCATCATAAAAGATGTGACGCAAATATATGATGAATGCTTTTTTGCTTTGTTTTGTTTTGCTTTGTTTTTGGTACTGGGGATTGAACTCATGACCTTGTATATGCCACACAGGTGCATGTGCCACTGAGCTAAATTCCCAGCCCCTTGAGCTAAATCCCTAGCCCCTGATGAATGTTTAAATAAGTTTAAAATTACAAAGACATATTGCTATTCATCCCTGCCCAACTATTCTCCCTCATTTTGAAAACATTTAGCCCATCAATCTCACCACTTTTCAAAGCAATTCTGGAAGTAATGTTTCATGAGCATCTTTACAACATGCAATCAAAAATAGTGAATGCTGCTGCTGGGTTTCATCCAATAGAAAGGCAACCTTGTGAAAATGTTGTTTTGTCTCTTCATAACTTATTCACCAGATCTGTCACCATACGATTTTAGGTCATTACCCAAAGTTCAAATGACCATAAAAGATAAATATTTTGAATGAGTTCAAGATACAGAGGCAGCCAGGACAGTACAACTAAAAAGACACTCATCAAAGGGGACTTCCAGAGGTGCTTCCAAAAGTGGTAATAACAACTGGGCAAATGAGGAGGAATACTTTGAAGGTGGTAATGGCAGTGTGTCGTTTACTGTGATGCATGTTTTTAAATATTTTAAACATGAATCATGCTTTTATTTTATATCCCACTTGTCCAAAAGGATTCATTAGATTAAAATTAAATGCTTCCAAAATGGCAGCATCTCACAAGAAAAGCCAGCAGTCCACAGGGGATTTAAAGCCCAAGTAATTTCTCCTCACCAGCTGTTGACTGTATTTCCCCTGAAATTAGATCTCCATGCTTCTACATTACTGATTAATTGGATCTTTTGTCATGCTCTTATCTCCTGTGCATTATTAAGTTATCTGCTCTATTTACTAAATTTAAGGTTGTGTAAACGTGAGAAAAAATGACCTAGAGTGTTTAAAAGTTTAATCAAATAAATAGTCCCCAAAACCCTAGAAACTCTTAGAGTAGAAAACGAAATATTGATTTAGTGTCAGTTAATGATGCTCTGAATAAGTAGTGATCCTTAACCATCACTATGCATTACCCTCACACAAAGCTTTTAAAAATCGTCATATGTGGAGCATATCAAATAGTCTTATTTAATGTGTTTTGGGGTGAAGCCTAAGCAAGGATACTTTATGAAAGGCTTCCCAAGCAGTTCTGTGTTGGAGCCAGGCTAAGATCTGTTTCAAGTAGAAAGATGCAGACAAGATGGATAAACTGTGGTAAGAAAAAAATCAGCTACTGAAGGCAGGACCATGAAAGACGGAAGGCTAGAGCCAAATGACTCAGAATCCACAGTGTACCTGTGCTGTCCAATAGGGTAACCATTAGTCACATAAAACAATTTAAACTTTTATAGAGCTCTTCAGGGATAATTCACACACCATACAATTCTTTGATGTGTCTAAATTAATGCTATATTTATAGAGTAGTATAACCATCCTCACTGGCTAATTTTAATCATCTGCTGAAGGAACCTAATACCTGTTAGCAACCAATCACTTCTCTCATCCCTGGAAACTCCTAACTCATTTTCTGTCTCTCTGGATTTCCCTACTCAGAACATTTTAGATGAGTGCAATCAGATGATAACACTATCTGGCTGATTTTTTTCATTGAGTATATTGTTTTCAAGATTCATTCTTGTTTGAGCACGCATTGATATTTCATTCCTTTTTAAGACCAAAATACATTTTATTATATAGCTGTAACACCATTTATTTATTTGTCTGCTGATGGACATTTGGGTTGTCTCCTCTGTTTGGCCAGATTGAACAGTGCTGCTGTGATCATTGTTGAATAGTTTTTCCAACTACCTTGTGTTTTCAATTATTTGAGGCACACTGTGGTATGCGGTATTGTAGTTTGAGATGATAACCCTGCATTTCACTCTTGCTGCGCTACTGAACTCTCTTCCATAGAGGCTGTGTCTCCACCAACAGTGTCTCAGAGCTCCTTTGGCATTCTCCACTCAGGGGTGGGAATTTGGGTCAGCAGCACAAGCAGCTAGCTGCCTGGCAAGTGCAAGGCCCTGAGTTTGATCCCTCATACAAAAAAACCGCTGGTCCACGCTGTGGCCAGAGTGGTGGGAAGTGTGGCCACATGCAGTACTCACTGACTTGCTATTGTCCCAGTTTTAAATAACCATCCTGATAGATGTGATCTCACACTAGTCTGCTGATTTTCATATCTATAAGGCTCTGAAAGTGCTGGTTTTTAAAACTACTGAGCATCTTGAGAGAACAGTGTGGGCATGATGCAAGTTCAAATGCTACAAAGCTTATTTCCTGTACCAAGATTCAACTGCTGTTCTTAACCAAACCTTCCCTAGACCTTTACAAGCCACTGGTTAATTTCTGAGCTTTAAAAAACAGTTGATTTGGGCCATTTTTCCAGTGCTCTTCTTGGTTTTACAGTGTTTCTGCTAAGTCTATTCTCCAGCATTCCAGAAATGCTCTTTCTATGGCTGGATGCACATACCTTAAAATTAAATTAAATTTATCTCCCCGCTCCTCATTTGTCCTAGGCACAGAATAAGTGCTTGATTCCAGCACAGGGCTAGTAGTTACTGTACCACACGCACACACAGTAGATCTCTTGCAGATGTGGAGTGTTTATAGCATTGCACCGAGTTCTCCTGGACAGAGCCAGGCAACAAGGAGTCTGGAATCAGTCTGGCATTCAGATGAGTCCGTTCTTTCTTTGTGTTCTCCCAGGCCTGTCTCTCACATCAACCACACTGCAGTTGACTCCATATGCAACTTCTCACCCTTGACTCGAAGGCTGGACAAAATTATTATCTATGAAGAATTCCTGCGATTGACCCAGAATGGTACCCAGTTGCAGAACTTCACTCTGGACAGGAGCAGCGTTCTCGTGGATGGTAAGATCTCCTGGGCTTTGGAACTGGAGCAGGGGCTCCACATTCCTTACTTAGAACCCCAGAGAATCTTGAGCCATAGGCCTGAAGCAGCATTGAAATTCCTCAGATGTGTATTAGGTAGCAAGGTTCCTCCAGACTTCCTTGGCCTCAGGGGATTTTAAAAAATACACTGTGTGATCTAGGAGGCTTTTGTTCTCTCCTGACAAGCTCTGTGACCTAGTTACTTTTCTTCTCTGGATTTTCTCTGTGTTATTGTCAGTCACTGATTTGGTAGAATAATCAATGAAAGCCTCCAGGCCCATGCTATATGGATCTAATCTCAATAAACATAACAGGATGGACATGTTTTCTGATATCAAAGGTGCCTCCAAGACAGCTGAATCGTGCATATCTAAATATACTCACTCACACATGACTGCATACATCGTGTTGTGCACCAATAATATTGCTGGACAGAGTAGCTTTGTGTTCTTGGTGTCTCTGATATTCAAAGAACCCTAAAATTCTTCCTGGCATGTAATAAATATCTAACATATTTATAGGACTAATAGCTAAACCTCATATGAGGTCCATTTTAGGTCCAGTGTGACTAACACAAAGACCACCACTCCAGTGCTTTCTGGACACTGTCCTTGGTTCAGACATATTATCATCCAAGAGCACTGTTGATTTTTTATGACAGAAATTAGCAAACTTTTCCTATAAATGTATAGATAATAAATGAAATATGTTAGGCATTGTGAGATGTACATGACCCTTTTGTTATAAATTCTTTTAAAATATGAAAGCCACTTTTAGCTCCAAGACTATCAGCCATTGGCCTGAAGCTTGCCATCCCTGCTCTGAATCAGTGCTACCAATAGAACTTTCCAGGGATGTTCAAAGTCAGCTTGAACCAATTGGACTTCCTACAGTGATGAGAATTTTATATGTTTGTGTGTTAGTCCATTTTCTCTTACTATAACAAAATAACTAAGTCTAGGGACTTTACAAAGAAATGAGGTTTATTCAAATGTTTTCCTATCAAGTTATGTGACCCCTGTTGCCCACAGACTTACCAGTAGAGAAAATTAACAAGCTTCTAATTTTTGTCAATTGACGACAAGCTCAAAGGAACTTAATTTCCTTGTCTAATGTCTAAGACATGTGGATATCTTTTATGAGAATTTCAAGTGGGCAATTAAACTTTTAAAAATCTTATTTCTTATAGGCTGTCTTCATTAAGGAAATTGACTCTTATAATCAAAAGTAGAATTTTTCAATCATATGAATTTTTACCATGCTTCATTTCTTTTTGATTTCCCCAAGTATTTATTTTGTAGTTGTCCTTATTGACTTTAACATAATAGAATATTGCTCTGTGTTCCTTATAGCTGTTAGATTTTGATTTATATTTAGAAAGCCCCTCTCCACTCTGATGCTATAAATTAATTTAAAGTTTTAATTAAAAAGTATTTTAAATTAATTTAATTTGAAATTTAAATTTTGAATAGCACACATTTCCATGTTTAATATGAAGTGATCAAAATTAATTTACTTCCATATTGTTAGCTTGATTTTCTCAGTAGTATATTGAAAAGTCTGTGCTCCCCCCACACACACACTGATATGAGAATAAGATAAATTTCCATATACATACGTGAGTATTTTTTTAATTGTATTTCCATTATCCTACTTTGAACTACCTTTCTAATAATAGATTGTTTCTGTTTTATTTTATTTACTGAATTACTATAAAGTGTAATCTATTTTGTCTTTAAATATTGTATCATGACTTCAAAAATATATTCTTATATTAATATAATTAACAAGAAAATTGTTTTAATAGACTTTTTAAAACATATACATGAGATCATGTGATTATGCAGATCATTTTAACAAGCATTTCAAATATTTTTGCATGAAATTCAGCAAAATAAATGCATGCTTCCTTTATTTTCTCTAAAAAAAAAAAAAAAAAAAAAGAAATGAGGTTTATTTCGTTCACAGAGTTGGAGACTAACAGCATGAAACCAGGCAGCCTTGTTTGTTCAGTCTCTGGTGAGGTCTTAGGGTAGATGGCACCACAATGGCAGGAGTACATGTGGAGGAAATCACATGGTGAAATGGGAAACCAGATGCATACAGGAGGCAGATCTGCTCTTTTTGTAACAACCCACTCTCATGGGTACTAACCAGGGTCCCGCAGGAACCACATTACTCCCTTCTCAAGGCAGCTCATCCCAAGGATCTAATCTCCTCCCCTAAATTCTGCATCTTAAAGTTTCACCACCTCAGCATCACCACCCTGGGGACTAAGCCTCTGTGACAGGAACCTTAGGGGTGGTGCATACTTAAGCTGTGAACAGACCATATAGCACCATTCTGTCCAGTTCCATAGCCACACATATCTGTACTAGGACTGAGATGCTGGATTTTTAACTTAAACCTAAAGAACCATTTGGTGTTAGGCCTCCTTGTATTGCATAGCTCCTCTTTAAGAATTTGGTTTGGGTGGAGTTGCAGAAATAGGGAACCCATCCACCTTTACCTGTATGCCTAGTGGTTGCTTTGTACCCCAACTTTGACAGTTTGTGCTGAAGTTTCCTAAAAATAAACCCTTTCCCTGACAGAGTGGCACACACCTACAGTCTTAAGTACAGGCAAATTCAAGGCCAGTCTGAAAAACTTAGACCCCATTTGAAAATAAAAAGTAAAATACTGCAGATGTTACTCCATGGTAGAGGACTTGAGCAGCAAGTCAGGCCCTGATACCGAAAAACAAAAAAGGGAATTGCCAGTGATACATTATATAATGAGAACTATCCACACTTGGAAGTAGTCATCAAAGATGATTTTCGGGAAATTACATGGAAAGTGAATCCTAGAAGTGAGGCGGAAATGTTAGGTGAAGGGGAAGAGGTCGAGTATGTTTTTAGGTAAAAGAGAAAACTTTGAGTAAAAATTTACAAATTTCTGGAGATGTTATGGTTTCACAACTGTAATGACCTGTACATTACACTACTACCATGACACAGTTCAGTCCAATTTAGATTTTCAGTACCCACAGACACAGATTTCACTTATTGTACTCTTGTGGTATGGTAATGGTTCCATGATTATGTAACAAAATGTACTTTTTTCTTGAGATGCAAACTAAGGTATTCAGGGCAAAATGTGTGATATATGTTTGATTTTAAAATTTCAGTGGAAATATTGAGTAGTGCAAGTGAGGAAAATGTCTTTCATGAATCAGATGAAATATTGTTCAAATTGGATGAAACACTAATGGTTAAATCCAAATGATGAATGTTTATTTTATGGCTCTGTCATCTTTTCTGTGTGTTTGGAATATTTTACTGAATGAGTAAAGGTATAGCTCATGAGCTCAGAACATAAGCCTAGTGTGCTCAAGACCCTGAGTGCAATCCTCAGTACCGCCAAAGAGAAAAAAGAGTGAATCGTACTTACATGCCTTTTCTGTTTCATTCATTTTCAGGGTATTCTCCCATCAAAAATGACTCTGTGACTAGAAACCCTGGTAAGCCTCAAAGAAGCTTGTACCAAAGGCAGGGTGGGGACAACCTGATGCTGTGTGTCCTCAAAGAGTGCGAAACAGAGAGCTCGGGGTAACAATGACTGTCAGCTTGTGGCAAAGACCGCTGAGATGCAGCGGAAAGAAGTTGGCCTTTAGGGGCCTACATCTGGGGCTCTGTTTCAGAGCCATGCAGTGTTTCACTGCTAAGCTCTGCTCTCTAAGTTCAGATGCATCCTCAGGCCACACAGGATCCAAGAAAGAGCCCTAGGATGTCGCAAGATGTGGTTCACCCCAGTGTTTGTATCCCCAGGTCTCCCCTTCTGGGCCATCATCCTCATCTGCTTGGCGGGGTTCCTGGCGTTCATCACCTGCCTCATCTTCTGTTATCTGGTAAGCCTTGTTGCTTGTCCTGTTACTCTTGGGCTGCAGGAATCCTTCATACAGTCACACACCATAGAATGGTGTGCTGGCCAAGGTCATAGGCGATAAGGTCTGTGGTCATAAATCCCCCAAGACTATTGCCTAGTGATGTCATGGCCATCTTAGTTTCTGTAAGTCCACTTTATGATATTTGTACAATAACAGAATCATCACAACTATGCATTTCTCAGATGTAGCCCTGTCAATGAGCAATGCATGTTTGTACACTGTAAATACAAGTCCTCTGCTGAGTATATGTTTTGCAAAAGTTTTCTCCTAGATTGTGTGTCTTGCTTTCTTATTTTTTTCCAATTTTATTTTTAATTAAACAATAAGTGTATATGCACATGGGCTACAAGGTGATGCTTTGGTATATGTATACATAAGTAAATCAGGTTAAGTATCATATCCATCATATTTTTTGTGATATGAACATTTGAAATCTGCCTCAGCATTTTTGAAATAGACACCACATTGTTATTGGCCATAGTCATCCTGCTGTGTAATAGATCTCAAAACCTTAATGACATTGATCGTTAGAGAAGTGTACATGGCCACTATACTGAATGACGAACATTTAAAATGCTGATTCTAACAAGTTTCAGTAAAGATGTGAAGCAGCTGGAACTCTTGTGAAAAGCAGGAAGAACATAGTTTGGTTGTTTCCTTGAGAGTTACATATACTTGCTGTGGTACCCAATATCCCACTCCCAGTAATCTATCTAAGAGAAACAATAGCATATGTCCACAAAAAGACTTGTACACAAATGTTGGTAACATTTGTTTATAACAGCTCCAAACTGACATCAGCCCCAGTGTCCATCAACAGATACATCCCCACACTGGAATATGCCACCTGGCCATGAAGAGGGAAAGAACCATTAAAACATGTGCCATGCACAGCTTGTGAAGTAAATATGTTGAAAAAAAGAGGCCACACAAAGAAAAGATTGCAAACTCTGTCATTCCACTTATAAACTGTAGAAAACATACACTAATATGTTAATGGTATAAGTCAGATAAGCAGTTGTCTGTGAATGCAAATGTACATGCAAGTGGCAGGGAAGGATCACAAAGAACTGGAAATAAAGTTTTAGGAATGATTCCTGGGTGTTCCTTATCTTTATAGTAGTGACGGTTCAGTAAGTTATAATCAAAACTTACCAATTCATTCATTTTAAATGTGTGCAATTCCTTATATATTAGCTATGACTTGGTTAAATTGGACTAGTGTGGAGAAAGGAGGGAGGAAGGTAAGGAGGGAGAGAAAAAATGAAGATAAAATGGGTGGTAAATATAAGCTAATAGAGAGCCGGGCATAGTGACACACACCTGTAATCCCAGCACTTGGGAGACTGAGGCAGGAGAATTGCTTCGAGTTAAGGCCAGCCTGGGCTCCACAGTGAGTTCAAGGCCAGCCTGAACTGCATAGTGAGACCCTGTCTCAAACAAACAAAAAACAACAACTAAAAAAGTTGTTTGCCAGCTATAGATGATTGACAGATATGTAATTGATTAATAGGTATATAGTAGACAATTAATAGATGATAGGAAGATGATATATGAATAATTATATATAAATGATAATAGTTGATTGATGGATAAATACATAGGAGATAGGCAACTTTATAGACAGGTAGTTGCTGGATGGTTAAAATATAGCTAAAGATGGGTGACAGGTGATTTATAGAAATGTAGACATTAATAAAGAAACTGGGAGAGAGGGAAATGAAGTGACTATCCAAGGATAGTTTCTAAACATGAAAGTGAAAAGGGAGGAGGCGGCTTAAGAGACAAAACCAAGTGGAGAGGATGTGGAAGAGGGACCTGGGAACCTCGGGCCTGTGACTTGTCCACCTTCTCCCTCTGTGGTCTCTGCCACCTGGGCTGCTGACAGCACATTCTGATGCCTCCACTTTGCCCTTGCAGGTGGCTGTCTGCCGACGGAAGAAGGAGGGAGACTACCAGGTCCAGCGCCACCGCCTGGGCTATTACTTCCCACACTTGGACCTGAGGAAGCTGCAATGATCCCCTCTCCCAGGGAGCTCCTCTGTCCTACCCTGAGTGCAAAGAGGAAATAAACCACACTGGTCAGACACAGCCTCGGACCGTGCTCGCCATTGCCCCTGACTGGTTCCCAGGGGACAGAGTGAGACGTCTTCCTCCTTCGTTGAGGCCACTTTTAGTTGTGTCTTGGGGTTTCATGCTCTACCATCCCTCGGGGACAGCAGAGTTAGAAATTGCCATTGTACAAAATCCACATCCTGCATCAATGTGAGATCTCCTCCCCCCGTGACTCCCCACCTGCCTGCGCTTGACTCTACTGCCAGGCTTCGTGGATCTGTTTCTCCAGCCCTGGCTGTCTCAAGCTTTCTCTCACCCTGCTTCATTCCCTGAGATTACCTTTACCAAGACTTTCAGGAGAATCCTTTCCTTATCTACTATGTGAGTTCAGAAAGATGGGAAACAGTCCAAGAAGGAAACGAGTCTGTCATAAATGATTCCACAACCAGCTTTGGAACTTGGGAGCTGGCATGATCAAATTTCCAGAAAGCTTGAGTCCAGGAGTCACACTAACCCTGCCCAAAGATGTCTGTTTTTGACCTAAGATGAATAAAACTTGAGGGGGAATCATCTAAGGGAAAAAAGGGACAGTCTCTTTTACATCTTTCCCTGCACTGAGATAATCACAAGTAGACAATTACAGCCAAGCTTCCCAGGTGCCAGGCCAGCTGCTCTATTCTGTATTTGTTGGAATTGGTGGCATGATCCGTTCATTTTTCAGATCACCGTGAGGGTCCTCAAATCTTACCCAGGGCAAAGAATTAAAATTAGAGTAACGCCATTCATTCCCACCTTCTGGATGTGTGCTTTGTACTCTCACTCTTGAGCAGTCTGTCTCTGAGAATGCACTGTGGGGATGATTGTAATGACAATAACTCTCGCTTACTAATGACAGCCACATGTGCATTAACAACAAGGGCACATTCAGAGAGATGCGTCATCCTGTCTTATGAGCCTGTAATTGTGGGTGTGGTCTGTGGTTGGTGGAGAGCCCATCATGTGGCCCAGGACTGCACTTACTGCCTGCTAAGCACTATGACAGGCACACGCTGCGTATACTAACTCTGTTCTACTCTCTATTTGCTGTGCTTTGAACTCATTCTCTCCAAAATTTATGTAGTGGAAACCAAATCCCCAAAACAACAGTAGTGGAGGTGAGGGTGTCTAATGTGAAGCCTCTGTCCTACTGAATGATGCTATAAAAGGGGGCTGATGGGCATTGGTTTTCTCTATTTCTTTTCTTCCCTATGAAGACTCAGCATCATTCCTCTTCTGCCTTTCCCCCTTCTACAATTGGAGGATTAAGTAAGAAACATAAAAGCCCTCATTAGAAGCTGGCATCTTGATCCTGGGATTCCCAGCTTCCAAAACTGTGACAGAATAAATTTTTGTTCTTTATAAATTGTGTGATGTATTGAATTCTGTTATAGCAAAATAAAATGGATTAAGATCATCCTGGAGGGTTTTATCCCCACTTAATAGCTAAAGAGGTGGAAGCTCAGAAATGGGAGCTAACTGGCAGAGTTGTACTACTGTGTGTAAATACCTTTTCTTTTTCCATTCGCCTGCTAATGGACACAAAAGGCTACTTCCAAGATTTAGCCCTTATGAATTGTGCTGCTAGAAACATGGGTGGGCATAGATCACTATAACATTATGCATTTAACTCTTTCAGGAAGACACCGAGAAGAGAAATAGTTGGAATAAGGATAAACTTGAATCATTTGTAAGAAAATGGATGCACTTTGAGACCATAATGCTTAGTGAAGTAAATTAGAGACACAGCTAAATACCACATAGTCTGTCTTATAGGATATTTAAAACGTGAAGAGCCAAGTAAAAATGGATAATAGGGAATAGGGAGACAGATATTTCTCAAATGGGAAGGGGTTCAAGAGATGGAGGAAGAGTGGAGGGAGGAGAGAGAAAGGATAAAAGAATTAAGATGCGTTATGTACATGTACAAACACCACAAGGAACATCAATGGTAGGTACTGCAGACACATATAATTGAACCTTGCACCTGCCAGTCAATCAGTCTGCCACAGAGTATTTCCCCAGCCCTACAAAATTTTTGAAAATTAAGTAGAATGCAAATAAATCACACAAAATCAAGTGAAACTGGAAGTGTAACAAAAAAATTGCTTTTCTCCTCACCTGAAACCCCATCTCCCTGTTGGCCAGGGGTAGTGGGTGGCGGCACACCACCTGTAATCCCAGCACTTGGGAGGGTGAGGCAGGAGCATCACCACGAGTTCGAGGTAAACCTAGGTTACATAGTGAGTTCAAGGCCAGTCTGAATTACACAGCATGACCTTGTCCCCAAAAACCAAATACACAGACACATCCTCATGTTGTAGCAAGGAGTTTAATAAAGAAAAGTATCAATGTATGTTAAGGTTCCAAGAGATCAAAGCAAAAATCAAAGCTATGATCACTGCAAAGTGGTGCTAAAATAATATCATGTCTTATTTCTTCTTTAGCATCTTCTCTTTTCTTGGCATTTAACAAGACACCTTTTGTGGTTCCTTCGCTCTCTCCGCCTCACTAGCTAATCTGTCCGCAATCAGTGCTACTGCCAGTCTCTCTCTTGCTGTCTCCACTTTTCTTTCCTGTCTCTTAATATCTTCCTCTGTGACCAGAAATTGTTTGCAGAGGAGCTGGGTTGCACCCAAACCCATTTCTGGGACTGTCTCCACCACATGAGAAGACGGGGCAAGGACAGGCAGAGAGCTGGAGCTCACACCACCAGCTAACAGGGATGCACTGGTGCAACCAGGAGCAAGTGTGTGCAAAGTTTTGGCGAGGTCTAAAGTACTTAAAAGTTCTCCAAAGCTGCCGGAGGCCTGGAGTCCTTGCAGTCTCTTGTGCAAGCAGACCTGCTGGGGCTTATCTAAGTTAGCCTCCCATTGATGGTATCTGACCTCATTGTCCGGGTGAGACGTAATTCTAGTAACTGGTCTCTTGAAAGTGTAGCTGGACATTCTCAAGGGGATCGAGATGCTTAAACGGGACTTTGGCTTTGACTGGTTTACGCAATCACGTTGCTTCCTCTGTGAAGTCTTGGCCATCATGCGTCTTTTCCTCTGACCCTGTTACACAGAAACGGTGAAGCTGGGTGGACGTTTCCAATGAAGCCTGGGTGATGCTAAGTTATCAGAAGGAATTATCTCTGCTGTTATCAACTTCCATCCTTCCTCTCCTGGTCAGGTCCTAAATCTGATTTGGGACATCAAAAGGCAAATCTGAGTCAAGCTCAGACAACTCAAAGTCCAGACTCCTCTGTCACCTAGCAACACACTCTCCTTTTATTCTGTTATTTTCCCATTGTCCCTGCCAATCTCAGCTACGTGACACTGTCCCTGTCTCTCATGACGCTGGTTTCCAGTCTTCCTCTAATTCCCAACTCTTGCCCTTCCTCTGCTACTTGACGATTCAGTCAATCAGCCCATGGTCCTTTGGTTTTCACAGCTCCTTTATCCCGTAAGTCAAAAGTGAAATTATCAACTGCCCGCTCTCAGTCTCACTCCCGGGCCCCTGACACTTAATCATGCCAATGGTCATGTTCAAAACTAAATAATTTAGAAAACCCAGTTATCAACCAACCACAAGTGTCTGATTTCTGGCTTTTTCATGCAAGCCCTTGAAAATAAAGACCTTTCCTTAAAAAGAAGAGTTATTCCAAACTATGTATCTTCACCTTACTCCTTTTTCTTTTCAAAATCAACAAATATTGTTTATGCACACAATATCCATGTGGTACATTGTGAAATTTGGTACATAATACTCATTTAGCTATGACTGAATCAGGGTAGTCAGCATTATCACCCCTTCAATATTTTTCACTTCTTTGTGTTAGAAGTCTCCTCATTTCTCTTTTTTATGGGGACAGAGATTTAGACAGGATTTTGCTGTATAGCTCTGGCTGGCCTGAAATTCACATTCCTTCAAACTCAGCCTCCCAATTACTGGGTTTACTAGCATGTGCCACCAGGCACGATGCTCAGTTCTTCATCAAATATTTAATAACTTATTGTAAATTTTAGTCACTCTGTCATGCTATAGAAAACTGAAACTCAATCTTACTAATGAAGAGAAGAAGGGGTAGATGTTGACAAACTTACTAAATACATAACAGGATCTCTCTCTCTCTCTCTCTCTCTCTCTCTCTCTCTCTCTCTGTGTCTGTCTCTGTCTGTCTGTCTGTCTGTCTCTCTCTCTCTCTGTCTCTCTCTCTCTCTCTCTCTCTCTCTCTCTCTCTCTCTCTCTCTCTCTCTGTCTTTTTGAGGCAAGGTCTCATTACACAGCTCAGGCTGGCCTTGAGCCTTTGTAGCCCAGACTGGTCTCAAACTTGCAACCTTCCTCCTGCCTCAGCCTCCCAAGTGCTGGGATCACAGGCATGCACCACTAAAAGAATATCTCTTAATAAGAAAAGCTATGCACATTCAATCTTACTCTTCCCAAACATATCACTGACCCTTAAATATTAAAGACACTTAACACTGAAATCATTGAAATGCACATATAGAAACAGAACAAAAGACAAGGATGGTTAAGGGAATTTATAATGGAAAGTAATGACAGCCTTCTGACGGTTATGGTTATAATCTTACCTTAAACCACGCTTTCTTAATTAGAGGCTGTGGGTTCAAGATGACTGGCTTACTAACCTCAGGAAACCCACGCCACACACACCAAATCCTTCAGCCCAATAGCAAACCCCAAAATCAATCCAACCAGTTGTTTTCTTCCTTTTGCCAAACTTTACATTGTGAACATTATTTTCTTCCTTAAATTATTCTTTCTCCCACTTTATTAGCAGTATAGACTATGTCTATGTTTTGGGGAAAATAAATTATTCAAGTAACAAGCCATTTCATCAATAACAGCGGTTTTTTCAGGGAGACTATTAGACAAGGGAAAGGGGATTGGGGGAAAAGAGAAGGAAGGAAAGGGAGAGGAAGGGGGGCTTGAATATGATCAAAGCATGTTACGTGCAAGCACAAAATGTGGACCCAGGTGTGCTGGTGCTCTCCTGTAATTTCTGCACTCCAAGAGGCCAAGGAAGGAGGATAACAAGTCATATCCTACTCTGGGCACGTTAGCAAATTAGTGAAAGCCTGTCCCAAAATAAGAAGCTTTTTTTAAAAGCCTGGAGATAGCTTGATAGGAAGGCCCTGGGTTCAATCCCCAGTAACACAAAGAAAGAAAGAAAGAAAGAAAGAAAGAAAGAAAGAAAAAATGTCACAATAAAACCAAGATTTTATATAATTAACAGGCATTAGTAAATATGCATGTAACATGATAAAAATGATGAATGTTTAATAATAAAAGTAATTCATTACAATAGAAGACTTGTGGACACTGGTCACCCTCAGATCTCCTTCACTTCCAAAATACTTATCTATCATTCTTACCCTGCTCTGACACAGTTCATTAAATCTTCTATAGTGAGGGTCATTTCATGGCTGCCTAGATGTCCTGAATCGATTCAGCATGTTTATGGAAATTTATGACAAATTAAAATGTCAAGGTACCATATAACTTCTGACTTTTCCTCTATGGTAAATTAACCATGAGAGGTAAATGTTTTGAATTAGTTCAGGACACTCATAACAGTGCAACTAAAGACACTCGTGAGAGAGTATTTCCAGAAATGATTCAGAAAGCGGCAAGAATGGTAGGACGTGTCATTTAAGAGAGGGGAACTATTTTGAGATGGATCATTGACGCTATCTTTTATTACATTTTTATGTAAGTATTGGTAGCATAGCTTGTGTATAATTTATCTCTGCTTATAAATATCTTGCTACCTGTATCTAACCTCTTTCTCCCTTATGCCTGTAAGTCTTGGATTCCACGCTCTGTGGTCTCAATAATTCCCTTGGAACAATTAAAAATTCTGTACCACTCATCTTACCTGCTTTGTAAACTCTCAAACCTGGAAAACCATTATTTCCTGCCATTTCATAATTACTTCCAGTTTTTTTTTTCTGGCAGTTAACAAAAGCACATGATATGACATTTTGGTACCACTATAAAATGAAATGTTCAGCATCAACTGGGAAAGATATGTAATATCTGGAAATGTCACATTCTTTTCATATGTTAGCATATTGGCTCTTTGAGTTTTCCCCGATGACTCTTTCAAAAGTTCTTGTTTATTTTGTGCTCCTATATACTTGTATTTCCATAAAACCAGTCTGATTTTTCACAGGAAAATGGTAAACTACCAGACTGAAATTTTAGGGGTTTATCTGCCAAATAGGCAAGCCTCCATGGCTGTAAAATTTTCCCTATGAAAAATAGTTATCTTCCGGTCAGAGGTTCATTCTTTTCTTCCTTAGTAATTATGCCCCCCAATAACCCAGTATAATCGCTGTATCTTCAACATCTCTTTTACTAAATCCATCATTTGGCACTTAAAGTTGTTTAAATTTTTCTCAACTACACAGAAACCTCTTGCCTAACGTTTTTGGGAACTCACTTCAACAACTACTTTCTGTTTCTTGTCCCTTAGTATGAACCACTGAGAAAAAACCACAGAGAAAAAAATTTCTCTGGCATCTTACCTCTAACCACTGCTCAGTCCACTCTGAAGTTCCAGCTTTCTCCAGCATTCCAATGCTGCTTCCCCAGATAAGGTCACAATGGGCCTTTGTTAACAGACCGAAAGGAACTTTTTATCGTTCACCTAATATAATCTTCAGGTGAAAAAAATGTACATATTTGTGAAACAACTTTAATATATGAATGTTACTTTAAAGCTGAGAGTCATAAAATCTCACTAAAAGTAGGTCTATCAGGTCAGATTCAGCTGACAAATTGAAATGTGTAGTGATTGTAAAGTATAAACTACATTTCTGAATGCAGCACAAAAGAAAAATAATGTAAATGATTGTCGATAATGATACTACTGTATGTCTCAAAAGAGCAAGAGGATTTTTAATATTTTCACTACATACAGTTGATAAATACTTGAGGATGTAGCTATGTTTGACTATGTAGTCCAATACTACACGTGTATGCATTTGACAAAACATCACATGCAACCCCTTCAATGCACACAAGTTTTATGTTTGTAGTTTCAGCTACATGTAATTTCAACTTCAGTGAGTGAAAATATTAGCCTTGTGTTATCCTGTGTAAATAAGAAGTCCCCTGTCTACATGTATTTCAGAGTTAATGACTTTCTTATTGTTTATTTTAAACATTTAAAATTGACAAATAATAAATGTATACATTCGCAGGGCCCGCTGTGATGTCCTGATCTATTTTCTCTCAACAAACCTCAGTCTATGCACTAATTCTTGCAAGTCACAGATTAACCAGCTCTGAGGGCTTACTCTTCTCCATACGGCGAAGAAAAGAATCAGAATGAGACCACAGGAATGAGGATAAGGAATGGAGGTTTCTGACCAAGAGAAGATAATCTTTACTATACAGTCACAAGAGACACAAATAGAGATGAAGTGGAAAGAGAGGAGAGAGAAATTTTAAAAATGAGACAGAAGCCCTCCCCCCATGTGTGCCACTGATGAGGGGACAGCCAGATCCCAGCCCCTTCCAGGGAACCAGTGGGCTATGAAACAAAGAGCCAACTCCCCCAACCCGGTAAGCAACAGGCTGATCCAGAGAAATACAGGCTGGGCTGTGATGATAGCTATTCAGTTGAAATGCAATTGGATGCTTGTGGTGTTTGGTGTTTCACTGACTGTGCAAGTCTAGGGCCAGTGGTCTGATCATCTACTCAGAGAATTATGATACATAGTGTGGTATCTTGGGAGAATCTCCTTCTGAAGGTGGTAGCCATTATTAATTCCCTATGATCTTGTTTTGAAGCCCTGTATCGTTTTTATTGGTTTATTGGGTTGAGTTTTATTGTTTGATTTTGTTATATCCAATGGCATAAGCAGCTATTTCAAAGATAGCAAGATATATTATGGTAGCCATTTTGGATTTACTATAGTCTTGTTTTGAAGTCCTTTATTGCACTGTTTTGCTTTTATTGGTTCTAGTCTGTTATTTTGATTTTTTACTATGTCTGAAGGTATCTGCAGCTATTTTGAAGAAAACAAGAGGTATTATAGTAACCATTGTTCATTTCATATTGTTTTGAAATCCTGTGTCACTTACACTCATTTGATTTGCTTTATTGTTTTATCAAGCTGGATTTTATTCTTTAAAATAAAATTTTAAAAAATTTTAAAAAGAAGAGATGCAGAGAATACTGAGTGCAACCTCTTGATTCCACTAGTAATATTTTTTTTAATTTAAAAATTCTAGTAAAATACTAGCTATAAAATTTAACAACCATTTTAGGTGGTCTGTTCAGTAGCATTAGTCCCTTTATAGAGTTGAGTAATCATCATCACCATCCATCTCAAGAAAGTTCTCATCTTCCCAAACTAAAACTTTTCCTCTCTTGAGCACTAGTATACTGTTCCTTTGCCAACTACTCAGCCCTTGGCCACCACTACTATATCTTCTATGTCTGTGAATATGACACCAGACATTGTCTCGAGGAAGAAGCTTCACTGGGCGGGGGCGGGGGTGGTGGTGGTGGACGGTCTTGCGGACCAAGACAGCCACCCTTTGGCTTGGGGAAAGAGTTTTTAAGGGTTATTCTGGGGAGAGGGGCTCTGCAGGTGAGCCAGGCGGGAGCAGCAGAGTGTGACACGGTCGTCATCAGGTACCCTCCTGGGCAGGGCTGACTTTTGCGGTTGGAACAGCTCTGGGAAGTTTCTTACAGCCCAAGCATGAACAGGTTGACCATCTGGAAAGGTTTCTTTTCTTCCAACCCAAGCATGAACAAGCTCCAGGTGTAGGCTGATCCTTTACTAGCGACCTCCTCTAGTGGAATCATACTGTATTTTTCTTTCATAGTTGGTTTATTTTATGCAACATAACGTCCTCAGGGTGCATTCACATTGCAGTGTGTCCCAATTCCCTACCGGCCGGGTCCTCCGTACTGGTCTCTGCCCACATTCAGCCCCTCCCATAACCCCGCCTCCAGGCCAATCGCCGTCTACATTAGCCCAGCCCATGCCTGACCCCGCCCACCTCTCCACCCCCGGAGCGGTCAACTGTCTCCGCCCACTGTCGTCCCTGTTAGGCCTACCACCGCCCACATCCTTGTCCCGCCCGCAGCCTCTTTCCTTGGCGTGGTCCTAGCTCCCCGCACCGATCCCGCTCCCCGCGGGTGACCCAGCCCAGAGCTCAACCTCATACATACTAAATGCTTTAGAACACCTGCCTGCCTCTTCCCCCACCCTCCGCAACTGACAGTCCGAAACCGGAAGCAAGCTTCGGGCGGCCCGCCCACGACCGGAAGCGGAAGCGCGGAGTCTCGCAGTGGGAGGAACCGCGAGTGGCGCTAAGCCCTGCGGGTCGGACTGTCTCTAGGAGCCGGAGCCCTTGGCCCGCGGCTGAGACCGAACGCGGCGAGCAGCAGACAGGTGCTCGGGTAGGAATCTGGAGTGGAGCCTCGGGCATCCCAGGCCGCGGCTCGGCGTCCTTTTGCCCTGTTTCCTTCCCCGAGGCCTCGGGCTGTTCACACTCAGATCAGCGTTTCCTCTGGGTCAGGACCCAGCGCCTGCGTGGCCGCTGCAGAGACCCCTGTACCCCCCGCAGGGGGCCAGCCTGCACCTCGGGGGACTTGGCCAAGTCTGGACCCAGTTCTGCTTGTCACAGATTGGAGGTAGAGCCAGTGCTCCTGTCATCTAGCGGGTGAAAGCCAGAGACGCTGCCCTACATCCTAGAAAGCACCGTGCACCGCCCCACAACAAAAGAATTACCTGTGGTCCCTCGGCTAGGAAGCCCTGCTGTGGGGCTTTATGATCACCCAAGCTCCCAATGAACTATATGAGCTTGGTCGGTTATAGGACATGTAACTGACAAAACATGTTTGCAGCGTCTCGAGTCACCAAAGATGTGTCCAGTCAAATGAGCAAGTCCAATGCACCCAGCATCAGCCTGCATTTTCCCGTCCTGAGCACATGTCTGTCTGGGAATCTGTCCAGCCAATAGGCCGGGCTGTCTTTATTACATTGAATCAATACCAACACAAAAAGGAATATTGTTCTGTATTTAATAACCACTGTATTACTCTCTGTATAAGGAATCAGAAACAAGCTTTGTGGGATGGTGATTTATCTCAGTGGTGTAAGTGCCTGCCTGGCTGGTAGGCCTGAGGTCGTGAGTTCAATCTCTGGTACAAAAAACAAAATAAAACAAACACACTTTGTGCTCCTCCCCCCTTTTTTCAGACAGCAAGAGCATCGTTGAAGCTTAGACTTGGATGGAAACCAATATCAAAGTCCACCCACCCCTTCTCACCGATTTGAGGATTTCTGTGTGACGGAGTAAGTGTATCTTTGAAACTTGGCAACACCAAGGGCTTGCTTACATTGTAACCCCAGGAGCCTCAGTGAGGGGTAAGAAAATTATATGACTTATATTCAAGAGAAAAATACTAAGATGTGTATGGTAATGTGTATGTAAATAAGTATAGTCACATCCAAATAAATACACAAAAAAATATGTATAGTAAGATGAGAACAGTTTCCTGCATGCCATAATACTAAAAATATCAGGATTTTGAGTAAACATAAAACACTTACCTATATTGTAGTATTATCACTCTTCTGATTAAATACTACCAGGGCTTCTCAGCAGTGTTCTTGAGGCTCTTTCCGTTTGACTAGTAAAGACGTAATCCTCTGTGAAGGTTCAAAATATCGAAGCATCTTCAAAAGAGAAGATTTAAGCTTATGTTAGTGCCATAAATTTAAAATTGAGTTGACCAGTTTTCTTCCTAATGAAATTTAAAACATTTTGAAAAATTTGAAGCAACAACTTGTAGATTGAAAGGTAAATCATTAGTTTCCAAAAAAGATTGTCTCTTTACTTTGCCTTCCTTAAAACTTTGCTGAAATAACATTGTAATCATTCCTAATGGGGACAATCATATCTTGTGTATAATTACACTTGTGTGTAATTATTCATTAGTTATATGCATGTATGATTTTTCATTGTAACTTTCCTGTAACATTACTTAAGGCGTGTGTGCTTATTCTGCAGCAGACCCTCTAAGAACACCATTTAGGGTGATTGACTGTACCCGTGTATGTAGGACTGAGGGGTTGTCCAGGACATAGATCGTTTTCAAACCAGGACGTTTGCTCACCTCTGAGCCAGGCCATGGCCAAATGCGTGAATACCTTGGAAAACCAAACAGACCTTGTCCTTCCTTCCCCCATGTCCATTCTAACAGAGAATCAGTGTTGACAAGAGTGCTGTGGGATTCAGGCTGAGGAACCCGAGACGTCTCAGGGAGCGACTGATATTTAGCTTGAGAGGAAGAGGTAAGGTTAGATCTAGCTAGTTGTAGGGTTAGACTGGGGCACAAGGGAACTGTATAAGGGAAGCCCCTGAGCAGGAGAGTGCCCAGGGAAGAGGGGATGACTGAGGCCAAGATGGCAAAGGCGAGCAGGTACGCTCCGTGTCCTAGTGGGAGGCAGAGGTCTCTATTCTCAAACCAGTGGAGAACACTGAGGGAAGATGCAGGAACGGGGAGATGGTGATGGTGTGATGCCCATTTGATCTAAGCTCATGGATAAAATGGACTTTAGGATCCCAAATGATGAGTTTTAAGAGGCAACATAGGAGGAGGTATAAAGAAATTTAGGAATATGATAGTTCCTGAGCCTGAGTGACTGTGGAGTGGGAAAGAGATACGAAGACGAGTTCTGGGAGTTTAGAACTAAGAATTGCTGGTGCTTTCATTCCTGTGTGCATTTGGCAGATGGTGTAGAATATTTGGCCGCGTGCGCTTGGCTCCTGCCTGTGCAAACTGCAGGCTGCCCCCAACCCACGGCCCTATCCCGACCCTCACTTTGCCTCTCCCAGGACCTTTCCCTACCTCCTGGAGGAGGTCTGGCCTGACTATGCCTGGTGCTGCATTTCTGTCATCATTGAAAGTTCCACTGGGCAGTACTGAAAAAAAGAGTGGCCCATCCGCTGTGCCTGTCTTTCAGGCATCAACATATTCAGGGCAGGGTAAGTGGCAGGAAATCTGCAAACTGACTAGGAATCCCACCTGCCTTCAGAGGGATTTTCATCGGCGAGACATCCTGGAAAAGGACTTCCAAGTCCAAAGATGTCCTAGCACCTGCATCTCTGCCTGCTTCTCTCTTACGGCATGGTGAGCTGCCTGAGTCTCAGAGATCCTTCTGTCACTCCTCAGCCAGTGACTAAAACTGTACCTGAATGCAGATTAGCCTTTGAGAGGAGGAAGGAGACATTCTGTACTTGGAGAGGACAGTAAAGTTCTGCCACGGCAATGCAGGTCATCAGACAGCCACACTGCCACCTCCTCCCAATCCCGATTTCCCTGTTGGATGGGAGAGGCCATGTTATTTTCCTGTGTCCACTATAACAGATTCCCACAGTGGCTGCAAACCGAACAGATTCATTCTCTTGCAGTTCTGCATGTCAGAGGTCCCAAGTGCATCACAGGCCTAAATATGTACTAGTCACAGTGCTCTTGACTCTAGGAAGAATCCATTTCTTCCCTTTCCATCTCTTCAGATTCTCTGCACTCATTGGCTTGTGTTTCTTCCTGTATGTTTAAAACCAACAAAGTAATACTGTTTGTCTGATCTTTTTTCTGCCTTCTCTCTCTCTGCTTTCCCGCCTCCTTCATCTTCACACCTCTGCTTCTGTCATCCACATTTTCTTCTCTAACTCTGACTCTCTTGCCTCATTTTTTAAGGTACTCTGTGATCCAGCCTGTGTAATCCAGGACAATCCCCTCATCTAAATGTCCATACCTTAAATCCATGCGCAGAATTCCTTTTGCAAAAGAAGAGAATACACAGGCAACTTCTGGGGCTTACGACTTGTACAACCCTTTTTTCTCTTGGCAGCTAGAAGTTATTAATCTGTCTTCCACGAGGCCCAAAACCCAAAGGCTCCCTCTAATTCTATTTTTTCACATAGCACAGACTCGATGTCCATATCCCCATCTCAGCCCATAGACACCCTTTCCTACTTTGAGTACAGGGAGATCACACACAGAAATCTCAAAATTGGTTTTAGGGAGTTATATTTTATTCTGTGTCAGTGGGGAAAGGAAGCTGTCCCTTCTCGTAAAAAGGAAGCATTCTGTATACATTGCTTTGTAACTTGGGATGTTTGTTTGTTTTTTATTTAAACTTATTGGAGATAGTAATTTCTGCCAGTACCTAGAGATGTTTTCGTATGTGTTTTTGTTTTGTTTTGTGTATTTCTTTTTCATGAAGATGTCTCATAGTTTATGTCTCCTTTTGATAGTTATTTGTGTTATTTTCAGCCTTTTGCAGTTATAAACAGTGCCACCAGTGAATAATTTTGCATGTAACTTTCCGACCCTGTATGTCTTTGAGCTGATCCCTGAAAGTGGGTTCAACGGGGAAAGAGTAACTGTGTTTGCACTTTGACCTGATGTTGACAGGTTCCTCCGGTAGGAGCCATGCCCAGCCCGGTGGGAGACAGCCTCTCCCTGCGGCCTCATCAGCAGAGATTATGGTCCTTGTGTCTTCGCTGACCGGACAAACGGGGGGTAGTTCCAGTGCAGCTGTAACCCACATCTTGTTACTGTGCATGAGCCTCAGGGATCCTGTCCAGGGTGTCCTGGAGATGATGGTAGTGGACACCAGGTGGTGCTGGGTCAGAGAGGGGACGTGAGGAAGGGCAGCACAGTGAGAACTTTGGTAGGGATGAGGGATCGAGACTGGGCAGTAACGGAAAGAAAAACTGTGCTCAGAGAATAGGTTAATTTCACTACTGAAAATCCTGGGTCTCAAAATTCTGGGTCTCAAGTGGCGAGAGGAAGCACTTGAAAGGAAGGATGGAGAACAGCAGCTCCTAGGAAATGAGGAATGGACCGCAGGATGGAGCTGCCACAAAGGGGAGGCAGCGCCTTGTCCAACAGAGGACGGCAGAGCCCACGTGGAATTTGCTTGGTGAAACTGGAAGGTGGATTCCTGCTTGAGGAGTAGAACTAGGCCATCTGAGAGCGAGGTGATTCATTATCTGTTGTCACCTAAGAGCTGGTTCCAAAACCTAGTCACATAAGAGGCTGGTAACTGTTTATCACCTTGCATGGTTTGTGAGGTTCAGGGACTGAGGACCGGTGTGGTCAGAAGGTTCTGGCTCTGGACTCTTGGGGATGGCAGGAGGCCACCACATGGGGCTGGGCCATCTGAAGGCTCAGGGTGCTCCAGGATTTGTTTCTGAGGCCTCGATTGGTGGACCAGGCATCAAGGAACTTAAGACAAGAGCTGTGGTTCCTTCTGGGTTCCTTCTGGAACCCTAGAAGTCCTCCCTGCCCACTCTGCAGCATTCAACACTGTTCAGAGTGTTGGGGGCGGTGTGGGATGTGACAACCAGGGGACCTGGATCTGTTTTAGGAAGCTGGTTGCTTCCTAAGCAGACTAGGCTGTAGAAGATCTACAGAGATGAGAGGTTTGAGGATGGGGAGCTCCATGGGCCTATGGGACCCTTCCAAAGTCAGGGGCTCTTTTCTCGCTGATGCCTTTGCTTGTCCTGAGGTGACCTTGTTTTGTGGCCTTGCACAGGGAATGATTAGAACCCACCTGGCTGAAATTCTGCTGGCCTCGTGTGAGGGTCTAGGTTGGGGACAGTGAGGACATCTGAGCCCAATAAGTATGAGGAAGGAGGAGAGAGGGTGGCATGTGGCCTGGGTATGGTCAGAGGAAAAGAATGGAGATGCAGAGAGGAGCAGTTAGAGGGAAGAGAATTTCTGAATGTTTGTGTCCCATAGTGGGACAGTGCCAATGATGACACAGGCAGGGGGGACCCATGGGAGTGAGGGCTGAGGTGGGTGGGCAGGGACCATGTCCATCATCTGGGGTGGGCCTGGAAGTTGAAGGAATAATGAGAGCCAGGGGCCAGTCTCTCTAGGGAATGACAAGTGTTGACAAGCCCCTTCCTGTGCAGCACAGTCTCTGTAAGAACCCGAAGATCAGGACACTGAAGGGGAGGAAGCACCTGGTCCAACAGAGGGAGATGGAGAGGGTGGTGGGGCCTCAGTGGAGAGCTTCCAGCCAGCGGCACAGGTGAGGGTCCTGGCAGGTGGCACCCCAGGAAAGGCATGGAGCCTACACATGCCTTTGCCCGTACCTTGCCCTGTGCAACTCTTCAGCCATCTCCTTCATCATACTCTTCACAATACCACAGTCAGTGTGTTTCCTTGAATGATGTAAGCTGCTCAAGGAATTTAATCAAACCTCAGGCAGGGTTCGAAGGAACCCTGTTTCACAGCCCTTGATTAGGAGCCCTGGCTGATGACTGGCATCTCAGGTCGGGTAGGGACTGAGCCTGTAGTTTCCAACGCTGTTGTTCCCTGCAGAATTGGCCGCTTGCTCGATGACAAGGAAAAATCCCCATAGGTGTGCTGTCAGGGCTGTGTTGATTGGGCTGAGAGCAGAAGAGACACAGATACTTTGCTTTTCAGTGATGCTCAACCTGCTAGGCAGACAGAGGCCCAGAGTGGCAGACAGAACTTGCATTTGGAAGGAGGCACATGGGACGGCCAAGGGGGACACATCCTCAGCAGTGTGAGAGGGAGAGCAAGGTGCAGACTCCCTGTCTCCCATGTATTCCAGAGTGCTGCAGCCCCCATCCCAAGTGAGCGCCCGGTGGTCTATCTCCTCCCGCTGGCCTGGTGTCCAGGAGCTTTGCTGTGGGAGTCACAGGATGGCAGCTGCTGTCCTGCCCCTCACATGTGGTGAGTCTGTGAGTTCCGGTAGTCCTAGGAGTTGGGCAATAAAGGACCCGGCCCCAAAGAGGCCCAGGAGAGGGTGGCCACACAGGTACAGCGAGAGTGGATCCTGGGAGCCCAGAATGCTGGGTCTGATGGGTGCCTCTTGAAATTTGGGACTCTTAGGTTTGGAGTTTGTCATGTCACCTGTGTGGGAGAATGACGCTTAATTCTTCTATAAACCTGATAAAATTGATGCCCTGAGAATGTCATTTTCCTCATCTGTGACCTGGGCATAATCATCCAGAACCTTGAGCCCTGTTTTCTGCCTGGGATGAGACGGCTCGGTTTCTCATGGAAGCTGTGGGTGTCTGCGCAGGGTGGACATGTGCCCTGTGAGTGTGCACGGTGGGTGCGTGGGCTCTGTGTGTACTCGTTGGGCTTTGTATGATCAGGTAGCTAGATGGAGAAGACTCCAGGCTGTCAGAACATGGGATAACCTGGATTCTTGTGGCTCATTTCTTCCTCCCCAGCTCAGTCCTCCCTGTACCCAGCCTCTGCTCAGAAAGCCCACATCGGGAAGGAGAGACTCGTCAGTGAGTTCCTGACATGCTGGTTGCGGGTGAGTTTGAGCTTCCTTCGCCCAAATCATCATTCCCTTGGTGGAAGTTGAACTTTTTACCATCAGTGGCCTGGAGCCTTACTCCCAAAGTAGGTGCCTGGATATCAAAGAATCCCCAGGCATGTAATGGGGCTGAGGGGCTGCCCAGAAAATGTCTGTGTAGCTCAATACTGCTTTTTAGAACTCTGCGAGGTTCCTAAGGACATCTTGTGCTGTGAAGAGTTTAAGGAAAAGCAAAATAAAGACCCAACTCTGCCCTTAGCTCAAGCAACTCATGATGACCTTGGAGAAATCATTTTTCATTTATGAAGTATTTCTCCTACTTCTGCGTGGTCCCAGGCCAATGCCAAACCTTGGATATTGAGGGAAATAAGATTTCAGGAGCTCAGTCTTGAGTACAGAAGGCCTCCCTGTGTTGAGGGGCACTGGACCTTGGGGATGGGCTGAGTGGGCAAGAGCACTGAGGCTGAGCCCGAAGCCAGCACAGAACCCTCCCAACGCCTCTCATGCTTTGGCCCCTTTCCCTTTCATGCTGGGGTGTCCTTGGTGGAGCCATGTTGCTTGCAATGGTTTAGGACCTGGTGACCTTTGAGGACGTGGCTGTGGACTTCACCCAGGAGGAGTGGGCACTGCTGGACGCATCCCAGCGGTCGCTGTACAGGGAGGTGATGCTGGAGAACTGCAGGAACCTGGCCTCACTCGGTAAGCTTGGCACTATCCTGCATTTATGGCTCAGGTGGCAACACTTGCTTTTTACCCTTGTCAGGTTAGTGATGTAGAAGTCACAGAATACAAAATTCAGCATTCTTACATCATTAAAAATGTATAGTTCAGTGGCTGTTAGTACAGTCACAGTGTTGTGCCAACCTATAGTTAACATTTTCACCACCTCCGCTGTGACTTGGGTGTGGTTGATGCGCTCAAGTTCGATCTGTGAAACAGTATTGAGTCGTGGGGCCTTTGGCAGGTCAGGCCTAGTAGGAGATGAGTGGACTAGGAGAAGACGCCACCCTCAAAGGATTCATACTGTCTTTCTCCCCTGGCTCAGGTCTCATGGGACCAGGTGGCTTCTCTGGAGGGTAAGTTGCTAAAAGTGGAGGTGATGCTTTGGGATTAGATCCTCTCACTGAAACTAGTTCCCTTTATTCTTTTTTAAAAATAAATAAATAAAAGCTTATTGAGAGATAATTCTCATACAGTACACTCCCCTCGTCTGTAATTCCTTGGTGTTGAGCATATTCATAAACTCATACAACCTTTACACAGTCTCTTTTAGTGGTTCCCTTTATTCTTCTGTCCCATGTTGTAATAAAGCCAAAGGGTCTTCTCCAGATGCCAGCACCATGCTGTTTCTACTTTGCAGACATCAGAATCATGAACCGAAATAAAGCCTCTTTTCTTTATAAAGTATCCAGTCTTAGGTATTTTGTTACAGCAGCAAGACAGACCAAGGCAACCCCTAAAAATAAAAGACACCATATTCTTGTTAAGCATTAACAAAAGCACCTATTACCTTCCCCACTCATGGCCACTAGAAACCATTAATCTGCTTCCTGCCTCTGAGTTGGCCTATTCAGAACATTGCCTAGGAATAGAATCCTAGGAAGCATGACTTAGCATGTCTTTTTCTCACATACATAGAATTTCCAAGGTTTAGCTCTGTTGCAGCAGATATCAGTGCTTCATTTCTCACAACTGAGGAGTATTCCATTGTATAGAAAACACCAAGCTCTGTTGATCCATTCACAAGTTGATAAACCTTTGGATTGTTTCTACTCTTCGGCGATTATGAGTGATGCTGCTATGAATATTTCTATACACTTCTTGCTGAAGCACTCGATTTTAGTACTCTTGGGTGGGGATGCTTGTAGATTATTTCTTTTTCTGTTGTTTCTTGAGTCAGGGTCTCACTGTGTAGTTCAGGCTGGCCTTGAACTCACTGTGTGACCCAGGTGAGCCTCAAACTCACAGTGATCCTCCTTCCTCAGCCTTCTGAGTGCTGGGGTTACAGGCGTGCGCCACCACGCCTGGCATGGGTCACAATTTTTTTTTTTTTTTTTTTTTTTTTTTTTTTTTTGGTATGGGGGATCAAACTCACGACCTTGCTCTTGCCAGGCAGGCGCTCATAGCACTGAGCTAAATTCCCGGTTCGAGTCACAATATTTCTGTGTTTGGGTTTTTAAGGAACTGAGAAGCTTTATTACAGCAGCTACAGCATTTTGCGTTCCCCCCAATGCACGAGTGTTCCAGGATTGTCTGCATCGTCCTCAGCTGTGCCCTTGTGCTCATGATCAGCCTACTAGAAGTGAAGCCTAACTCACTGCTGCTTTGGTTTTCATTTCCCGTCACATCTGTGCCGCTGTGTGTGATGGTCCCCTTAAGCTCTATTCAGCTGTTTCATCATGTTTTGGGGCCCTGTTTTTGTGAGGGCTTTTTGTTTTGTCTTTTCTGTTTTCTGTCTTCACTTCACACTGTAATAATCAGTTGTGCTATCTTCAGTCACTGATTCTTTTCTGTTTGCCTGTTCATATCTAAGTTTGAACCTCTCAGAATTTTCATTTCAGTTGTACTTTACAACTCCAGAATTTCCATCTGCCTTCCTTTTTATGATGTCTTCTGTTTGATGAGAATTCGTTTTCTTGAGCCGGGCATGGTGGTGCAGCCTGAGGCAGGAACATCCCTGCCAGTTCCACGCCAGCCTGGGCTAAGCAGTGAGTTCAAGGCCAGCCTGAACTACTGTTGAGAACCGGCCAAGAGTCCCAATTGTCTGTCTCTGGAATGCCATGAGAAAAATAAAAAACAGAGACAAGTAATCCTTCAGTGACTGAAAGGCAGTGTATCCGGATCCGACCTCTCTACTCCCAAAGCAGCCAGTCTTTATTAGCTGTACACAGTGATCGGTGGGGCTAGCAAAGGGTTATAGTTCATCCAAGACTCTGACTCCAGAGAAGTCTCTTGCCCCAAGTGTAATCGTGTGATGACTCAAGAAGGTGTAGATGATCCAGTGCTTAGAGGAGTCAATGGGAAGTCCCCAATGGGTGATACCAACAATCCCAGTCCTTTGTTTCATCCCATAGGGAAATACGCAAAACCAGTCACTGTGAATTCATGGTCCCCACCTGCAGAGTGAGACCTTGTGTCAAAAAAAAAAAAAAAAACAAAAAAACGTTTTCTTGGCTTCCTTTGATTAAACATATTTAAAATAATTGCTTTATTTTCTTTATCTAGCAAGCCCAGTGTTTGCACTTCCTCTGGGACAGTATATCTTTCTGCCATACTTTTGTTTCTTTTCCTATTTTGTTGAAAACTGAAAATTTAGAATATTACACTTCAGGTTGAATATCCCTTATCTGAATGATAGGAGCCAGAAGTCTTTCCGATTTGAGACTCTTTGGACTTTGGAATATTTGCATAAACTTTTCTGATTGAGCATTTCAGATTTGTTTTTCAATTTTTCTAAGAGGCATGAAGAAAGATTTTTAGAGGGAGATACAGGCCACACTGAAGAGCAGAGTGTGGGTGGTCAAAGAAATGAGGCACAATACAGTTGGGAACTGGGGATCTTTCATGTGCCTTAGGAGGGAGAAATCTGCAGGACTTGGTGATCTGTAGTCTCAGTCCCAATCTTAGTCTTAGCAAATAGAAGAGGATTTTCCACCCTTAGTGAGCTGTTCCTGTGGGAAATGCTGAAAGGGCAGTTCCCTTCTGGGTGAGAGAGGGCCATTCACAAGGACGAGGGAATGGGCAGACCGTGTTTGAAGCTGAAAGGGAGTTGTCCAGGTTTGCCCAAGTAAATGAACCAAGCCTGTGTTCAGAAGCTGCAGTTTTTCTTTAAAATACAATTTAAAATTTTTGATTTCCTTGTCTTCTTTCCACCTACCTGCTATTGTACTTCATTCCACCACCAGCACCACCACCCTGACTTCTACCCCTTATTCTTAAGGGCTTGCAGCAGACTGATGGTCCATTTCAGTAACTTCTCAGACTGAGGAGAAGGGTGGATCCTGCCTAGCCAGCACCAGAAGTCTTGTCCTGACTGATCTAAAGGAGACCTAGGGCTAGCAGGTTCCATCTAGCAGAGAACCATCCATCATCTTTCCATAGTCTGAAGGAAAGGGCAAAGACATACAAGATGTGAGCCCCAGGCATGAGTCACACAACAGACAAGGATTCCAAATCCCCAGTATCACAGCCAGCAAAATGAGGACTTCTCCCACCCGCTTGCCTCGGGACCAGGAGGCCAGCGAGTCAGTGAAGACTGTGGCAGCATCTGACACCGCATTGTGAGCGTAGGTCACCCAGTGCAGAGGAGGACACCTGCAGAGTTGTCAGGAATGTCCACACAGCACTGTTCTGATAATGGGACACATCCCTCCTTGTGCTGCTCTTAGAGTATCTGGGGCTCTTTGATTTTGTCAGGTTTTTTTTTCATCATTTTTATTTCTGAATTTAATAATCAAATACCCTTTGCAGTATCATGTAGAGCTCTTTGTGTATAGTCAGGAATTCAGGGACACCCATGACATTTGAGATAAAGATAGCAGCCAGACATCCGGGAAACTGACGTGGTCCATCAATGTGCTGAGATTAGCAGCTTGGCTGGTAGATCTGTGTTTTAACTCAGTGCCCTTGGGCCCATGGATGCCCTAATGTACATCTTCCTATCTCCCCTGGAGGCAACCATAGCCATAAGTTTTTACCACAGAGCCACTGGGTACCATTTGGTGATGGCCATCTTAGTCCAGCTCTTGCCCTCGAGTCAGTAACACACAAGTCAGTGTCTTAATGCAGTAGTATGATTACAGCCCTGGCTAGGAATTTGCCCCATGTCTTAAGTGGCACTGCTTCTGTTATCATATGTATGATTTCTATATTTACTCAAGCTTTTGACTTGATATTATTCTTTATAATTCTGGTTATACTTTCCCTTTGGATGCTCAGAGCAAGTCAAATGGAGGCCTGTGTTAATCAAAATTAACTTTGCTCTATGCATTTATCAAGGAACAGTTCAGGCTCCTCAAGGGTTCCTTTTGGGGCCATGGGCAAAGCCTCTTAGCTGTTTTAGTTTTCACTCTGCCACATGTGTTATCTGCCAGGATGGGTCACAGTCTGTGCTAGACAACATGGCTCTCCTTGAAAGCAGAGGGACGTCTTTATCCCCTTGGTGACTCTCCTTTTAGCACAGAGCATACTGGAGTCCATCAGTCTCCCCTTTCCAGGTTGGGTGACTCGACAGAGACATCTGATCCTATAGAAAGGGGCACATGTCCTGGGTCCTTATTGATTTTATAGGGTCAAGGCCAAAATATTGGCTTTTATGCCCAGTTAGTTGTTGAACATATAGAAGGTTAGTTACACCAGTACTAAAGCAGTTAGAGTTTAACTGTTGTAATGTCATCTGGATGTTTAGTGCTTTGAAATATAAAGCACAGCCAGAAAACTACTATTTTTTCCTATCAGGTTTGGAAAATTAAATTCCTGTAGAATGTTAATTCCTCTAGAATGTTAATCGATAGCAGTCATAAAGTTTTACTAAGGCAAAGTGTACTAACAGCAAACATAGAATCTTATAGTTATGCTGGCATTATTATACCAAAACTATTAGGTCTTTTTCTATCTTTAAAAATACATTTATTGGGAGGCTGAAGCAGGAGGATCACTGCAAGATTGAGACCATCCTGGGCTACAAAATGAGCCCAATG